AATTTTAGAATTTTGAGGTCACAATGAGTGCAAATTTCTGCAAAGCTCGACCTGGTAAACGAGAGTGGCGGGAAAATTACGTCATCGTCACGTGACCCACCGTTCATAGAGCAAAGGAGTTATGTTCAGCCTACTTGTCTATGGAGATGAATGACCGAAAACGCAAGATGCTAGACTCAAAATTATGTTTAAATGACCCCGAATAAGTCTCCGGACACAACATGCGTTTTAGTGGTAAGTAAAACGCAGCTATTATTGCATAGCATTTTTTATCAACTTATGCAATTATAATTATTTATTTATGCAGTACTTTGTTTATTTATATTTAAAACACTTTATACACAAGTATTACGCATGCGTACAACTATTCACTGTTGTACATAGATGATAGATACTTAAACACCTATATACTTTCTCACAAACAGCTGCTTACGTATTCGACGGATTTCTGAGCAACTCGTCTCGATGCGAGCGAGCTTCGAACAGTGTATATGTTATGGGCTAAGTGATTAACAGGCATTATTCATAATGCCCGGGCAATATGAATAATGCCCAACAAGTTATGGCAATGTGATTATAACCCATCAATTTATCACATTGCCCGGGCATTACTAATAATGCCCCGTGCCCCAATATTGGGCAGAGTGATGTAAAGCATGTTTAATACTTTCATATGAATACTTAGTTAGGTAGCCCGAGCATTACAAGTAATGCAAGTAATGTTATCGGGTAGAGTAAAATAAAAACATATTTTATAATTGAGTACCTACCTATTTATTTTTAAAATTTAAATAATCAGACTTCGGTTTTACTTCGATCAATTTACGAAGGGTTACATTGAGAAAATAGCTATAGTCTATAGTAGTTTCAATGCAGTTTGTTTGAAAAATTCATTAAATCTGTTAAATGTTCAGAATTTATGGTTCCCTATTTTGTAGGCTGCAAGGACTAGCGAAGTAAGAGTACTTCTGCCTTATCTCCGGCGCTGCGGGAATAGCAGCCCCTCCGCCTTTGCGTGACAAAGTCACAAGCATCACTCCCCTTCACACCTCCGTGCTCTAAAAACACTCTAGGGGTAGGGCAGACCAAGACCACGGCGTGTCGGGGTTGACCAAGTCGGTTCTGAATTAAAGACTGTTGTAAAGTCACATTTACCTTTATTTCTAAGAGTGGAGCCCATAATATTTCTTATTTACCAAGTAAATAATAGCAAATATATTTTTTACAGACAATCGCAGACTGATTGACGGATCTCAAAACAAACACAAAACGGCGGAACATCTGTCATTTTGACAATAGTACCAACTTAATAAACATATTTTTACACGGACAACGCGAAACATGTTATTTCCGCATGAAAAAATGGCAGCACTGATTAAAATGGCTGCCAAAATTTACTTTAAATTACAAAAATTTTAATTTTCATATTTTTGTTCTCGAGTTCTATTCCTTTCCGTATACAAAGATTTCGTTTACGTATTCCTAATAATTAATACTTTCCGTGACAAAAATCTCAGCTCACTACTAAACCACAACTAATGGAAAGCTGAGCCGAGCTGAGAAAGTTTCCATACAAAATTTGACAATGACATTTCGGACTCGCAAACTATTCGAATTCGATATTGGTTCGTGCTAGGGGTACAGCACTAATCATTGACAAGAAAGAATGGCCAGTGATAGCTCTTAGTGGTGACCCTAACCGCGTCTCTCGTATCCCTCTTTGTGACCCTTTGGAATTTTGCTAAAACACGTAAATTAGTTGTTAAATATTACTTACCGATAAAAAAAATGTTGCTATTTCTTTTATTTTGCTACCGGGAATCATTTTAACAACCTGGAACCGCACATTTCACCATTGTGGTAACAAAAACTGAAAACAAATAAATATTGCTCACCGACTCAACGTCACGCGCATTGTTTTGTTCTGAATGACAGTGACAAGTAGGATGGACGGTGCTCTTCATATCTGTGCTTACGCTTCATATATAGTAAAGCGCGCTCTATAGTTTAATGCATACTCTAAGAGCTCGTTCCCACTTGTCGGGTGTCGGATCCGTATAATAATCGGAGGTTCCAGTGGCAGAGCATTATTTATATATGAAGCTATTCACACTTATCGGAAACCGATTTTGTGTCGGCTCCGACAAAAAGTGTCGGATCTCGCTCGCCTATGATTCAGAATAGCGCTGTTCATATTTGTCGGGTGTCGGGGTTGACTATCCTCCCCCGCTACCCCTTGTTCCATTCGTAACGCAACTCTTTTTCAGTACAAATGCAGGCTCTAAGTCCTGTATTTTGGTAGTTTATGTTCACTAATATTTGAGTCAGTAGATCGTTGAATGTTGATATTGACATCCTAAAATAGTAGAAACAATTTCGTCACTTCTCAATTCCGCTATTAAGTTATGAAATTTACCCAAAATCAAATCTTTCCCTCAGGAATATGTGCACCTAATATTTACATTCCATGGCTCTCTTTCTTTGGTTTTTTAAAAAATAATAGGAACCTCACAACGAGAACTAGTGTTGGGTAGGACACGACTTGAAAAAGAGTTTGTAAGAGTAGCCTCTTTTTTGTACTGAGCCAGTACAATGTCCCACTTCAAATGAGGCGAGGCGTACTGAAGCTCGGCAACACATTTGAAGTGACGAGTACAAATATGACATTGAGGCGTACAGAAGCTCGACATTACGTTTGTGTGCACGAGTAGCACCTCCTCTACGCACTATCAATCTTGCTGGATCCAGCATGCAGGACAGCGCTATACACGTAAAAGAAATGGAGATACAGATGGATAGTGCGTAGAGGACAAATGAAATGTCATGCCTCGCTCTCTCTCTCAGACTTACGAAGAGTGAGTGAGTAACGAGACGCGACTATCGCGACATTTAATGTGAAGTACAGTGCTGCCATATCTACCAACTTTTTGGTAGATCTACCAATTTTCACTTCAGTCTACCTATCTACCACCCTAGACCTAAAAACTACCTATTTTTTAATTAGTTTGACATATCACACCACTTTGAATTATTTTTATATCGACGAGCGACGTTGCGATGTATTGCGTGAGCCATGCAACGATGCGTCAAGCATACATAGAGTCCAGGCCATAAACCACAAAAAAAAAGCAACAGTTCGCCATAAGTTCGGCGTTCGCACAATTTCGCGCCCATATTTAACTATTCCTACTGTGGCCTATTCCCGGTTGGTTTGTTGCGGAATCAATGTTGAATCTTTGCTCCTGTTTTATTGTAAAAACTAATTCACTGCGTATTAACGGTGCTGATTGCTGTTTGTTCTATGTTGCGTGCATTTATTTATATAATGGATTCTGACAGCAGCGATAGCGATGCACATAGTTCTAGGTTAGGAACTCCGCCACGAAAACCTAGAAAAAGGCACTATGACCAAAAATTTTCGAAATTATGGGAGAAAGACAAGGAATTTGCAGGTTGGCTTTAAGAAATTACTAAGGGTGACGGATATTTTTATTGCAAATCATGTAGGTGTGATCTGAAGTGTGCTCTGCATTGCTTTGCATGCATTTTTAATCTTAAAAAATCTTCTAAATTGAGGTGGTAGATCTACCAATTTTACATTTTACATTCTACCAACTTCTACCAACATTTGGCACATAATCTACTAATTTTCTAAAATTCGGGTTGGCAGCACTGGTGAAGTAGTACATTTTACAATTTTGAGCCGCTCTTACATTTTGACGTCATGTCCGGGACAAATGTACGGCCTCTTGTAAGTCCTACTCAACACTAACGAGAACTGCGTCAACGTCCATCGTGAACAGTCGCCTCGCGTAGAGTGCCTAAAATTGGTTAAAGCTTCAACCGTGACCGACAACCGATTATTAATCGTGTGTGTGAACAAAGGCACCGACATCCGATTAATATACGGAGCCGACACCCGACAAGTGGGAACCGGCTCTAAGTCTAAGGAATAGAACGGTTACAAATTAAATATCAGACTATAGACAAGGAAATTCAGTAACCAATTGTGTTCATTGGCTGTATATTATGTAGACCTTCGATCTTCTTTAAATTTGGCGCTTTCGCGCAAAAGTTCAAAATTCTGTCGAGAACTGTCAAATTAAGGCTGTTGCCATGCCAGCGCACCGGCTTGTTATTTTTGTTTACAAATAATTTTCAGTTGTTTCCCAACGACCATGGATACGATAGGATTATTGATTGTGTAGTTTTAATCCTATAGAATGCTCTATTAAGTAAAATATACTATGGTATAATTCAAATAAGTGTAAAACATAGTTTAAAAATCTACTTTGCAGTTCTCAGGTATGAACAGTTAATTTTCAATCTTTGGAGCTTTAAAGAATTCTATTAAAATAGTAAAAACGACTCGACACTTGAGCTTAGTAGATCAAGTATTTCCCAAATTAATTAATCTTCAAACTAATCTAATAATGATATGAAAGTATGTAGAACTATGAAATAACTTGTGTACTTAACACAAGTTAATTTATATATTTTTTAAGCTTATGAAATCTGACAAAGAAGATCTATCTAGCTCTTCTAAACTGATCCATTACTTATAGTATAAATTCAGAAGTAGGTGCTTATCTCTGTCTTTTGATTGCTATGTTATACTTCCTTCCTAAATTGCTGAATTGATTAGGTTTGTAGATAAAGAACACCACAGAAAAAGAAATTTATATTTAAGGCTAATGTTTGTTGTAAAATTAATATCTTGAAATGAGTGTGACATAGATGAAGTCGCCAGCACCAACTAGTGTTAAATAAACTTATTGATCTTACATTCAGAAGTATTACCATGCATTTATAATATCAGTGCCTAACATATATTTGATTTCAAATGGTTTTAAATTTAAATTCTTTATTTATCCTCTGGGGTGAGTTTTGAAAAATCCTTTCTTTGCTCACTAAAGGGTTAAACAGGGGGTGCAAAGTTTGTACAGAAAACTACTGGTCTCAAATAAGTAGCAACATTGTTAATAAAATCAATCGCTTCCTTCCAGAATGGATGTAGAACCAGCTTTGATTTCTGAGAATGAGTCAAATATTGAAATCTCCGAACCAGAACTTAATTTAACACATGACCCTCGAGTACAATGGCTGAAAGAGAAAATTCTTGCCTATGTTGGCATGGATGATGATGAGCTATTTTACAATATGCTGGTAACTCCGGAGGCCAAAGAGAAAATAACAACCTTCCTTGCAGTACCGTTAAAACCAAATGAGCTGTCGCTTGATAAAAAGACTTTCTATATAACAAAGATAATTGTTGACAAACTTATTCATGAAGACAAAGAGTTTACAGAATGGAGTAAGTTACAGATTTTAACAGTTTTTATTTATTTGTTATTAATTAATTGCACTTAATTTATATTTTTTTATATAGGTATATTATAGGGCAAACGAGCAGATGATAAAAACAACAAATACTTAAATTAGTTAAACAATACATAGAAATGTATGGTTTAATTGAAGCAAACAGTTCTTTTTTATTCCCAATGCAGCACTATAAAGGTGCGATTCGACGGGCTGTGTTGAAGAGGGCGAGGTTTGCCAAACATAATGAGAACTCTTAAGGTTTGAGATTGAGCAGTATCTATACATGATACGAGGTAAATAAAAATCCCCTACAGTTTGTGATGGCATAATGAAGCTGAACGGTAAGTACGATCGAGTATAAGAGTAATAAGAGTCGATCCTTTGTAGATTGGACATTTATATACTTTCTGATAATATTTTTGGTTTGTGTACATGACACAAACAGTCAACATTGTTCAAATCTCATATCAAAGTGTACGAGATTTATGTTTACTTTTTATCATGTATAGAGACTGCTAAATCTCAAACGTTAAGAGTTCTCATACATTTGACAACCCTGCCTGCGACAACAAAGGCCGTCGGACCACACCTTAAGGCTTGTGATATGGGATACTAGAAATCGTTGGATACTAGCATAACGGATACAATACATGTACTGATACATATAGGCACTGTGAATTTTGAGTTATCAGAGAAACTTAAAAACATACCAAATAATGCCATTCCACATACTTAATATAACGATTATAATAAAATTTGCATAATAAATTGGTATTATTATACATTATGACCTGCGCAGACGAATGACTTTTGTCGGCGTAGGACAAAAATCCCTGAATCGTGAAAAATATACACTGTGAATTTGTCACAGACATATAATTGCCCGGAAATTCAAAGAAGCGCACGCGCCATGGCAACAAATTGTGAGATTACTTTGTTTTAATAACATGGAGTTTAATAAAAGGAGAAGACGTTTTAAAAGAGAAACTTCGTCTATTCTTCTTCCTTTATATTAGCTCAATCGCGCAACGTAGACTAAAGTTCCCTGAGTACGTTGCGCCTCGTTACATGAGTTCAATTCTTTCGAGGGCTCCCTGTACATTTTGTTCTTTCCGGTGTATCGGTTCGGGGGACTTTATTTACGTGGTACACGGTGTGGTTCTTAGCGATCTACGAGTATTTTGGTGGACAAACTCCCTCGTCACAGCCGCAAGCCATTATAGTTTGTGTTGGTAAATTATACCTTCTTTTTGTATTGATAGGAATAGTTCCTCCCCCTCCACCACCTCCCCCAAAAGATAAGAAAAAAAAGAAGAAAAAGGGAGGGGGGCCAGATCCTGAACCGGAAGAAGACCTGTCCAAAAAGTCAGCCAAAAGTATGAAAAGTATGAAAAGCATGAAGAGTATGAAAAGCATGAAGAGTGTAAAAGGTCAGAATTTAAAGCTATTTAATACACTTATTACTAATATTAGTAGGATTAAAATTATTCCAACTTATAAAAAACAATTTGGAAGTTCAAGCATGAAATATGCAAGCCACTTAAGCTTTGTAACTCATTGCTTACTTCCGACTATCCTATCATACTACATACTTTATAAATGTGAAAGTTTGAATGTTTGTTATCCAATCACACAAAAGCTACTGCAGGATTTGGATTAAATTTGGTGCGCATATACTCGTAGTTATCCCTCGTTCCGTTTATAAGGTGTTCTTGATACCTACCTTATTCCAAGAACCGTAGGTATAAAGTATTTTTTATGAGAGCAACATCCATAGGACCTCTCTAAAAATGTTGGTACTAATAAATTATCAACTTCTTATTACAGAAAATTAAAAGATGGCATTGCAATAGACAAAAAACCTTCAGCCTATTAACAAAAAGGGTTACGAATCTGAACCATCAAATTACAGGCCTATATGGATTACATTACATCCCTGCTCTCTAAGGTGGTGGAGCGGGTGATCAACACCGCTTTTGCGGTACCTTAAAATGTATCAGCTAATTACCAACAGTCAATACGGCTGCGGTTACGGTCGTTCGGCTGGTGATCTTCACATTTATCTCATGTACCTGCCAGCTGAAGCCTTAGAGAGCAAGGGTGAGTCCATTTTAGTGAGCCTGGATAGCGCCAAGTTGTTTGACAGGATCCAGACCCTAGGCATAGAGCACTTTAAATCGATTTCGATACACGCCAAATGTCAAGAAGTTTTGTATGAGAATTTGAACAGCGCCACAACTGACGTAACTAGAATTAAAAATCTTCCATACAAATAATCTTGACATTTGATGCGTATCGAGATTGAATTTAATTTTCGAATTCGATATTGGTTCGGGCCACTTGCACTGTAGTCTCAAGTGTTTAAATACTAACAATTTAAACCGTCAAAATTGGTAGGTTTTTTTTGAAGCTGAAGGATTTTTTTACTTTTCCTCGATAATACTGCAAATGCTATATGGGGATCGTATTTAGTTGTTGTTATTTGTTAAATGGTTTAAGGTTATTTATTATATTGGTGATGTATTTAGTATACGCGTTTATGTATGATTCTTTACTTAGAATAATTGCTTCTGTAACCTGCAACCGGTGGAGATGTTATATTCGGCGCGGGTAGCGGCGAAACGTGGGCAGTTTTCGATAAGATGATCCAAGCTTTGGGTACTGGTGTTGTCACAAGGGCAGAAGTCGTCTTGAGTAATGTGGAATCTGTGTAGATATTCTTTATGATAACCTTGGTTTGTGAGCAATTGTGTTATAGCAAATCTAGGGGGAGCTATTGAAAGGGATTTAAGAAGATGTTGAAGAGTTAGTAGGATTTTCTTGGTATGTGTAGTTTCGGCGTAGAGGTCTTTGGCGGCGGGGTAAAGATTTGAGGAGTTTTCTTATTTGACGTGGGAGATTGGAATGGAATAATAGTCGGGGCTTGAATGGGAGTTGGCTGCGGCCTTAGCTGCAGAGTCAGCGGCTTCGTTGCCAGAGAAATCTGCGTGGCCTTTGATCCAATAAATTGGTAGGAAATTAGTCCGACTTCATAACGGTCGAAACGCGAATCCTATGCGCTAGGTACATACTGTACTGTATGTCCTCTACTGCCCTATGTAGCCTGGGGTTTTTAGCCAATTGGGAGGATCAGTTGCAGAAAACGAAGATTTTGCGTCTTGTATATTATTGTTCACTAGCACACAATACAATGATACTTATACTTTGTTTAACTTCTACGCCCATTTTAAAAATAACTACTAGAATAATGACTAAATGGTAGCATTCAGTAGCGCTCGAGATCTAATTACAACGAGAACGACGCGAGTTTGGATTGGGTGTCTTGAACAGGCGCCTCCTCTCTCCCACGGAAAGACCGCACAAGACGGATAGTACGTATAGAACAAGAAAGAAATATTAGTAATAAATCTTAGCAACATAAGCCTTTTTGCTAAAATTGAATTATTATTATTAATAGTAAGGCATTAGGTTACATTTTCCGACTATATTATTTTACATAGGGACTGATAAGGAGTCGAATTTTACTTTGTGAGCCTAATTAATCTATATTATTTTTTATACTACACCCAATATTAACTACTAAGCTATCACCTATTCTTATAATTTAATTGATTGTATTCAATCTCTTAAAGTTAATTTCCTTTCATAATATGATAACAAAAAGACCGAATAAGTAATTAAATATTTTTATTCTATATTACCTATTTCTACCTAACGTACCCTAAAATATGTTATCATATTTACATGTAAAACATTTACTCTTGAATTCCTCAATCTAACTGCTATCAACCCACTAATTTTGCCGGGTTAAATAGTTAGTATTTCAATACAGAATTTTCTTTTAACTCTGGGCACTACCCTGCAAGACGATTATTATAAATATAACACGGGTTAGCATTAAACAGGGACATAAATGAGTTAACTCTAGACTACTCAAATGGCCCACATACTATATTTTTCGGGTTAAATAGTATTTACACACAGAATTTATTCTTGACTCTGGACTGTGCAAGTGGCCGTAAGGGTACTCAAGATCACAATTAATTAATTGTGAAATCATTTTTTCGTAGACTGAAGCTAGTTTACAGTCTTCACGCAATAGTTACCTGATCCACTCGCAGACCACGATAAAACGACCCCGACTTGATGTAGAGAGCGCAAATTCCTATAAGTCCATTCAAAGAATACTTATCTCGCGAGATTAGGTTTTAAACTTTTTTTTATGCAATATGTGTTAAGTTTTTAATCTTTCATTTTTTGTCTATTTGCTGCCATACCTAATTTATAAACTTTTGTTTTTAGATCATTTTTTCTTAATTTTATTTCAGACATGGACATGGAAGAAGGTAAGATTTTTTTCAATTTTTAGTACTAGTATTACCACTAGTTCGTTCAGTAAAGTTTCACTAAGGACACGGTAGGTATTAGTAGTACCGTGCTCAAGATATGCCCGCGCATCTCAATGAGCGCAATAGTGACTGCAGATGGAGCTGCGAGCAACTTTTAATACCAGCACGAAAGTTCGACTTATTTTAGTTCCTCAGCCATTCTCATCTAGTCCGTTCTTTGGCAAAGTTTGTTAATCTCTTCAACAGCAGACTAAACACAGTTACTACAGCGCCACCTAGTGTTTAATTGCATTACTCTTAGCTTTGGGGCTTGATATAGGAAATATTATAAGAAATAGATCTACCGGTAAGTAAGTATACTTTTTCAGAAATCGAATCCTCGCTTATTGCCTAAGATTATACAAACAGTAAAGTATTTTACATTCATTATTTTGACAAACAGAAGACATTGAAACGGCAGCGGCAGACGTACAAGACGATGATGTTGATGTAAAAAGCACCTACCAACTGGAACATGTGGAGGAAGAAGAGAAACCTTCATTACCTGATGAAAAATACTATTTCCCGCCTCGTGAGTTAACCTTTATTTGTACTAATAGTCTTTAGTCTGTTTTTAGTCTTTTTCATTTTATATCACCATTGTTGGTTTGCTTTAATTAAATAATATAAACATTTTACAAATTGAAGTCTATAAAACAGGTAAGTACTCGATTTTAATGATTGGTGTATAGGAACTGATTTATCTCATGCTGTCAAACACTTCAATGCTCTGCCATTACTGCATTGAATTCATAGTGGAAACTTGTTAAGCAGAAAGCGACCAGCGTGTATTTTTAAACTAGCAAAAAGGAGTTCTGTGGATCGTTAAAGTATGACTGGGAAAACAGAATGCGAGCATTGGTTATTTGTAGTATCAATCAGAACCAAAGTATAACATTGGTTCGTAGAACAAATGGTTGAACAAACCCGCTGGTTGCTTTTTGCTTTACTACAACAACAAAAACTATTGTAAATGCAAGGTAGTAAACAAAATATATACATATATATATATATATATATATATATATATATATATATATATATTTATCTATTTTATTGTTACTTTTCCCTTAGATTAAAACAAAAAGGGAAGATACGGCACTCGCGGCTCAAAAGAGATCCACTTAAATTGTGGTGCGTGATCATAATTCGCTTTAGTCACAATTGGACATTCAAACACGCTGCATGTTTACTCAATATAACAATATTGCGTATATTCTGTCTTATAAAGATAAAACAATGCCTTCGATGTTTTTATAAAGAACACAAATAGTTCAACTATAAATAACAAATGCCTCGGCAACACTTTTCATTCGGAAAGTGTAAAAACATTTTTTTTTTCAAAAATCACGGTTTGTCATGAATATAATTTACGTAATCGCCATTTCGTTATCAAAAAAATGACAACAATACAGCTCAGCCGTGCGGACTCGGACACAGACTCGCCGTTTCGCTCGCGCTGCGTTGAAGCGAACAGTTCTGTCTCGCTCTCTCGGTTGAATGTTTATATACAGACGTGTGCGTCTGTGAGTTGCATAAGTAGTTGAGTTGGATCTTATTTTATGTGATGCTAGTATGAGCGTAGCGTATCTTCCCTTTTTTTATCTAAGACTTTTCCCAAATTCAAACAATTCAAATTGTTAATATTATATTTAATACTATTTGCTTTGTTTTTAGAAATTTAAATTATATCGAAATATCGACTTCATTATAATATTTCAGCTCCTGAAGATTTAGATCCGGACGTTGATGGGACATTGGAGTATTACACAGTAATTGTAAGAGCCATTTTCTACTGCAAGATTATGTTTCAATTTGTAGAATTTTGTATCTTTTGTCTACCTACTTATATTATGTTGTTTACGTTTGATATTTAGAGCACTTTTATTAGCAATATAACGAGCTATACTTATTAGCAAATAAAAGCATTAACTACACCACGCACACACACCGGGAAACTTCTTGAGCAACAACCATAAACAAGGAAGCCTGCGCAGTAGCAATTTTAAATGTAAATCCATCTACTGCAAAAGTTTGTCTGTCTGTGGTTATGCTCAAGAATTTTGCCACTATCTATACAACATTCGATTAATAGTTGATCGAAGGTACTAACGAATACTTAGGTGTAAGTTAGTTATTTAGCTTCACTTTTATCGTAGTTATAAATGTTTTGGTTTTTGTTTGTTTAATTCATTATGTTACTCAACATTTGTGATTCGTATAATGTTTTAAACTTTCAAGGTCTTTAACATTATAGTAATATAAGTTATTTACGGGATACCATGTACCTTGTTTTTAGCGAGTTTCCGATATTTCGGCACTGTTGCAAGCGCCATGATCACTGAGTAACTGATCACAGTTACTAACTAGCTACTAACAGGGTACATGGTAACAATCCTGTAAATAACTTATATTACTATAATTTGTGATTCGGTTTAATTCTTGTCAGATGAAATTCAAAGTAATGACAAATCCAAATCATTACCTACGTAGAACACAAAGTACCTGTGTTAGGTAATTGAAATAAAATTTAAATACTGAATGTTAAATCCAATACTTATATTTTAATGCTCCGTATTGTCTAAACTTTCATGGTTGCCGTTATTATAACCATTTAGTCCGGCCATATAGTATAAACGTGATTGTTTGTCACCATCTTTTATTCAGCAGTAACCTTAATTTCAGAGATCTATTCCGCGTATTATTAAGTATCCGAAATTGATACCTGTTTTCGGCGCATTCACACCCCAAGTCACTCATCGCAACCGTCGCTACATATACTTCATGAGGCAAACCCCAGACGCAATCCCTTTAGCCGACAACGACGAGGTGACGAAGTTTCTCATGCCCAAGTACATACTTGCCGGATCCACAACCGGAAAAGTCCTTATGAGTCTGGGATTACGATTGAAAGAGGTATACGTTTAAAAAAAAAATAGTCTACTACCCCATTCAAAAAGTCATTGAATGATTGTATGTACACAATATAAAGTATCTTTAATTTTCTCGGTGGATTTGTAAAAGTCAAAGAATTTAGTACATGCAGTGGCTTTGATTAATTCCCTGCTTCGGAAGGCACGTTAAGCCGTGATGGTCCCGGCTGCATCTGCAGTCCAATCCGCACTGGGCTCGATTGGTTGTTCATGGCCCAATCAATCTTCCTATTCGACCCATAGCGAAGGCCTGTGCCCCAGCAGTTTGAACATTAATAGCCTGATGATGATAATGATGAATGGCTTAGATGTTATATCTGTTAAGATTCATTATGTCATATCAGGTCAATGGAAATTGTTAAACCTGTTCATGAAAATTTTCAGGCTTTTATTCCATTATTCCGTAATCAATTCCGTGAGGTGATGCTGTCGGGCGACGATAGCAATAATTCTTCAGAGGTGTCTCGACAAGTTTCTTTCGCCGGCAAACATCATACGATGGATAAGACTGCTTCTCAGGTAAAATAGGTTCCTATAAGGTCATAATTTTCCGCATTATAGAACTCAAAGAGAACTATCGCGTATGAATACGTCGCTAGAGGTGCTTGTGTAACATGAGGTTTTCATAATGTCAAATTTCGTTGATTGTGGGTTGATTACGCTGGTTTATTTCTAATTAAAATAATGTTATCGATATTTGACAATACCTCAGATTAATTATTGCAAATATGAGCCATGGGTCAATAAATTTCAGTGATTTAAAAGCGGAGCTCGTGAAAATTATTATGTTCTGCTATTTTTCCGAACAAAACGGAACTGTACAACACTGTGGCATATTATCCGATGTTTGCGCTACTGTTCTATTGTATTTAAATATCGTTTTTACATTTAAACATTGTTTTCACGCGAGTATGAACACTATCTGGTGAGACAAAAAATGGTAGCCCTCATTATCAGTAAATTCAAACTATCATCACGAAGATATGATAGGTCTTGATTTTTAAGCTTCCATACAACTAAAGATTAAAACGGATCACTTTCTTGACTTGTCCGACTTTTTCCTTAACGGTATTAGAATAGTTATGGTATCCATGATTCTCTAAACTTAAAATTAAATTTAATATCAGTCTCTTCCCTCTGTATACAGAATGATAAGGCTGCACCACAGAAAATAAATCTAACAGTAAGGAAGCTACATACAAATGTTCATAATGACACACGTCTCAACACGGCCCCTAAGCAGACATCGCGGTGCTGTCAGTCTCGTGTGTCTAATCGAATTGCGTGAGCTGTACCCTTAGCATGAACCATTATCGAATTGGAATAGTTTGCGAGTGCGAAATGTCAATGTCAAAATTTTTATGGAAACTTGAACAGCAGCGCCACAAAGTACGTAACGAGAACTAAAAATCAGTACACATTTGACAATGACATTTCGGACTCGCAAACGATACGAATTCGATATTGGTTCGTACTGTTCGCGGACTTTTTGAACATGCCCCGAAAGTATTGCGTAGTATACGGCTAGTTAATTATATGATCATTTTTGTTTATTGTTTACTTGGACGATAAAATAAACACCGACTTCAAAATCAAAAATAGGACTTAAAAATTAAAAATAATATCCAGTTCATGATTTGGAATTTAGGCAGGGGCAAGATTGAATCATGGAATATGTTTTCATTTCTTATCGGTAATATTATTTTCTACATTTTTGTCCAATTTTTTTTTAATTTTAGGCTGCGATTATTTTAAAAAGAATTTTGAATTTCACAATATTTTTTCTACACTAGTCAGTTCATACGATTACTTGATTGCTTAGGACTTCGTTGCGTGCAAAAATTGTAGGGTTTATTGTATTGGGTGAAAACTGGAGAAGTTTGTTGCCTTTACAAACTTCTCTAATTTTCACCCCATTAAAATATCATTTATGTCCTTCCTCGGGAGTCAAACTATCTACATACTAAATTTCATCTGAATCGGTTTAGTGGTTTAATATAGTGAAGAGGTAACAGACAGACATACATTCTTTGACATCTATAATATTTGTATGGATTTATTAAATAAGCCTTATTTGGCTTCTTCGTTTTTATAAATAATTAATAAAAGCTAGCTAGCTAATTTTTTTTATAAAAATTAAGAGCGACAACACTAATGCTGTAATGAAAACTAGCTAAATATCACAAAATAAAATTTAAGGTAAAATAAGAAGACAACCCGAAGCCCATTTTTATCTCAACAAAATTGCCTAGTTGCGGTACAGCTTTAGAAGCTTGTATACAGGGCGTCCCACGGGTACCTCACACGGAGGGAAAGTATATTAAATATTGAAGATAGGATATTTTACCGAAAGAAGACATCATTTTATTTTTAATTATAACTAGAACTGCATTCACATTTTTTTTTAAATCGCCTGCTAAAACGGGGAATCAAACTCGTGAAATTTCGAAAAAAAAACACTAGATCTTTTATGATAACCATCGAAAGAGTTAATCATAACAATAATTTTTTGCTAAATAACAAAGCATTTTAAATGAAATAAAAGTCATAAAATTACACATTTTATTAAAAATATTCAACAAAAAGTAATAAAAAACGAAATGTATCACATGTTCAAAATGTGATCCGATTTGTTGTATGCAAATTCTCACTCTATTGATGTTTTCTCTGCCTGCCGATTTCATTATCTTTGCGTGGTAAATGTTTGTAATAATATGTCTGAGTTATTTTGTAATTCATGTACACTGTCTTACCGGTTCTTGTATACTACATCTGTTACATAACCCCACAAAAAAGTCCAGTGGGGTTAGATCTGGGGATCTCGCTGGCTATCTTATTTGTCCATAAGAACCGATCCAGGAAGGAAAGTGTTCTTTAAGAAACTTAGCAGTTCTCCTACTGTTATGAGTCCCATTTTGCTGGAAAATGAGATTTCGACGATTTGCATCAGGAAGATTATTGATCTCACCTCTTAAAATATTAAGAATTTCTAGATATCTTTCCGTATTTAGATTCCCTTTGTAAAAATGTATTAAGAGAACCCGGTTTTTAACTAAAATGAAAAACACAGAGATTATTGATCTCACCTCTTAAAATATTAAGAATTTCTAGATATCTTTCCGTATTTAGATTCCCTTTGTAAAAATGTATTAAGAGAACCCGGTTTTTAACTAAAATGAAAAACACAAAAATAGAACAGTACCCTTAGCACGAACCAATATCGAATTCGAATAGTTTTTGAGTGCGAAATGTCATTGACAAATATGTACTGATTTTTAGTTCTCGTTACGTACTTTGTGGTGCTGTTGTATAAGTTTCCATACAAAATTTGACATTGATATTTCACACTCGCAAACTATTCGAATTCGATAATGGTTCGTGCTAGGGGTACAGACGCTTGAAAATGTATGTGTTCTATTTTCGAATTATTATTTTTACAAATTTCAGCCAATCGCATTGTTACTGAGTTCAAAAAGAAATGCATACGTACTACAGTTTGTATATCACTTTATTCTTTTTATCACGTAATAAGACATTCCTTTCATTTAAAATGCTTTGTTAATTAGTAAAAAATAATCTTTATGATAAACCCTTTCGATGGTTATCATAAAATATGTCGTATTTTTTTTTCGAAATTTCACGAGTTTGATTCCCAGTTGTAGCAGTCGATTTTAAAAAAAATCTGTGAATGCAGTTCTAGTTATTATCAAAAATTAAATGATGTCTTCTTTCAGTAAAATATCCTATCTTTAATATTTAATATACTTTCCCTCCGTGTGAGGTAGCCGTGGGACGCCCTGTATACTGTGGCTGCACTGTTATCAAATTTAAGTTTTTTGACACACTATACTATTTTTAGGAAACGCTTCCCTAGATTATGGCAAATACTTACGTGCCCTGCTTTAGTATAAATTGTACTGTTTTAGGTTAATTATCTCAGACCATCCGACTACCGTAGGATGTCAAACATAGCTAGAGGTGAAAATGCAGAAAAAAGGTACCTAAGTATTTATTTATATTCTTTATAAAACTCAGAATCTAAATAAGGTTGAAAGAATGTTGTGAAGTAAGAATCGTAAAAAAAATGTGTGTTATTGATAGTATAATTTTCGCATGCACATACAAATATTCATTCATAATTAACATAATCTATTCAACTAAACCAATCTTTACAGAATTAAAAATATGCGTTCAGAATCGATCGCCGAGATGAAATCTTTCAAAGACATAAAGTCGACATCAAAAATCACATCGGTAAAATCTAGAATTTAAAGTGGCTGTTTAGGTATATTGTGAATTTTAAAATTGATTAGGAATTATCTTTCTAGGATATCTTTGAAATTGTCGAATCTGCAACGGATAAACAGAATAGTACTGGCGAAGAAGTTGTTACTGATATCAACGAATTGGTCTCTATCGTAGATTGGTGAGTAGATAAATGTCTTTTAATATTAATTAGAATTAAAAATTAATTTATAAAAATAATTCTCTAACATCATAAATGATAATGGTCGCTTTTAATATATATGTTTCCGAATACGATAGGTATCTATTTTCAGTCACTCACATTTGTGAAGAACCAAAGCATGATTGAAGTGTGCCAAAAAACCGACAACATCTCAATTGCGCGCCACTATTGATAATTGTTTACAATCTTAAACCTCCTGTACACAGTGGCGACGGTCTGTAGTAGTCAAAGATGGCCCAATGTGTACAGGACACATAAAAACAGCGGATCATTTATATTTTCTTAACAATTTCTAGCATTTTCGCTAAAATAAATATGTTACCGCCGAGCTTCGATAATTCGAAGACTTTGGTTAAATTTTCATTACATCGTTACTCACTACATTCACACCTCCCTCCTCCCCTTAGAATATCTGCTGGCGATGCCCTTGATACGGCATAATGATGCAATAAACTGTTGTTGTATTATCGAAATTATCATAAAACTGATATCTCCTAACAGGACTATAGAGCACATCGAAGGAGAGATACATCTACCAATGCCAAATATTCCGGCTCTAATGGAAGAGCCCGCGGCCGGAGCGCACGTTGAGTTCGATGATCCGGTGTTAAACGCACAGCTGGAAGAAGCTGTAAGAATGTGGGAGACCCATATCGACAACACCATCAGTGCTTGCCTCAACAAGGTAGCTCTGAATTAAAAAAAAATATTTTAAAGCACACCATTTAGCCTAGCCCTAGAGTAAGCACTGTAAGGCTATTGTGTTATGGAATACTAGGGTAACAGATAGAATATATTATACTGATACATATAAACTCATATTTATCTAGAAATATACATCTATGAATTTGGTACAAATGCTCGTATTCATCACACTAACATTAATCCCACCGAGATTCGAACCCGGGATCTCTTGTGTAGGCGACACAGTTTTGGCTTTGGAGTCGTAGAACAAAATTAGCAGAACGTGATCAGTTCTGATTGAGAACTGAATCGGTATTTTGATCGATCGTAGGAAGCATCCTATTTTTACCCTTTGGATACGGAACCCTATGAAGTACAGTTGTCAGTCTCATCTATCAGTAAAACTGATTTAAAGGTTTTGATACAAATTGTCATTTTTGTGAAGTTTTTTTATGTAAGATAAACTTTCATTCTTCTAGATCCACGAAGGCGAAGGCCCAGTAGCGGAATATAACTACTGGCGAGTTAGAGACGCGGAAATATCTCTTCTCGTGGAACAGCTCAAACAACCCATGGTCGTCAAAATACTGTACACCCTCCAGAAAGTTAACTCCCCTATCATAGAGGTGAATAATTGAAGAGTGAAACTGAATATACTATAGGCGAACTTGCTTTAACGTTAAAGGGATGATAAGAAAGCGTATGGCCCGCCTGATGGTAAACCGCTGGCATAGCCTATAGATGCTTGCGGTACCAAAAATATCATTGGCGCTGCTGCCTATCCTGACCCAATGCCCTACACCGTGGAGCCCTGGAACCTTACTCTACCTTAATCACTCACGGGAAATCCGCTATTCCTTACCTCTCTTAAAACTAAAAATATTTATATTTTCTATATCAAAAGTAAAAACAAATATGTAGAATAACAGATATGAGAATACATTGAAAAATAACGAATTACCATGGCTATAAAGATTTTTTTTTCATGAGAAGTTTCTACTCGGTTCAGTTGTCAGAAGGGATACGAACCAGCACCTTACGCTACCGGACGGATGCACTCACCGCTATTCTACTGAGTAGTAGTAGTATTTCTTAGAATAATAGATAAGATATAAGATTAGCATACTTTGGGACTAAATAATGAGGATTTTCTTGAATGACGGGCGCTAAGTGGCAGTACTGAGGCGAAAGGTCTACTCATCATAGTCTATGGATCAATTTAAATGGTTTTCGATTAATTAACGCTAAGAACCATACAAAAGACATCTCGTCACAGTGACGCCAACTAGTGACGTGAATTTTCCTAAATACTTGTCATGAGTTGCTCAGGATTTCAGCGTTTTATTTTTACTTAAGTACTTATTTACAAACAGGCGTATACATATTGAAAGTTCTAGAAGTAAAAAATGAGAACTGTCGTAAAAAATAGTAACTATTTAGAAAAAGGATTGGTAGTTTTATACCATATGGATGAACTGAATGGTGTGTGCAAGCACCATCTAGCGCGACCAGGATCTTGTGGCGCGTGGTCGAAATTGGAACAAATTTTAACCTTTTATTTATAGAGAAAAGGTGTAAAAAGCCTTTTCTATTTCCTGTTACTGTTAAGTATGGTATACTTTCATACATTTTATTTCTATGGCAACACTATATTACTTGTTCCTTCCGGTGGCATAACTGTAGTTTGTGCTCTTCATTATAATAAAAACAAATGAATAAAACAAATCCAGTTTTATTGCCAGTAATTCATAATTAACAATTACCCTTTCCGAGTTATTGTTAATTATAACGTTCTCTTTAGTGAGATATTTTACGAAATTTGTAATTTTCATTTCACCCCTTATTCACCAGCAGCGCCCTCCTGTCAATGTTATCTAAGTGCCACGAGATCTTGGTCGCACTGTATAGGTGCCTTTTTGAGCAAAACCACGGATAAATAATCTTGCGCAATAGGCGTTTAGTATGTAAAATTGCTACTGAGCAAGCTTCCTTGTCTATGGTCGTTGCTAAAGAAGTTTGCCGGGGTGTATACCACGTTGATCCAGTAATTATGTTTTAGATTGATAATAACACTGGTCAACATGATTTTTGCCGTTGATTCAATTATACTGTTTTGATATATATTGTGTTTGTGTATAATATTATCAGAAAAAAAATGAAATCTAATATATAAAATTCTCGTGTCACGGTGTGCGTAAATGAACTACTCCGAAACGGCTCGACCGATTTTCGTAAAATTTTATATGCATATTCATTAGGTCTGTGAATCGGACAACATCTATTTTTCATCGCCCCAAATGTTAAAGGTGGTTCATGCTTAAATTTCTTTTATACAAATTTTATTGTTTTTATTTTTTTATGATACATCATACAAAATACATACAATACTAGATTTTCACCCTTCTACCTCCAACCCCTATTTTTTATGGCGGTACGAAGTTCGCTGGGACAGCTAGTAGTTCTATAACTTCGAAATATCTAAATATTACCATAAACGCTCTCGAACCAGAACCGCGAAAATACTGGAGACAGATTTTACCAGAATTTCACCACGGGTAAATAATCGCGATAGAGATAAAGTAAAGTGGTTCATTCTAATGTGAGTCTTATACTGTGCGACGTAACGGTGAATGTGCAACGACATCTGCACTTGTTTACAACTCATTTCTTACTTACGTATAAGCAGGTGCTACGCACAAGCGGGTGCTAGTTAACTCAATTAAACTGAACTTTTTTAGAATGCGTCGATTGGCGTATATAAGCGCGTTCGGCGCCGCGCAGCAATCAGTTGAGTTTTAACCACACGGGGGGTGACACACTCATTCATTCGACAATTCACAAAGAAACTACTGACATCTAAAGCATCGCACCCTAAAACTGCAACCCAATTAGTTTTATGAAGTAACGATAGATGTCGCAACAAAAGTATAAATATTTTATGCTTTAGAAAATTCAAATATCTTAAAACTTTTTAAATTATATGAAAATATAGGTGTAATTAATTATATATAACTTTTAATTGATATTTTTATTCAAGAGTTTATTCATTTATTTTTTTATATGGCAACACAATATACCTACAGCCTCTCGTCGTATCGTAACGTATCGATCATTCAAATTGATCGTCATCTTGGCTTGCGTGTGCATCGTTAAGTTTTCTGTCAAATTTGTGTGTTTTCAGTGTTTTACTGCTGTTAACGTTAAATTGGGATCTTTTCCTTCGTTGTACCTAGCGAGTGATTACAAGTTTGTACCAGTTACTTAAGTAGTAAATAAATCGATTGAATGAAAATCAATTACCTAGTTTTATTATTCAAACCATAATAACGCAGTTGTATTCTGCGAAAGTTAGCTGTTTTGTTATATTAGACTTCTTGAAACATTGTCAATAGGGGTGATGACGGGGTACAGTAAACGAAATTCTATTTAGTCCGTCAGTTAGATGATCAAAAAATAATGGACACGTATTTTTTTTTTGGGCAATCAACCAAAAAATGACAAAGTTATAGCGCGTCAAAGTTTGGGAGTACGGACTCGTGACGTCACTTCTGAATGAATTTTCACTTATAAGTGTACTCAAACGTGACGTCATGCCACTTTTCAAATGAATATATCTCTGCAATGTTTATATTATGTGTAAAAAGAAAAATACGTGTCCAATACTTTTTGATAATCTACCTGATAAACGAAGAAAAAAAAATTAGTCATCATCCCTATTGTAACGACAGTCGTTATAATGATAATGTTGTATTAAGTCTATTATAAAAATAGCTCTTAGTAGCTGTAGGTATAATACATACGTGTAGCTATAATTATAAGTAGTTTTGGGTGCCGAAATGAAGAGGCTGCCACTGAATTTTTCTCTAAACTACTAGGGGATTATAAAATATGTCTTTGGAGATTCATTTTCTTCTATAGCCATTTCCCAGATTAGCCAGAAATTTTCCCCATTTCCAAGTTAGGTACTGGAAGTCACGAGCACGGGGAGAGATTCCACTAGGATATTATGGCGATGGAAAAAAGATACCAGAGAAAATGGTCGTCCAGAATGCTCGTGATTTTTGTTGGACATCAAAACGAAATTATCCATCATTAGACCAGGGTCGATAATTTAAAGATTGGAGTTTTTTTCATTATTAATTTGCAGTTTCTGAGAACATTTACCATAGTAGTGTATATTTTTTTTATACCATCAGAAAGTAGAGATTTCAACAAACAAAAAACACCCCAACTTTTACAAAGGTAAGTTTTCACCAAATTTCGTGAAAAAATACTTTTTTTTGCAAAAAATAAAAATCAAAAACCAAAAACTCGGTTATTCGCATTTTTCACATAAATTTTGAGGTTATGTGAAAAAAGTGTCGATACAAAAGTTGTAGATCTTTTTATTACCTACATTTTTGCCATTTAACTGTTTTTCATAGGACTTGCAGTTTTACCGGAAATCGAGATTAACCATTTTTTACCCTTAAAAACTCACCCCCTCCCCCTTCCCGACCTCAGATCGCCCGTAATTTATTTTTCCTTTCATTTTTGTTATATTCTCTACCTTTTCTAATGGGTTTCATCCTACTATATTTTTTTTTGGCCTCAAAAATTATCGACCCTGGTCTACATACCATACAATCATAAGATACAAGCAAATACAACTCAACAATTTTCAGAATATTCATTTTTTTAAGAAAATGGATGTTTATTTTTTTTATATACGTATTTTAACTTATCGCATGTCTAGGTACGAAAAAACCCGAATTGCAAACGACGGCAAAATTATATTTTATTGTTGATCAGTGTAATCGTTGGTGATCGTCTTCTTTTCTTGACACACCCTCAATAAAGTACAATGCAAAACATTGGTAATGTTTCTATTTACTTTTGTATCTTTTTGAAATCCTCTTATTTGTAAAAGAGAACATGCACCTATTTCTAAAAATGGCAGATGTACTAGATCGCCACAGGCGTGATAACAGTAGACTTTGCATGCCCAACTCCAGAACAGCTCTAATGGGAAATAATATATTCTGTATGGCTCCTCGAATATATAATAAACTCCCAACATCTTTGAAAGATTTAAATTATAATCTGTTTAAACAGAAAATTATTCTACTATGTTCATAGCTATGGCAAATTTATTGACATTTATAATTGAATTGCAAGTACATATTGACATGTTGTTTATAGTTTTGGCCAATTTTATTAACATTTGATTATTAAATTGATTATTAAATTGACAATTGAAATGCAACTATTACTCAATGTAAAAATGAATTTTTAGATAATTTATTAGTATTTTGTATGCTCTTCCAAGGGCGAAACATATGGAACTTTTTATACAGGCTGTAAAAAAACCTATGACAAAGACTTAAACAACGCATTCTGTACACCCAAACAAGTCATGTTACAACATATTATAGGTGGGAAAAATTTGTATTTTTAAGTTATTTTTTTTTCCAGTACGCAATGTATAGCGCGGCGCGCTACTGTGGCGCTACGCAAAGAATGTGCCTGTGTGTATGTGTGTACGTCTGTGTAAGTGCGTCTATAAAAAAGTTTCTAAATAACGTTTTGTAAACATTAATGTATAAAACTTGAAAAAAAAAATTGACTTTGACCTTCATTATTCAATTCAATTCAATTCAATTTATTGCACTCATGTGGTTACATCGATATCTCCATAACCATAAATTTCCCAGGTATGGTCCAGAAGAAAAAAAATATCGTCATGGTGTGGAAGTACGTGGCCTTCGACTTCGTTATTGGTTTTTTTACACCCTGTATTATTTACCAGATGTAACAAACTATGTTTCATGCAAATAAACTTTCATTTCATTTCATTTCATTTACTTTAATGTGTCATTTCAGGAATTTCGATTTTATAAAGAAAGATTGATGGAGCAGTACAATTTGGCAGGAGATAATTTAAAATTCCTTTCTACTCTAATGCGCTTCTTTACGGTAAGTATAAAGTAAATAAATGTTCCAAGAATAAGTTACTCTTTTTTTAAGTCTTACCGTCGTATTTATAAACAAGAATTAGACATTTGTTCTGCTTAAGAAATGACTTGACTAACATTTCCCTCAAATAAGCCGCGATGTGGCATCATTAAGCGCATTCTACCGACTATACCACAGCGAGTGTTCTGAGGAGTTATTCTCCCTTATCCCTCCATCACCTTTTCTTCAGAGGATCACGCGCGCTGGCCGACGTTGCCACTGACTTACTGTGGCCACTATTCCTACACGAAAAAATAAATTTGGTGACTCATTTTTTGTCGTACTATTCGCAAGTGGCATTCTTTGCCCGCGCATGTGTTCCCTCCTTCCTACAATCTGAGGTCCTTTAAGAGAGGCATGAAGAAGCATTTTTGCAGGCCGGCAAGATGAGGATGGTCGGTGTAGCAGTTTATAACTGCTGTACCAGCTATCTACGCGTTTCGACTTCATCACCACTATATAAGTATACTTACGAAATTGATCAAGTAAGAACTGTCAAAAATGAAAATTCTTGTAACTCGTGCCACTACAAACGAATTGAAAGTGGCGAAGCAAGTCATTCTGTCTTTCTCGCATATGTTCAAGAGAGATAAAATGACTTCCATCGTCATTTGTGATTCCTTCTTTTGCGCGAGTCATAACCAAGTAATAGTAATCATTTTTGTTGCTAAGTAACCATTTGTTTTAATGAAGAATTCTAGTGTCAAGATAATGACTTGGTTATTTAGCAACAAAGTAATTACTTGCTCTTGTTTATAATTACGACAGTTAATATTATCCCTAATATTAAAAGGGAACTTATCAACCCAACTTCTGTACCATTTTTCTCCCTGAAACCTTACTCATCAACAAGAAAAAACATCACTGGAAATATTACTGTTGTTTTATTGACGGTACTGTTTTTGTTGATAAAATTAAAATTTTATCTTTAATATTGATTTTCAAATAGTTTTTAGCATTTTTTTGTTTATATTTAAAGGGTGGTAAATAAGCATATAGCCTGCCTGATGGTAAACGGCCACCATAGCCAATGGACGCGTGCGATACAAAAAATGTCACTCGCGCCGTTGTCTGCCCTGTCCCAATCCCCTAGCCCGTAGAGGCCTGGTACCTTACTCACCGATAGAAACACAAAACCACCAAAAGGTAGTGTTATTTTATGGGCATAGCGGATTTAAAAAAAGCCCCTATGCCCTTCCTATCTTAAACGTGTTACTCGAAAGTGAACTTTATAGGTGATAGAAGACGACTCTCCTCTCCAGCAAGTAATTGAAGTACTCCCCGAGTTAGTGGAAAGCATTTATATGATGTGGGTATTGTCAAAAGGGTATCGAACTGATGACACTATGGTCCCCCTGCTATCGAGGATATCCTGGGCTCTGTGCGATAAATTAGAGCGGTTCCTTAATGTACACAAGTTGTTCGAGTAAGTATGCTTTATATATCTATACATATTAAAATGGTAGGAAAGTCAAAACTGTACATTGAATATTTTTTTAAAAGAATACTGGGGTGATCTTCAATCGATACCGAAGCCAAAAATATAGTTTTTAGACATTTTCTCTGTTCCGGATAAACTCAAAAAGCACTTCATGGATTTACTTCAAATTTGGCACGAATATTATTAAGAAGTCGGGTCAACATATATGCAACATAAATTTCACGAAACTACCCCTAAGAGTTGTGATACGGGGGTTGGAAGTTTGTATGAAAGTCCTATGTTTTTGAAGTAAGAGACTTGAAATTTAACATGTATGTTCTCCAGATGGTGTAGAGGTGTACTGATAATGTATCTTTAGAAATAAACCCCCTTTTGGGGTCTTACTTTTTGAAGTATGTGCAAATAACTAACTCCACGCGTACGAAGTCGCAGGCAGCCGCTAGTATAGAATAAATCTATAACTATTTGACATTTGTATAGGGTCGATTTACTGCTTAATTACGTCAAAATAATAATTTCTGGACAATTCAAAAACAGTATTTCCTTGACAAAATTCAACCATATAAGATATATAAATCTAAAGAAAAGTTTACTAGAAATTCCACGTGGACCAGGCAGCAGACAGGGCTCAAACCCGCACCAACAATGCGAAGAGATGGTGCTTCTTGGCAGCCTAATAAATGCTAGAGAAAATTCGACACGGCCATCATGGTCGATCAGTGCATTCGCCCAGATAGCGAAGAGAGCGGGTTCAAGTCCCTTCTGCTGCCTTGTCCGCGAGGATTTTTTTCTAGTAAACTTTATTAGATTTAAACATCTAGCAGTTATATGCTTAAATTTTTTTTCTTTTAAATGTTAAAATACTTGTAAAGGTATTCATTTGACATTGTGGGTTACCTACAATGCGAAGAGATGGCGCTACCGTGCAGTATAAGAAATACTAGAGGGAATTCGACACGGCTATATGGCCGCAGTAGCATAATAGTCAGTGCATCCGCCCGGATAGCGGATGGTGCCGGGTCGAATCCCGTCTGTTGCTTGATCTGCGTGGATTTTTTTCTAGTAAAATTTTCTTTTTAATTTAAACATCTAGAAGTGAAATTCTTAAATAAATATAACAAATTTATCGTTAATAATTTGTAATAGTGCCCACTATAATTATTATTTGCAGTAAATCCAACGAAGAAATCTTGTCTTTGTCCCGCGCCGGTCAAAAGATAATGGAAATGTGGCACGATCTTTACAAGGAGACTCGTCGTAACATTGAGATAAGCGGGAAAGGTGCTCGTTGGGAGTTTGACCAACCTCTACTCTTCACCCGTACCGACTATATAGGGACTGTTGCTAAAGATCTGAGCGACGTCATCAAAGCAAGTATTTTAAAACCCGTTCTTTCCGTATAAGGAGATACGCCGAAACATTGAGATAAGCGGAAAAAGTGCTCGTTGGGAGTTCGACCAACCCCTATTTTTCACCCTTACCGACTGTTGCTAAAGATCTGAGTGTCATCATCAAAGCAAGTATAATAGGCTAAAACGCTGTCACACACTGTCAAATAGACAGTGTGAAAAATAAAGGCATGTTTATTTAAAATGTATGTAAGTAGGGAGTGATTTCACTGTTCTGCCAAAAAATGTTGATAAATATTTTTTGATCAATTATCACGTGACCAAAAACGCTTAGGATTGGTAGAGTCTAAAATGACGACACCTGCTTGTAAACATGCTGTAGAAGTGACATTACTTTGAGGTTATATTGGGAGCCGTGTGTCGTCATCCGTCTGTAAGACGCCATATTTGCTAGAGAAACGTTTAACGCATATTTGGAAGCGAAAACATAATTTTTATTTTACTTTTTTTACTGATGTCGGCAACCGTATTATAAAATAACCACTTTTATGAACGTTTTCAATACCTTATCAAATAGCTTTTCTTTAATAGTGTACTAGCGTACGAATGATAAATGTGTGCTTTCTATACAAGCAAACGCGCAGTAGCATTGAGTGTAAAACAAAAGGTGCTCGCTGGAAGTTCGATGAACCTTTACTAAAGTTTAAGTTATGTCTAGTCAAAGCCAAGTTAAGTCAAATTAGTCCGACGTTAAATGGTAATGAGGGGTTCGTGTTTATGTCTAGCTGACTAGCCACAATTTACTTGAAACGCGTTCACTTGTAGTTCACTTACGACAAGTTTCCGTCACACACCATGAAAAAGGCTTATCAAAGCTTTTTTGCTAAGTTTTTTTTTATTATCTCAATCATATAATAAGCCGCCAATAACTGATGTATCAACACACAACTCAAACCACTGAACAGATTGCGCTGAAAGGACATTGGGCAAAAATGTATGGACGCTGCACCCACGTCCGCCACGGCTTAAACTACCTTTGTTTGAAAGGTATTATAGCCATGATCATCTGTGCCAAAGCGCATCAAATTCCATCCCGGGTGTCTTTAGTTATTTTAAGTTAAATAGTTACAAGTACTATAACGAACATTAATGAAAAAAGGGAATTAATTTAGTTAGTTAGTTCGACACTACATAGGGGGCTCAGGTATTATGGGAGTACTTCATAAGGTTCAAGGATGCCCCCTTATGTGTTATTCTGCCGCACTAGAGTAAATCCAAAAATCCCTGCATGGGTTGAGGTTTTTCCAAACATTCTGTTCGTTATAGTAAATTGTCTTCTTTGTAAAACGGAGCGACTACAAATCACCCAAACTTGTCCACGCTTCGGAGAAAACATGATTCCAGTTCATCGATACTAATTGATAAAACCGATAATCGTGTTCCAATGTCCAAAGCATGGCAGATAAAAATCGATCAAGTGACAGGGAGGAGCGCACAATCAGTACGAAGTAAGACGAGTGGACTATTTGCAACTGCAAGTCCTTCAACCCCCGTAAACCGTTTTGCTCAGTAAGTACAAGCGCAGGTTGGTCGGCAGGCGTTGTCGTATATCTGGTTGTACAGTACGATATAGCATATTATTATGGTTACTAATAATGTGAAATAAAGGTATTAAAAAGTATACTACTTAAATATGCCCATGTGTCATATCTTCTGACTACCAGGATATTTTTACGGTGTCATATCTTTTGACTCCCAGGATATTTTTTACGGTGTCATAATAAAAAAGGCTAGCTTTTCATAGATCTATCGTTTCATACTAATTACACTGTTGGCGGAGCTGGGTGCGTTTTGCCCATTGTCCTTTGTGACACATTAAGCTATTACAATGTAGGCGTGCGCTATGAAAGCATATTTACAAAACTCACCCCAAAAAGGGGTAAAAAGGGGTTGAAAGTTTGCATGGAAAACCAATATTTCCACACAGACGAAGTCGCGGGCACACAAAAGCTTAGATTTAAATTATTGCTAAGAAATAAAACCACTTAACTTTTACTGGAGGTTGATTATTGAAACTGACCTTTAGTTAATCATCACGGTGTAACCAACAGGTACTGATCGACTTCGAGCGTATATTCGGAATGGAACTAAAATCCATCATCAGCGACCCAACTCAAATCGATGACGTACGCAAGCGAGTTAAAAATCTAGTCTATCCCATTCGCACTATAGACTTCAGTGTGTTCGTATTCGACAATAAGGAGAATTGGGATGTCATCATGGGCGACTTTTGGAATGAAGTGCGCTATTTAGAGGAAGAGGCTAAGAACTACATAAACCAGAGCTTCGGCAATTTAAGGTAGGCCTTATTAGTTTATCGAAGCAATAAACATACTTAGTCTATCCCATTCTCTCAATAGACTTCAGTGTGTTCGTATTCGACAATAAGGAGAATTGGGATGTCATCATGGGCGACTTTTGGAATGAAGTGCGCTATTTAGAGGAAGAGGCTAAGAACTACATAAACCAGAGCTTCGGCAATTTAATGTAGGCCTTATTAGTTTATCGAAGCAATAAACATACTTAGTCTATCCCATTCTCTCAATAGACTTCAGTGTGTTCGTGTTCGACAACATAGAAATTTGGGCCGTTCTCATGGGCGACTTTTGAAACGAAGTACGCATTTAAAGTAAAAGGCTAAGAACTACATAAATCAGAGCTTCGGTTATTTAACGTAAGCATTTTTAGTAACAAATATATATCCCATACTATCGTATTCGCACGATAGGCTGCAGTGTGTTTGTTTTTGCGAACAAGGAGAACAGGGAAGTTATCATGCGCATAGGTACAATCGCTGCTAACTTCACAACCGTGCTAAATGTTTGAACGACACCTTATATTATTATATCAGGTCTGCAGAGGAAGCGTTGGCGGTACTCCTAAAGTTTCTTGAATTCGATACTCGCGATTCTATTCGAAGGCAACTGTCCACTAAGTTTGACCTCATCATGCGTCAATTCATCAAGGAGATCACTGCTATTGAAGACAAATTTACTGTAAGTACATTGATTATCTAGTAGATTTTATAAACCACTTACAGCGCGTTCCATCTTTATTTTCTGAAGAGAAAATATCCGGAATCTATTCGTACATATCTAGACGCACTTATAAGCAGAAAAATCTCAAGCTTAATGAATTGAAATAAGTTATATCGATATTCAGGAGTTCACGTTTAAACTAAAATACTTAAATTACACATTTTCTGGCTTGTAATTTCACGCAGAAACTAGATTATATTTGTTTGAAGATGATAATTATAATCATAAAGTGATATTTTTAGCGATATCGCAAAAACCCGCCTCTGCTAAGGAATCATCCGCCCGTTGCTGGTGCCATATATTGGGCGCGTGCGTTATTCAACAAGATGAAACAACCCATAATGAAATTCCAAAAGGTAACTAATAATATTGTAATTAAAATTTGAGCTAAATAAATTAAATAAAAGTAGATTTTACTGTCACTGTTAATATAATTCACCATAGATATAGAGAATGGACGGAACGAATGAAATTGACAACTAGTAACTATTGAGTAAGACAAGAAGCGTACGATTGCTTTGTTTTTCTCATACATATCTACCCAGTTTTACTTGAGGGAACTACAGGGAACTCTCAGTTCATTCCCTATTTGACATTTATTATAACACATTAGTCAAACAAATTTACGAACTAAAAAAAGTTTGAGCAACCTCAATAATGTCGTTAGATATAAATGTAGATTCTGACACTTTGTGTGTGTCCTTTCTTATGTGTATGCATTCTTTTATGAATCCAGGTGCCCGAACTAAATGAATGTGAGCAGAAAAGAGAAGCATTTTTACAATACAAAGCCTTTTCGAAGCTCATCAAAGAGTACGAAGATACCAAGTATAAGAGTTGGGTGGACAGCGCTTCCGAGTTCGTAGACAATATGATGAAGAGGAACATACTCAAAGTAGTTTTTAAGAAAGAGGATGGTGTGTTTATTAACTTTGGAAATGATGTTTTTGTTTTCTGTGCTTGCTTTTAGAAAGTTTTCTGTGACTTAATTTAAATTTCCCGTCATATAAAAGTAATCTGCAAATAAGTTGCCTGCCATCGTAGTGTTATTTTATAATAATTTTCTATTTACAAGCTGACCCCTGTGAGGACTATGGTAAGGTTTTTAATTTTAATATATTCATTAAATTCATTTACAAGGTGACACGTACTATGGTAGGGGAGCCCAAGCGGGGATTTTTGGATTTACTTGAGGGCGGCAGATTCACAAAAGGGGGCAACTGCACAGCCCTCGACGCAGAGCCGAACGTCTAGGTCAACCAAAAAAATTTTTCAACAATCGGCCATGTCGTTAGTCGCGTCCAAATCGTTGGTGTTTTTAATAGAAGCTTCTGGAGAGTTCACGTAATAAAATATTCTACCCTTTCGTCAAGATCAATATTTTTTTGTCATCAGAAACGTTACGTAAACCCCTTGTCCTCATAACCTAAATCTATCCTCCTAAACCCCTTTAGCTACTAGACGAATTGGACGGGACCAAAAGACATTTTTTTGCTGTTTGGCCATAGAGATCTCAGGTATGGTGGGAGTACTTCATAAGGTTGCCCCCCCTCCCATATGTTAATAAGAGTACATCACAAGGTGTAAGGTTAAATGTTAATATGCCTCGCTCGTGTTATCCGAAAATCCCCGCTTGGACCCCCTACTATAGGAAATCGATAGCGTGCAAATGGTTAGTGTATGGTTTGATTTTAGCAATGAATGGCTATCGGATGGGTGACCAAAAATTCATTATATTTACCTCCTCCAAGCTTCGGAAGGCACATTAAACCACAGGGACTAACATTCCCAGCTGCATCGCAGTCCTTAGCAGCTACTAGGATCGATCCGTATGGATGGATGAACGAATATCCCTCTTCCATCCACAGGGAAGGTCTATACTGCCAGCAGTACTTCACAATAACAATAAAATGAGAACACGTGATTTTATAAAGCATTAAAAACGTTGCAGTTCTCAGTTTAATTTTTTTTATTTAGTGGCGGCACCTACCGCCGGTCGCGGAATGCAATTGACTGCGGCGGGTCGAGCGCATGTGGCCCGAAGGAAGGCCTCTATGGTGTCTCTACAACCCGCTGACGTAGTCCAGAAGGAGATTGCCGCGAAACGACGCCGGGACAAAGCTAGTAAGTTAATTAGAAACCCAAATATTTATTCAATTAGCAGTGACATCAAGTGGCAGGTTAAAGTTTCCATGATATCTTTACAACCCGCTGATGTAGTCCAAAAGGAGATCGCCGCCAAACAAAGCCGAGACAAAACTAGTAAGTTAACTTGGAATCCAAATATTTATTCAATTAGCAGCGACATCAAGTGGCAGGTTAAGGTTTCCATAGTATCTTTACACACCCCTGACGTAGTCCAGAAGGAGATCATCGCGAAACAACGCCGGGACAAAGTTAGTAAGTTAACTTGAACCCAAATATTTATTCAATTAGCAGCGACATCAAGTGGCAGGTTAAGGTTTCCATAGTATCTTTACACACCCCTGACGTAGTCCAGAAGGAGATCATCGCGAAACAACGCCGGGACAAAGTTAGTAAGTTAACTTGAACCCAAATATTTATTCAATTAGCAGCGACATCAAGTGGTAGGTTAAAGTTTCCATGATATCTTTACAACCCGCTGACGTAGTCCAGAAGGAGATCGCCGTGAAACGACGCCGGGATAATGTAAGTAAGTTAACTTGGATCAAATATTTATTCAATTAGTGGCGACATGCAAGTGGCAGGTTAAGGTTTCCATGGCATCTTTACACCCCCTGACGTACTCCAGAAGAAGATCGCCGCGAAACAACGCTGGGACAAAGCTAGTAAGTTAACTTGAAACTCAAATATTTATTCAATTAGTGTCGACATCAAGTGGCAGGTTAAGGTTTCTATGGTATCTTTACAACCCGCTGCCGTAGTCCAGAAGGAGACCGCGGTGAAACGACGCCGGGATAAAGTTAGTAAGTTAACTTGGATCAAATGTTTATTCAATTAGTAGCGACATCAAGTGGCGGGTCAAAACTTTTATGGTGTCTTTACAAACCGCTGACATAGTCCAAAAGGGAATCGCTACGTAACGACCCATCACAAAGCTAGTAAGTTAACTTGGAAATTAAATATTTATTCAATTAGTGGCGACATCAAGTGGCGGTTCAAGGCTTCCATGGTGTCTCTACAGCCCGCCGATGTGGTCAACATGGATGGCAGTATAACGACGCCGGGACAAAGCTAGTAAATTAACTCGTAACTCTAATATTTATTGATTTGGTGGCGATATCTAGTGGAGGGTCAAGTCTTTAATAGTGTCCTTACAACCAGCTGACGTAGTCCACAAGGATATCGCCACGAAACGACGCCGGGACGAAGCCAGTGAGTTGAATGGAACTTAGAATATATATATATATATATATATATATATATATATATATATATATATATATCACAGAAGTCTTATGATTTTTCGAATTACACAGAAAAATATACTGAACTTAGAACAGAGTATGAATCTGGCGCTTGTTGAGAACGTTTTTTATAAGTGCCTATGTTTTGTTTGACAACTAATCATACTCGCATTGAATTGACAACTCTTAATATTTATTAGATTTTATACTAGCAATCTTTGTAATATTTCAGTAATGCTTATGAGAATACCTGGACAACACTATGAGAATGTCAGATCACCGAGCTCCGTATCTCTTCTTGCAAAAGAGGGACTGGTAAATAAATATGTTTTTTTATACATTGTAATGTTGTCAAGAGTCAGACAAAATTGCAATTCTAAAATTTAATTAGACATTACAACAACGTGGAACATTCTATCTAAAATAAAGTAAAATAATGAATTCTTTAATTTAGATTCAAATATTTTTACATGTTTAAATCGGAACATTATAGTATTGTAATTTTTCAGACTGACGTTACTTGGCGAGACTTAACAGTTCACAAACTTATGCAGGAGTACGACTTAGAATTTCAACCAAATTTTAATAAAGAAATCTTCCAGTTGATACATGAGGCAGAACTTATGGAACAGCTAGGTAAAATATATTAGGATATCAAAATTTAGATTTGGGTAATTCACAAAAATAGTACTTAGGCTTGCAGATATAAATAGAAACCGACAATCTCAAAATCAATACTATTTGGATTTACCATAGTATCAATTGTAGTATATAAATCTCAGATACTCAGTGGTTCAGGTCAGGTTCAGTCTTGTAACCACGTAGTATACTCGCGCCGTTGCCTACCCTGAAAAAATCCCCCACCCTGTGGATCTTATACAGGGTTAATTTTAAAACACCAACAACCTCTTAGGGGGTGATTCTGATCCAAATCCATCAAACCCAAAAAATAAACAGCAGTTTCATACATTTCGGTCGATTAGCTGATGCACTTTTGTATGAAACAGCAGATTTTATTCGCAATTTCAGCGTTGGTCCTATAGTAAAAGTTGTTCCTGTTGATGGGTAGAATCACCCCCTAAGAGGTTGTTGGTGTTTTAAAATTAACCCTGTATAAGATCCACGGGGTGGGGGATTTTGTCAGGGTAGGCAACGCCGCGAGTAATATTTTTTGAATCGCAAGCGTCTATAGACTGATGGTAAGCGGCCACCATATACAAGCATAATAATATGCTTGTTTGCCAACCTTTTAACATAAAAAAGTATATTTATACGCACTCATTTCCTATTATTGCTGTACCTAAATACACTAGATATAAACATCTCTGTCAACCAGGTTTCGCACTCCCCTCGAATATTCGCGACGTGGCGATGCAAAAGAGTCGCCTCTACTACGAGCTGGAAGCGCTCAGTACAGTGATAGCTAAATACAACGCCAGCGCGGCGTCGCTGAGCCTTTCTGAAACGCATTTGATGAAGAAACATCTTCTGGATATGGAGCGTCATATATTGCCCGGATTGACCAGGGTCACTTGGACAGCGCTTGGTATCAACGACTACATTAAAGATATCACCAAAGGTAAAAATAAAATCGGAACTAAACTTGCAAACATAATCGCATGAACTATTTTTACAAACTAGCGGTAGGAAACCCATTTAATTAAGAAACACCTTCTGAATATGGAGCGTCATATCCTGCCCGGATTGACCAGGGTCACTTGGACAGCGCTTGGTATCAACGACTACATTAAAGATATCACCAAAGGTAAAAATAAAATCGGAACTAAACTTGCAAACATAATCGCATGAACTATTTTTACAAACTAGCGGTAGGAAACCCATTTAATTAAGAAACACCTTCTGAATATGGAGCGTCATATCCTGACCGGATTGACCAGGGTCACTTGGACAGCCCTCGTTATTAACGACTAAATTATAGATAATATTACTAAAGGTAATATTAACATGGGTAAGATATTTTGCTGAACTTGCTCGGAATTAAACTTGCAAACATAATCGTATGAAATATTTTTACAAACTAGCGGTCATAAATGCATTTGATGAAAAAACACCTTCTTGCGTCATATCCTGCCCGGATTTATCAGGATCACTTGGACAGCACTCAGTATCAACGAATTAATTAAAGATATCAACAAAGCTAATAATATTTCTGAAAGATGCATCATGTTATACTTATTTATACAAAAGAAACAAAATTTGTATGCCAAATCATTTGAACTCGAATCTTGCTAATCTTGTTTAAGTAACGTAAAAACAAGGTACATGGTAACAATCCCGTAAATGACTTATATTACTATAAAGTACAAACTTGTATTATACCTATAACCTTTGATCAATAATATACTTAAGGCCATTTGCACCAACATTCCTAATTCAAATTAAGGCTTAATCCACATTAACAAATCATTCCATCTTTGTCAAATATTTAAAATCAAACAGAGTTATAATGATGCTTATGCCCACTTGCAGCAAATTTGCTAAGTCTTGATTCCACTTAAACTAGTTTTAACCCATAGAAAAATGTCAAAACGTCATTGTTGTATGGACGAAATCTAGATTAAGTTAAATTGAGATTTAGCGGAATTGTTGACAGTGGACGGTGTGGCTATAACGTGATTAAGTTAAAATGTTTATTTAAGAAATCTGGTTTTAATGAGCCACAAAAAAGAGATTAACAAGTTATTTCAAAAAATGCAGGTGAAAACTCCCTAAGGGCAGTATATCAGCAATTGAAGATGGTGGAGAAGGAGATCCAGTTCCTAATAGACCAAGTAGAGATGTTTGACTTGTTCCCAATATTGAAGCCTCAGGGCTACATCGATCCCAGCACTAAGGAACCCGACGATACTTGGCTCTATCCATGCAAGGTATAGAGTATAAAGAAATTATTTCCTCCAGTTGACTTTGTGCTTTATTATACTAGATATAAGATTCACAATCTACTGAGAAAATGAGTCAGTTTGTAGTAGCTTTAAGTGTGGCTGTCTGCACAATCATCAAAGATTAATGTGTTGCTAAACCATAGTTGTAACCATAGTCGCCGCACACGGGCCACTGACCACAACCACAAAACGCCGCCACCGGCATATTTCCTGTTTTTTTCATACATTTTATATAGACTCGCCACACACGGTAGGTCTCTCCCTTACCTTAGCCGGCCGCTGTCGCGCGCTTCAGCCACTTTAGTAGCCGCTTCTAGGTTCTCGTGGCGGCGTTTGGGCTGTGGCGTGTACCCCGTGTGCGGCGACACTTATACGTTAACATGCTCAAAATGAAACAAACTTGATTTCTTACTATATAGTCACTCAACAATCATCGTTTTTTTTGTATTTTTGAACCGTGCGATAGCCGTACATTAAGGTGGTTAGGAACTTATCTGATTCCAAATTGCGACTGACAAGTTTTTTTTTTATTTCATTTGTACCATGACCGTTTTCCTCTTGAAAATAAGTTTTTATTTTGGATAAAATGGTATTCAATCTTAATTCGTCCTTCTCCTAATATTTATTACATACCCATGCAATGTATAAAGTAGGACGTACTAACATCGGCAAGCTATCTCAAGTGAACGTGGAATTTTATCGACCTTCATAGTATAAAACAAAGTCGCTTTCTCTGTCCCTATGTCCCTTTGTATGCTTAAATCTTTGAAACTACGCAACAGATTTTGATGCGGTTTTTAATAGATAGAGTGATTCAAGAGGAAGGTTTATATGTATAATATATGCATGCATAATATAGTAGAGAAACACTGATAATTTTAGAGGTTTTTAATGTCGTTTAAAGGTCGTAAATAAACACATTTTTTGCGCTTACATTGCAAACGCTGGCTGAACCCCACGAGATAGATCAAAATAATGTACTACAGTATTGTACACCTTAAAAAGGTCTACAAAAAAGTCCGCGATGGTATATGTCTATCTCTTAAGGATAACCCTCAATAACCAATTTTTATCCTATACTTTTTACGAGAAATAATAGATTATTTACGAAGCGATTTTAAGCAATATAACATTCATCCTTATCCAATTAAGTACCTCAAATACATTGTGCATTTAATATAGAACAATTTGGCCCTTTAACGCATATAATTTAAATGAATATTTTCGAAGATATTACAAATTTAAAATTCAGGGACATAGCGGTTCCGACGCTACCGGGCTTGGCGGCGCGTGCCTATTGTAATTGGGTATTAGAAGAATGTCATTGTGTATAATACAAGCCTGAGAACAAAAACTATAGTCTACATTACAGTTTTACACCGAAGCGAAGCGAGGGCGGGCCACTAGTTAATAATAAATTAACACTACATATAAATATATTGCAGACTTACTTCGTGGAAGTGGAAAATGAGCGTCTAAAGCGCATAGCCACCATGTCGCGCATCTACGAACGCATCGGGCCCATACTGATGAAGCTGGAGTATTTGATTCTGGGCACTAGTACAGGTCGCTCCAATGTCATGACCTCGTACTACTCTTACTGGGAGACGAAGATATTCAGGTGTCTCGTTAGGTAAGTGGGTTGATATAAAATTCACTGGTTAAACGCTCGCTTAACTACGAACGTATCGGGCCCATACTGATGAAGCTGGAGTATCTGATCCTGGGCACTAGTACAGGTTGCTCCAATGTCATGACCTCGTATTACTCTTACTGGGAGAAGAAGATATTCAGGTGTCTCGTTACGTAAGTGGGTTGATATAAAATTCACTGGTTAAACGTTCGCTTATTCGCGAACGTATCGGGCCCATACTGATGAAGCTGGAGTATCTGATCCTGGGCACTAGTACAGGTCGCTCCAATGTCATGACCTCGTATTACTCTTACTGGGAGAAGAAGATAGTCAGGTGTCTCGTTACGTAAGTGGGTTGATATAAAATTCACTGGTTAAACGTTCGCTTATCCGCGAACGTATCGGGCCCATACTGATGAAGCTGGAGTATCTGATCCTGGGCACTAGTACAGGTCGCTCCAATGTCATGACCTCGTATTACTCTTACTGGGAGAAGAAGATAGTCAGGTGTCTCGTTACGTAAGTGGGTTGATATAAAATTCACTGGTTAAACGTTCGCTTATCCGCGAACGTATCGGGCCCATACTGATGAAGCTGGAGTAACTGATTCTGGGCACTAGTACAGGTTGCTCCCATGTCATGACCTCGTACTACTCTTACTGGGAGAAGAAGATATTCAGGTGTCTCGTTAGGTAAGTGGGTTGATATAAAATTCACTGGTTAAATGCTCGCTTATCTGCGAACGTATCGGGCCCATACTGATGAAGCTGGAGTATCTGATCCTGGGCACTAGTACAGGTTGCTCCAATGTCATGACCTCGTATTACTCTTACTGGGAGAAGAAGATATTCAGGTGTCTCGTTACGTAAGTGGGTTGATATAAAATTCACTGGTTAAACTTTCGCTTATTCGCGAACGTATCGGGCCCATACTGATGAAGCTGGAGTATCTAATCCTGGGCACTAGTACAGGTCGCTCCAATGTCATGACCTCGTACTACTCTTACTGGGAGAAGAAGATATTCAAGTGTCTCGTTAGGTAAGTGTAGATAAAAAATTCACTGGTAAAACGCTCGCTTAACTGCGGACGTATCGGGTCTTTACTGATGAAACTGGAGTATCTGATCCTGGGCACAACTACGGGCCACTCGAGTGTCATGATCTCGCACTACTCTTACTGGGAGAAGATGTTCAGATATATGATATAAAATTCGCTAGTTAAACACTCATAAAAAAATTCTAAAATATTACCCCAAGTATTAAAGATATAAAAAACTAAAACCATGCTAAAATAGGCATACTGTGAAGCATCTTTGTCAAGAAAATATGAATCAGGAATGTCACGACGATGTTCAATATTGATATTGCTATTTTGCAATATTATTTTAAAGGCTTAAAACGATATCTTAACATAGATAATAAATAGTATTATATTACATTCCTCTCACGTCACATATGTCTTTGGTTGGGTCTACAATCTCGTTCAAAAACAATAGCTACATGCTTTGGTACTCTGCAAGTTATCGTTGCTATCCGTCAATAAACTTTTACTATCTGCATGGGAAAGTTATAAACGGTATTGTGTAATGTTCTTTCGTTCTCAATCCAGCACTATTTATTACGCTATTGTAGTACACCCATACCATAAGACACACAACAAAACAACTTATATTGGTAATCTAGCCTAATCGAAGTGCAAAATTCACTGTAGCAAGATCTTACATAAGTTCATACTCAAAAAAGCTTAAATAACAAAGACATTTTATTTAAATGTGTCTTAATACTAGATTTACTCTGGAGAATCTAGAGCAGTTCCAGCAGTTGCTTAGCGAGAAGAAGCCGATGTTCCAAGTGGACGCAATGCTAGTCCCTCCCGACATCACCATGCGGCCCACTTCGCCTGAAGTGTGCAACATAGTCAGCTACAACATCAAGCATTTCCTCAACAGGTCATTATGAATTAAGGTATTTGAAAACAAGTAGCTATACTCTGGAGAATCTGGAGAAGTTACAGCAGTTGGTCAGCGAGAAGAAGCCGATGTTCACAGTGGACGCACATGCTAGTCCCCTCCCCCCACCTTGAAGCCCACTGAAGTGTGGAATATAGACAGCTACAACATCAAGCATTTTTTTAACAGTTTAGTATGAAGTAATAGTAGGGAAGCTCAGGCTCAGGTATGATGGGAGTATCAACGATATAAAATACCCTAGATACACCACGTGCGCTCAAAATGTGTCCCAATCAAGAAGTGCTTAAACTCTACTCAAGCACTTCTTGGTTCTCAATCACGCGCGGGCTGTTGAATAGTCAAGATGCCGCAGAGCTCCGTGAAAAATGCGAAAAAAAATACTTACAGTACGTGTAAAGTGTCGTTTTTTCGACAGGTATCTTATCAATGTTTGTTAATTTAACGCATGTTTTGAAAAATTGTTTTAATACGCACTATAATCTGATTTAAGTTAGTTTTTTCGTAGCGTATTGTGTGCAGCAATTATGTTCTAATACTTATTTTTATTTTTACTTCGTTCCAACCAAGTGTTTCACGATACTCCCGTTCCCTTTTTATATTATACAAGCTGACGGCTCACTTGATGGTACGTGATCACGTGAGTCAGGAGTCCTGACTGACTTTGCTCCGTTTGAAACAAAGAAGATCCCCAATTCTGTTGCAAAAATATTTTTTATACATAGATTGTTTTGTGGATCATGCCAATAGAGTTAGTAGAAATTGCGGTGATCTAATTGAATTTTACGCTCATTTTACAGACTGACTTCTTTCCCTCGGTGGATGAAGAAAACTTGCTTACCGTGTCCGCCACAACGTATCGAAGACACGACAGGCAACGAATTCTATGTATTCTCCTATTTCGAAGATATTCTACGCGTCGTAGCCATCAATGACATCACACTACTCATCCAAGATACTATATACAGGCTCACGCAAGATATTAATACTTATATACAAAAGTGAGTTGATGTATTTTTTGATACAAGAGGGGCAAAAACCATATGGCCAGCCTGATGTTAAGCGGCCGCCAAAGCCTTAGACGTTTGTAATTCGAGAAATAATATTCGCGTCGTTGCTTATTCTGATGACTCCATCCCCAACCACATAGTGTAATAATAATTCCAGAAAGATCCAAAATATTATTCGTTTTAAAGAATGATTTTTCAGTTTTATTATTATATAAAAGTCGCGATTATATTTCAAGTTTTTTGTACCGTATAGATATTTCAAAATCCGTAAAAAATCCGATTAATGATCATATGTGAAAAGAAGTCTTTACTACGCCTTCGGTCTTTTATAACGTAAAATTTCCAATTTCTATTTCACATAGATGGCAAAAGTACCAACACTTGTGGGCGTTCGATAAGCAGCTATCCTGCGAAAAGTACATTCAAAAACACGAGCAAATCTACAAATACGACGAAAAGTTCTTCTTCTTTGAAGACATTATCCATGACTTAGATGCTCATGTCAAATTCGTGGACGTCGGCGCTATCAGAGTTAACCTTAGGCCCATTATAAGACAAGTACAAGGGCATGCGCAAGAATGGAAGAACATATTGGGAAATTGTATCGCGTCTAAAACTAGGATGAATATGTACGACTTGAAGAATCAAATCGAGGCAAGTATATCGAGTATATTGAACTTTACTACAACGACACGGATTCGTTTTTTTATGTCAAAAGGGTGGCAAACAAGCACTTTAACGACCTCCGTGGACGAGTAGTTTATACGCCGGGTTTCATGGTGTCGTCGAATCGAGAGGTCCTGGGTTCGAATCCTGGTGGGGGAGATGTTTGTGTGATGAATACGAGCATTTGTACTCCAGTACATATGTTTAATATGTATTTCTATATAAATATACTTATATATGTACAATATATGTATTCTATCCGTTACCCTAGTACCCCAAAACAAAAGCCTTACAGTACCTACTTTGGGGCTAAGCTAATAGGTGTAAGTGTTGGAAATATTTATATTTATGTATAGCCCGCTTAATGATGAGCGGCTACCATAAGCCTATAGACTCCGTGGAGCCCTGCTACCTTACTCACCGACAGAAACAGAACGCCATCATAACGTATTGTTATTTTCCTGTGGTCTTCTGTAATGTGAAGGTTGCTTCCCCAGACGGGCACTCCAAATAGAGCGGTAAATTCGCTATTTGTTTATTTATTAAGCTCTACCACTCTTGAATGTGAAGTTGAAGAACCTTTCATTTTGTCAGTGTTCGTGCTAATCTTGTTCCATAAATCATTTACATGAAAGTAGGTAATAGAAAGAAATCCGGATACGTTGCAGTTTTTATAAAGCACCCCAACACAATTTCTTGGTCGTGATATTTATTCTTACTTACAAGAACATGTGAAGCTTTTTTTACTTACACTAGTCCTTACAAACAGTTTCTTGTAATTTAATAACATTTTATTGTCTTCGAACATTAACTTTAATATAGAATCAGAAACCCACAAATTGAAAAAAATGTATTATATAGTTACAATGTTTATGTTATACAGTTATAATGTACTTTATATTTATCAATATCAAACACAAATAGAGTGCAAAAAGTAAGAACCTGCGCTGCGTTAAGTGACAGCATGGAGCGGGCGTTTGCTCCGCGTGTTTCTTTTATGTTATTTCATAGAGCAAAGCTGCGTGGGGTAGACCTCCCGGGCAGGTGCGTCTCTATGAAATGACAGAAAAACTGCCCGTGGAGCGGACACCCGCTCCGTGACCCGCTTGACGCAGCGCAGGCTCTAAGAGCATTGATTGTAGACTACATCTATTTTTCCACTATCCATAATTCTATTTATAGTCACTCCGTATGACCATGAACATGAACATAAAGGGCTTGGAGGATTTCAAGCTGGTCATGGCGACCATAACCCAGGTCCAGGCGATGACCATTACTGCCGAGGTGAAATACCGTGGCATGCAGGAGATCTTCCATATGCTGAGACAACATGGTATCGACGTGAGTTAGCATTACCTCATCACCATCATCAGCCTTTTAATGTCTCCACTGCTGGGGCACAGGCCTTCCCTATGGATGTAATAGGGGAATTCGGCCATGATGAGCCACCACGCGGGCCCAGTGCGGATTGGTGGGTGCTAATAACTGCAGATGCAGCCGGGACCAACGCTTCAACGTGCCTTCCTAAGCACGGAGGAGCTCGAGATAAAGTATTTGGGCACCCATCCAATGATCGACTATTGCGAAAGTTACTTATCTTTCACGATCGCAGGCCAGACGCGTTAACCACCGGCACCATTGAACTCAATAACCTAATAGTTGATAATAAAGCAACAGCTGTACGTAGCATAAAAAAGTTTATCAAAACAAAAAAAAAATCCTCAAAATTATATAAGAACCAGAACTTTTCAATATGGTGGAAGGGGAAAATGTTGATTAGCATCAAATGGGCGTGACCTTTTTGCCATAAGCACCACAAGTGTGAGGGAGATAGCAATCTGATCCCACTATACTCACGTTACGTATTAAACTGTAATTTAGTTTTATGACCAATTTTAAGTCCAGTAATTGTAGTTTTAGGCTAGTCATTTAAGACATCATAGGTTGAAATAATTTGCACTCCTGATTTTTTAGTATAATGTTAGGATAGTTACCAATAATGTTAAAACAAATTTGCAGCTTCGAAAGACCTTTGCTACATGCATGGTGGCCAAGAGGCCTCTTCTTCCGTCCATCATTTTGCCGCGAGATTTGCTTCGATTTTAAGCGCTGCTTATACACCTCTACACAACTTTTTCTGTAATTATGTAAAACTAAAGGTTTAGTTACTACTTTAAAGGTATCCGACGAAGACCTAGAATTTGCCAAAAACTTGGAAACCTCGTGGGGTAGTCTGTACCAAACGTCGCTGTTCCGTGGGAACACGCTTGAGCAGACCAAAGAAAAATTCTCCAAGCTCAACGTGGTCGAGATATCTAAATTCTTGCAAGAGCTCGACGAATTCGTTGAGAAATTCGATAATGAAGGACCAGCTACTGTCGGAGAAGATATGGACAGAGGATTGCTGCTTATGGAGGTATATTTTTAGATCGGGAATTCTTATACCTTTTTTAAAAGAGTACAAAAGGAGTTGAACTGTAAAGATAGCTGATGCGGTTGAACAATCCTCAGTTCTTTTTAAAGAATCCCATAATAGACCCTTGAAATAAATGTTCAGAATTATTTCCAAAAGATAACATAATTTTACAGTAGGTTAGGGTTAGTTCCCTGGGCGGGTTAATAATTCGAACGGCATATCGCTCATAACTAAAACTAAATAAAACGTTTTGAAGCTACGAGATTATGAAATACTAAGGTCGACTGTTGCTCGATTTAATGTAAAAATAACCAACTTTTTTGTTGCCTCGCGACTGAGAAGTTGTCGTACCTTTGTGTTTTTAACGAGTCATCAGTTAATAACTTTACGTTAAAAGAATACAAGTACTACTGTCCAGTCCTATACTTATTAAAACAGTAACTGATTAATCTGTTACAGGAGTATAACAAATATATTGACGAGCTTGAATCGCGCAAGAAGATACTGCAAGCTGCGGAACAGCTATTCGATAATCCCCTCGCTGATTTCTCGAACTTCAACCGCGCCAAAAGTGATTTCTTAGCCATGGATCAAGTGTACAAGATTTACAAGGCTCAGAAGAACGCGAGAGAACTGTGGGCTAAAACGCTCTGGGTCAATTTGAACCCACAAGCCTTGGTAGATGGTATCGAGCAGTTCTTCAAAGAATATAGGTAAGTGTTAATATAAGTTACTATAGGGATCCAAAAATTAATAATTACCAGGGTATTAATGTCCTCAATGCTGAGGCACAGGCTTTCTCTATAGATGGCATAAAGAGAACGGGAAATGATTTAACATGCGAGCCCAGTGCGTATAGGTGGGTTCTAACGACTTCAAATGCTTCACATGCCTTCCAAAGCATGGAGGAATTCGAGATAGTAAATATTTGGTCATCCATCTAATGACCGGCCATTGCGAAAACTGCTTAACTTTCACGATCATAGGTAGAAAGCGCTAACCACCAGCGCCGTTAAGCTCCTCAGAAAATTAATAAAAAACAGCAAAAATCTTGTTACTTCAAGAAAATATTTGCTATAGTTATCAATTATAATAAAACAATAATATATAAAAAAACAATTAAAAATATGCTTACACGAGTTGACTTGTTTCTTAATTATGTTTGTTTGTTTTTGGAGAATAAAGAAAAGCCATGTGAATGGAGTAAGGAGAATTAAAAAAAACGGACATGTGCTGTTCACATGCGATAGAAGTGAAACCTACAAAAATGTGAACACGTAAAATTCCTTAATGACTGGGAACTGTAAAATACTAGGCAAAATTAAATATTCTATACTTAAATTGTTTTGAAAAATAAATAATAGCTTAATAAAAGAAAAAAAAAATTTAAAAAATAACTGAGCTCAGGATCGAATCACCGATCATTTTGTGCCGACCCCAAGACCGTTACCGGCTATCTTTATCTTGCAGAGAGTTACAAAATTACGGTTACCTTGTGTCAAATACTGTTAAATTTTCGTTTCATCGAGTTTCAAAAAACAAAGAAGTTTCCACTTCATTATATATATAAGTATTTACACTTCTTAAATAAAATTTCAGGAAACTCCCGAAAGTCGTCCGGTTAACAAGTACTGGCCTCATGTTAGATTTGAAGATGAAACAGTTCAAAGGCGTAGTACCGCTCATGTTTTCACTCAAGAACGAGGCGATGCGTGAGCGCCATTGGAAGGAGCTAATGGCTAAGACTGGTACGAATGTTTTTACTTTTTAAAACAATAGGTGGTGTGCACGCAAAGAAAACGGCTCATGTAAAGCAGTCAATGTGTGCGTGTGTAGCGACGAGCATATCTACCATATGTGGTAGATATTATTTGTGCCGCTTCTGTGCAGTTAATACGATATCTAGGGTATATATAATCAAAGCCTGCAACTAATAATGTTGGAGCTGTATATATGATCCATTTCCAATGCTTAGTACATTTTATTCCCCTCAAATGAAGAAAGGCAGATTCAATCGGAACCTCTTAAAGTTACATCTGATTATAGTGATTTACTTTTAAAAGCAGTATCTCTTATCTATTAGACAAGTCCGTCCGTCCGTCCGTCCGTGGTGCTGTTTCAGCGGCCAAACCGTAAGAGATAGATATAGAGAATGTTTAAGTTATAAGTTAAGAATAGTCTGATAAGACTACAAACCGGATGTGAGTAACGTAGCACTTCCGGTTTTCGAGAAATCACGTTATTTCTATTTCAAACGAAACCACACAAAATCTCCGAAGTTCTCAATTAATTAAATACCTTCTTTTTTTTTGTGAACATTTGTTTCACTGGTTTGCTAGTTTATTATAACACTAAAATAAGTAACTGGACTTTTGCATCCGTTGGCATAGCGTTTGATGATCAGGATAGCTTGTAACAGCCTAGACATAAATTTTAGTGAAATATGAGTAGGTATATTTACTGGGAAACGCCCATACTTTGCATTTCTTTATATTTAAACGAGTGATTTTGAGTTAATAAATAATTTAGTATTTTTGATGTGTAACATCTTACCTCTCGCTTTCGTGCAATTTGTGGGAGTGCTTACGTGAAGTGGGACGGAAGTGCGTGACAGGAAGTTTAGAAAGCGCGCGCTATTTGATTTGATTTTAGAACAATGTTCTAATGGCTTATTCCTTATAGTAGGTTTTATTTCTTATTTACTAATATAAGGTGAGGTTTCAAATGTTACACATCATACGCGACTACTGTAAGGCTCGCTCGTTTTTTTGTGTAACATATATTTTCGTTTCTAGGCCAGGACTTTGATATGTCACCAGAAAGATTTACGCTTGAAAACATGTTCGCCATGGAGTTGCATAAGTATCAAGATGTCGCTGAGGAAATTGTTAACCATGCTATAAAGGTACTTTAAATTTCCTCTTCTTTATTGGATTTACCTTACTACACCTGTACCATTAGCTCGAACCAATATTGAATTCGATTTCGACTCGCGTCAAATGTCAAGAAGTTTTGTATGGACACTTGAACAGCGCCAAAAATTAAACGTAACAAAAATTAAAACCAGTAGTATAAACTTCATGACTTCTGACGCGTATCGAAGCGAGATCGAATTCAGCTATTAGAATTCAATATTGGTTAGTGCTAAGGGAGCTACTGTAAGGATTTCAGAAGGGAATCTTGGGAGGCGCAACTCTACTGAAGGTAAGACTGATTAATTGTACTTTGAGCTTTATTTAATAGAATTATTACAGTTTTATTAATATCAACGTTCAACGCCTACGCCCGTTTTCTATTTGACAAACATCGAATCGAGACAGAAAGTATCGAACTCTATATTTCAAAATATATTATCATTTTCAATATGACTGCCAACCATAGGCACTTAACAAGAAGAGGCTGTAACGCTGCGGGCATTACAGTACTGTTTCTCAAAAGGATAAGGACAGGAGTATAGACTAACGGCCACATTCAATAATTAACCTCTGGTAAAAGTATAGGATGATCTGGTTCCGTTTCTCAGCAACAGTTGTTATAGTAGTCTTTATAATAAAAATATCTTGGCAACAAAGCTCTAGTAGGCCCATCTCTTACTGCAGTTTGATTATTGTAACTGGCTGTATAAACGCTGGAATATAGATATCTACCTGAAAATCTGCTAGTGGCTAGGATAGGTATTTAAATGCAAAACCTTGTTTTTTATATGTAAAAAGGGTGGTAAACAACCATATGGCTCAATAAGCTAAAGACGGTTGTGATACCAAAGTATCAATTTCATCGTTGTCTGCCCTGACGTTATTTCCTACCCTGTAGAGCCTTGCAAATGTATTCACCGACATAAATACAATACTGTCAATTTATTTATTTCACTTCTTCTATGCTGAACACATGGTCGCGCTGTATAACTTGTTAAAAGTGGTTTTATTAAACGATTGGTGGGCGTGAAAACCCAATGTGGACTGATGTCAAGTTCACGAATAGCAAACACAAATAGCCTAGTGAAGTGCCAGCATACGAAACAAATATAAATTGCAGTAATTAACTTTCATTTGCAAACTTATTTTAAACGGTTTTTGATAACGTATACGCCCTTTAGTTTTAATTTTGCAACATCTGCTTAAATTTCGCATTCTAATTTTTTAAATTTTTTTATGCCTAAACAGTAGGACACGGCTTTCCTAAACTTTTTTTTATCAGTTTTTTATTTTATAGTCCTACTTGTTATATCGTTTACATTTGTGATGAAAAGTGGCTTCATGACTTATCTCATATTGAAGTCATTTTTCAATTTGACGTCTCTGTGTATAATACAGGGAGAAAAAAAAACCGCCCATGCTGAGTTTCTTGTCGGTTCTTCTCAGTTTGTACTGAGTCCCCGCCGCAGATTGACGATTGATGGCGATTTCGACATTCACAAGTGCTTGTAACAGCCTAGACTGAAAAACAATATTGAATTTTGTTTTTTTTACTAATCAGGAATTAGCAATAGAGAGAGGTGTGAAAGACGTGCAAGAGACTTGGGCTAACGTGTCGTTCACTGTGGCTCGACACTTCAACCGCGGTGAAGATCGCGGCTACACACTCAACCCGTGCGACGAAGTGATAGTCAAACTGGACGACGACGCTATGTCGCTGCAAAGCATGGCCGCTTCCCAGTAAATAAATCTAAATCTAGTTCACACGCTTCTCTAGATTTTGTAGAAGATTTGGGCAATTCTTTTGGCGTTTCAACCACGGTATTTCACGCGCTTAACCCGTGTGACGAAGTGATAGTCAAACTGGACGACGAAGCCATGTCGGTGCCAAGCATGGCCGCTTCCCAGTAAATAAATCTACATTTAGTTCACACGCTTCTCTAGATTTTGTAGAAGATTTGGGCAATTATTTTGGCATTTCAATACGGTATTTGACGCGCTTAACCTGTGCGGCGAAGTGATACTTAAACTGGACGACGGACGACGCCATGTCGCTGTCAAGCCTGACCGCTTCCCAGTAATTATATCTTCATCTAGTTCACACTCTTCTGTAGATTTTGTAGAAGATTTGAGCTATTATTTTGACATTTCAACCACGGTATTTCACGCGCTTAACCCGTGTGACGAAGTGATAGTCAAACTGGACGACGAAGCCATGTCGCTGCCAAGCAAGGCCGCTTCCCAGTAAATATATCTACATCTGGTTCACACGCTTCTCTAGATTTTGTAGAAGATTTGGGCAATTATTTTGGCATTTCAACACGGTATTTGACGCGATTAACTTGTGCAACGAAGTGATAGTCAAACTGGACGACGATGCCATATCGCTGCCAAGCATGGCCGTTTCCCAGTAAATATACTTACATCTAGTTTACATTCTTCTCTAGATTTTATTGGAGATTTGGGCAATTATTTTGGCACTTCAACCAAGGTATTTCACGCGCTTAACCCGTGCGACAAAGTGATAGTCAAACTAGACGACGACGCCATGTCACTGCAAAGCATGGCCGCTTCACAGTAAATTAATACCTACTTTTAATGCACACTCTTCTCTAGATTTAAAGTAGATTTGGGCCATAGATACAGAGAATGGACTGAACAACACTCGTATGAAAATTACAACTTTCTTTAAATAGCCAATACGATACGACGAGCCACGAAAAATTCTTTACTTAGTTTTTACTTTTATTGCCTTTACTTTTACTTCAGATTTATAGGTCCGTTCCTATCAGTGGTGCATACATGGGAGCGCCGATTGTCATTGATCTCGGAAGTGATAGAGGAGTGGATGGCGACACAACGCAAGTGGCTGTATTTGGAAGGCATTTTCGTAGGCGGCGATATACGCGTCCAATTACCTGAGGAGGCTAAGAAATTCGACGATATCGATAGATCGTTCAGAAAGGTGAACATAATGAAATTATACTTAACCATTTGTACAATATTTTATAAGTTTTTTATAAGAAGTAAAGATCGAAAGCAAAAGATAATTGATATTTTTAACATATTGATTTAATAATAATTAAGTTCTTTACCCAAAATATTATCTTAACTACGTTAACCTTAATGAACAGTTATATTACTTTAAAGTTTCCGTAAAAGTTATGATTCAACATGCTTTATGTTGACAGATCATGTTGGATACTGCCAAAAGACTGAATGTAGTCGACTGCTGTACAATCAGTGGCCGATTAGAAGAATTTATCAATCTTGGTATCGGACTTCAAAAGTAAGTAATTTACCGCCTTCAATAGTAACACTTAAAATAACATAAACTATGCATATAATCTTTAAAGTACTGCTATTAACGTTAAATGTTTCAAAACTTACTCTTATTTGTAGATGTCAAAAATCGCTCAACGACTATTTAGATTCCAAACGACGCATTTTTCCGAGATTCTTCTTCATATCGACAGACGAACTGTTGTCCATTCTCGGCAGCAGCGAATGTAGTTGCGTTCAAGAGCATATGATTAAGGTTATGTTTTTTTTTCTTCTGCATTGTTTTTAGATGAAAACATATTTTATAGATATTAGAGAAATCATAATTCGGCGGGATATATAACTTACATATTAACTTTGGTAAAATTATAGATGTTCGACAATATAAGGTCTTTGGATCTGTACGTGGATCATACCAACAGGCCTGTAGCAGCCAAAATGATTTCGGCCGAAGGAGAGGTACTTTTTTTTGCTTTATTGCCCCCTTAATACTCAGGGTAGACCTCAAAAATAAAACTGCTATTGTGAAAAATGGTGTGAATTAGTTATATGCAATGGGAATGAAGTTTCCCTTACCAAAATCAACCAATTAGCTAAATTTAATAAGATATCCCTTTCAAAAGGCACCATCAAAGAACAACATATAATGAAATATCCCTTCTAGATTAAGTAGTTATCCCACTTGTATATATTCGGTAAGCTAAATTAAACAAGAACTACTGCATCTTAAAAGTGAATGTTAAACTAATAGCATTTTTTTTTTATAGATAATGGACTTTAGACACGTCGTCTATACCGAGGGAAGAGTAGAGGACTGGATGAATCTAGTGCTGAATGAAATGCGTAACACGAACAAGTTCATTACCAAGAAAGCTATATTCTATTATGGAAAAAACTGGAAAGTGCCCAGGTAAACATTGCATAAAGTTCTTTTATGAAAATCTGCATTCAGAGGATTATTAAGGAAAATAAATTGTGTTTTTCCCATGGGAATAAGATATTTTCTCGCAGTAAAACGTAGCCTAAGTGTTAATCCAGGGTATCAGCTAACTCCATACCAAATATATAAATCGCTCCAGCCGTTTAGACGTGAAGAAGTAACAAACATACACAGTCACAAAATTCGTATGATACTGCCTGACTGACTGACATATCAACGCCCAGCCCAAACCGTCTCCCTCCGATTTGGTCGGCCTAGGCACGTTTTACAGTACCCAGGCGACGAAATCACCCGCGCCAACGCGCCTCCTATACCTCCCACACAGGCCACAAACACCATCACTACACAGCTACCAAACGTGCACACTAGCTTAGTATTAGGCAGACACCGCACCCGTAGGATAAGAGTGCGAAGACCAGGACCATACCAGGTACAAGTACGTACCTGGGCGTTTTTCTCCGCCCCCCACGACAACGGCTAACTAGACGCGTCTAGTTGAGCCGACCCCCTCTAGTTCGACTGGTCTTAAGGCTCCAGACGGAGAGGAGACTCCCCCAGCGGGGAGATGCCATCCGACTGGAATACCTCTAGAGGCACTCGCCAATGCTCGGCTTGAGGTCCCCTTAGGATCTTGAGGTCCCCTTAGGATCTCGCCGTCCCCAAACCAGGTGAAGCTGTAAAGGTTGTCCGCGACCAACAGCATACACACTCAAAAAAAAAAACTTTTTTACTTATATGTGTCAGCAATAATCAGGTCATTTCATAATAATCATTTTAAGTCAAAAAAGGTTCTAGTTTCATTTTGGCGCATAATGGGTTAAGCTGTGCGTTGATAGATCAATCAGCAACGGTACCTTTTATATATACAGAAGATAATTGAAATTCATTTTTCTTTAGAACCGAGTGGATATTAGAATACCAGGGCATGGTTTGTCTAGCGGCCAACGGTGTGTGGTGGACGGCTGAAACTGAGGAAACATTCATACGGATCAGGAAAGGAAACAAGCGTGCCATGAAGGAACACTTGCAGCAACAGAACGAGCAGCTAGACGGGCTGGTTGTGAAAGTTAGACAAGGCGAGTGAGACGTTTTGTCCCTTATGTTGTTGTGTAGCAAAAGTTGGTGTAAAGATATCTATTTAAAAAAAACGTTTGGCCTTACAGTAGTCGCGTATGAAGTGTAAAATTTTAAACCCCACCTTGTATTAGTAAAAAAAGAAATAAAACCTACTACAAAAGGAATAAGCCATTCGAACATTGTGTTCTAAAATCAAATCAAATAGCGCGCGGTTCCCAAACTTCCTGTTACACACTTCCGTCCCACTTCATGTAATCACTCCCACGAATTGCACGAAAGCGAGAGGAAAGATGTAACACATCAAAAGGAACACAATTTAATGAACAATATGTATTTTAACAATTCAAGTCAATAAAACCATAAAGATTTCAATTCGAATTCTAAGCTGACAGATTTTAATAAATACCTGCCGTATAACTAATCAAATTAGTTTTATCAGAAAAGGTCGACAAGAAAGTGCTTCCTATACATACCTACTACGTAAACATGTAGGTTATTCGTTTAATATTATTATATTTCATTACAGGTTAAACTGTATTGTTTCGTGTCCATTAAATTCCAAGTAGTGCTTTAATTTATAACATCACCTGGGGGCCATTCGCCCAACGAACACGAAAAATTTTTTTCTTCTTTAATAGGCCTACCTCTTAGGCGGGCCACATACCCAACATACAAATGCAATACCATAATTGAGGCGTCACATTTGAAACGCGTTACATTTAACGCCCTTATATATTTGCATGTAAGGAAACACACCAAAGTCACATTTGTAGCGGGTGCATTTAGTAGTAGGACGAAAGCAAAAATGTAGCGTACATATTGTACCAAGGTAAATGTTGCGTGCATGTACTCTGTGGCTCCGGTGTACGGCCTCACTTACTGGAGATTGATTATTCAAATTGGCCGTTACTCAATCAAATGTGCCAATCGCTGTAGCACAGTTCATACTTCCACAGTATTTCAGTGTCAAAATGAAAAATAACTTAACTATAGAACCTTTATTCGATAGATTTGTCGTCAAACGACCGCCTCAAGTTCCGTACAATAACGACAATAGATGTGCACGCGCGTGACATCATAGAGGGTTTCGTGCGCGACAACGTGACGGAGGCGGCGGAGTTTGAGTGGGAGAGCCAACTGCGATTCTATTGGTTGAAGAAGGACGATAATCTGTGGATTAGGCAGTGCACAGGTCAGTCTTAATTCTTAGGTAAAGATATATTTTCCTTGTATAGATTTGTCGTCAAATAACCACCTCAAGTTCCGAACCATAACGACAATAGACGTGCACGCGCGTGATATTATAGAGGGATTCGTGCGTGACAACGTGACGTAAGCGGCGGAGTTTGTCCTCACCTCGTCCATATTGAGGTAGAGGAGATAATCTCATCCTTATTAGCCTATTAATGTCCCAATGCAAGAGCACGAGCTTTCGCTATGGACACTGATAAATAGATAACAGTCCATTAAATGGGCTAAGAATGAATTGATGAATGTTAAGTTGTCGGAAAAGCCTTAAAAGTAGCCTGAAAAGCCAGAGTAAAATTGCTTTTAAAATTGAAACTGTAAAATGATTCAGCTTTTACAAAAGTCAAAAGAGTAATTTGTCAAACCTAAACTGATTATTCCTTTCAGCATGATTTTTCTTTTGTCGATATTCAATTACAATGAGTATTACAAACAGTGCAAGATTTTGTTTTCATAAATTGTTGTTGTATAGGAGTATTTGAATACGGATACGAATACATGGGCCTGAATGGTCGCCTGGTGATCACTCCCCTCACTGACAGGATCTACCTTACCATCACGCAAGCACTGACCATGCAGTTAGGAGGGGCGCCTGCAGGTAAATATATGACATTATGATATCTTTATCAGTCTATTTACCCCCACTACTGCTGCATATATCATCCATATGGATAAAATAGGGAGATAGTGTCATGACCTACTATGTGGTCCCTGTACGGATTTGTGGGCGCTAACGACTGCAGACGCAGCCGGGGTCAACAGCTTAACGTGTCTTTTGAAACACGGAGAGCTCAAGATAGTAAGTTTATGGTCACTTATCCAATGACCGGCTATTGCTGAATTACCTTTAATTCAACGATCGTATACGGAATGCGCTAGCCACCTGCGCCATCGAGATCGTGGTCATTATAATGTAAAATATGACAATTTGTTTATTAATCTAAGCTGATGTAGAAATATGAATCTGTATTCGCTAATAAATATTGAGTCTCTCTCATACTCGAGGAAGGTACTGTTCCATCAATATTATGAAATGGCCAAAAATAAGACACACGTTATCATTGCAGAATATGACCAGAAAGCAGTGTTATTTTTCTCTTATAAGGGGAATGTTCCATCGACTACTTTAGGTTTTACCTATGGGTTGTTTTGCCTTAGGTCCCGCGGGCACCGGTAAAACAGAAACCACCAAAGATCTAGCAAAAGCATTAGGATTACTATGTGTGGTGACCAACTGCGGAGAAGGGATGGACTTTCGCGCCGTAGGGCAGATTTTGGCGGGGCTTTGCCAGTGCGGTGCTTGGGGATGCTTCGATGAGTTCAATCGGATAGATATATCCGTGCTCTCCGTTATATCCACGCAACTGCAATGCATTAGGAGCGCGTTGCTTATGAAGCTCAAGAGGTTTACCGTAAGATCTTTTCGATACTATGTCAATTCTTTTCAGTACACCATCTCCCACTTTAGATTCGACAAGTCACTACAGTAACTGAATCAGGAGCGCATTGCCCAAGTAGTATTGTAAGAGGGCATCCCTAATAGATATTAAAGATTTCCGCGCCGTAGGGTAGATATTAGCGGTTGGGGATGCTTCGATCGGATCGACATATCCGTGCTCTCTGTTATGTCCACGCAACTGCAGTGCAATAGGAGCGCGTTGCTCATGAAACTCAAGAGCCAATTCCTTCTAAAACAGACTGGGAAATATATTTTTGGTATTTTTTGTATCTAATATATAAAATTCTCGTGTCGCGGTGTTTGTGGTTAAACTCCTCCGAAACGGCTTTCCCGATTCTCATGAAATTTTGTGTGCATATTGGGTAGGTCTGAGAATCGGACAACATCTATTTTTCATCCCCCTAAATATTTAGGGTAATCCACCCCTAATTTTTATTTTTCAATTTTAGATATATTTTTTTTGATTTTTTTTATGATACATCATACAAAAATACATACAACCCTAAATTTTCACTCTTCTACCACCAACCCCTATTTTTTATGGCGGTACGAAGTTCGCTGGGTCAGCTAGTATTTCTATAAGGGCGTTGCACGCTGATAAGAGAAATTGCCTCAAGTTTATTTAGTTAGAAGCTATATCTGCAGTATTTTTTTTAAATTCAAATGAGTGAGTTCATTAAAACAAACATTAATAGACTTAAAAGTTATACAATTATATACTAAAGACAATTTCTTAAAAATGTAATTTAAGTACCAATGTACTTCGCCGTCGATTAACTGTTAAAATATGTTGCAGTTTGAAGGTCAAGAGATAGCCATGGACAGCAAAGTGGGCATTTTCATAACCATGAATCCTGGGTACGCAGGCCGCACTGAGTTACCAGAGTCTGTGAAAGCGCTATTTCGCCCTGTTGTGTGCATTTTACCCGATCTCGAGATGATATGCCAAATATCACTTTTCTCAGATGGATTCCTCACTGCAAAGGTAGCTGCTTTGTAGTAGTGTTTTAGTTGACTAAAATTATTGATCACATATTTGATATACAATTCGGCCAGCTTACTTATTATAAAAAAAATGCAAAGTCAGTAAACAAAACTTTTGTATACGAATCAGTCCAAGTTTAATTTCAGCCTAGCTCTAAGCTCTATACTTTAAAAAAATGAAATTTGAATTCAAAGATTTACTCTTACAGAACCGTCTGTTCAGAGACATTTTAAAAGAAATTTTGAACTACCACAGGTATTGGCAAAAAAGATGACAGTACTGTACAAAGTAGCTCGCGAACAATTATCTAAGCAGTCTCATTACGACTGGGGACTGCGTGCGTTGACCGCCGTCCTGCGTATGGCCGGCAAATTAAGGAGAGATTCTCCAGGGCTCAGCGAGATCATGGTGCTGATGAGAGCTCTCAGGTTAGATTCTTGTAATTTAGTGCAGAAACTAGGTGGATTACTAACAATTGTTTAAGCACAGTCTCATTACGACTGGGGGCAGCGTGGGTACAGCCGGCAAACTGACTATAGATTCGCCAGGCCTGAGCGAGATCATGGTGCTGATGAGAGCTCTCAGGTCAGATAATTATATATTAGTGCAGAAACAAGGTAACTGGCGAACAATTGTCCAAGCAGTCTCACAACGTATGGCCGGCAAACTGAGAAGATTCACGAGGCCTGAGCGAGATCATGGTGCTGATGAGAGCTCTCAGGTCAGTGTTACCAACCCTTACCAAAATTTACCCCTAAGTATTTTTTTAAATCCCCTAAATATACAATTTTTTAAATACCTACTTATTACCCAAATTCTTTCGTTGCTCATAAATTAAAACGTTAATTAAGTAACGTTACAGTAAATTATTTTAATGAATAAATACAGTTTCCGAAAGGACAATCAAACGAAAATGAGCTGACAGACTGTTAAATCTTATTTAGCTGGTTTTTAAACTGTAGTCCATACAGCCTTAGGAAACAAACCCGCCAGACAGTCAGCGGGTCAAATATGCTTTAGTGATATAATCCCAATGTGATGTCAATATGATGTTGATGCCAAGTTCACATTGTTTTTAAATGGTATTATGAAACATTCCTATGTCATATCAAGATGTCACATTTTGTGTCACATTTTTGACGTTTATCCGATACTGTTTTAAGTCAAAAAGTTAAACGTAATGCGCATTTAAGTGGATATCATTTTAAAGAGTTGATCATAATACGCATCAGTTGATGTCTAGTTAATGTCATTTTGATGTCGCTTTTTTCGGAGATCATAATATGTAATATGCAATTGACATCAAAACAATACCACAATTAGCGAACATATTTGGCCTGCTGTTCAGTCGTTTCATATCGTGGTGCGTTCCATTCTACGCACAAAACTGAAAGAAAACACACGCTTTGTTTTTCGATTTAAATGCAAGTTTTGATAAAAGTCCCTAAAAGAACCCCCAAAAAATTCTAGCCCCTAAAAAAGTCCGTCTTAACATTTCTAGCCCCTAAATCTGGGGGCAAAATCCCTAAGTTGGGAACCCTGTCTCAGGTTAGATTCTTATATATTAGTGCAGAAACAAGGTAACTCTCGGATAATTGTCCAAGCAGTCCCACAACGTATGGCCGGTAAACTGAGAAGAGATTCACCAGGCCTGAGCGAGAGCATGGTGCTGATAAGAGCTTACTTTCATCTTACGAATAAAAGCCCCCTTATCACCTCTTGCATCCTTCTTCATTATGCCAGAGGATTGGCAATGGAATTAAATTCCCCTGTCATTGTACCCCGATACGTATTACATAGGGATTTTCAATGCACGAAAGAAATTGATTTATTTTATGAGTTACAACACATCATATCAGACCATATCGTTGCTTCACATATTTAGGCTTCACGTATTTAAACGCACTTAATCTTTATTTTTTCTGTGTAAAATATTTTACTTACTACCCGCAACCGAGAAATGAACCATCCAAAGTTCGAATTGAAAGACGTGTCCTTCTTCCCCCGGTTGATCAAGGATCTGTTCCGGGGGCTGAAGTGCCCGCGTATGGGCTATCCGGAATTCAATGCTATCGTCATAGATGTACTGGAGAAAGCATGAACCGAAACTTATCCAGTTTTTAATATTTTCCATACAGAGATATGAACCACCGGAAGTTCGTTTTCGAGGACGTGCCACTATTCCTCGGGCTTATCAAGGATATTTTCCTGGGGCTGGAGTGCCCCCGCATTGGCTATCCGGAATTCAACGCTACCATCATAGATGTATTGGAGAAGACATGAACACAACCTTATCCATTTTTTTATTTTTTTCATACAGAGATATGAACCACCCGAAGTTCGTTTTCGAGGACGTGCCACTATTCCTCGGGCTTATCAAGGATCTGTTTCCGGGGCTGGAGTGCCCGCGCGTGGGTTATCCGGAATTCAACGCTACCGTCATTGACGTACTGGAGAAAGATGGCTACATAGTGTTGCCACATCAGGTAGGTTGGTAAAATCACGTTTTGAACATCCATTAGATATGATAGAAATTGTGCTCTTGGTAATTGTAATGTAAATTCATAATATAATTTATTCATTTAATGTTACATAGACCCAATTTGTTAGTTATAATGTTAATGGGTAATGTAATGTTTGTTTTTAAGGGCTTTGGGGTAGAGAATTGAGTTGGCTAAGATGGCTGGCGGCACACTTTTGTATCGCATAAAAAAATAACATTTTACAAATAAAAATCGGATCCATTCCATATTTTTTGTTAAAGTTTGTTCATCAGCCTGTTAATGTCCCTTTGCTGGGTTACAGACCTTCCTATGTTAAGAATAGGGAGATTTGACCAAGACCTATCTAGCAGAGCCAGTGAGGATTAGTGGATGCTCACGACTGCAGACGCAGCTGAGGTCAAAGGCTTAACATGCCTTCCGAAGCATGAATGTGTTCAAGATGAGAAAGTTATGGTCACCCATCCGATGGTCGGCCATTGTGAAAGTAGCTGAACTTGAAAATTTGTTTATGTGGAATCAAACTCAACATAAGGAATGTCTATCTCAGTTCTGATAAATTATTCAATTTTAATACCATGTTACCATAACCTATATAATAATTCTGTCAATCAGATTATACACCAAGTATGTGTGATCCAAACACATTGACTTAACAAGTTGCTAAGGGTACCGGAGAATGAAAGACATTTGTGCGGAAAAAAAATTAAAGTATTTGTATATTCTAATCGATTCATTGCAATAGGTTGACAAAGTCGTCCAACTGTACGAGACCATGATGACACGACATTGCACAATGCTAGTGGGTCCCACTGGCGGTGGTAAAACCGTCATATTGCAGACTATAGTGAAAGCACAGACTAACCTTGGTCTACCCACCAAGCTCACTGTGCTCAATCCGAAGGTAAGAACATTTATCATTGCTTTAAATCTAGTAATATCTGTTTTAAAGCAATGAGGGTGTTTAGGAAAATTTACCTCACCAGTTGGCGCCACTGTGACATGTAGTCTTTTTTATGAAGTTTGTGGAGAGAATTAATCGAACGAGCATTTTAATTGATCCGTGGACTATGACAGATACATAGACCCTTTGTCTCAGTGCGGTGCCCGTCATTCCAGAAAACCCTCATTATAGTGTAGTAATGGCGGTTGAGAAATTAGCGCGATTCGCGAAATAGTAAACGACAGTTGAGGTATGCACGGGGTGACTGCGCCCGCGCATAGTTCCGCTCGTTGCTAACTTCACAGTCGCTATAAAGTTCAAATGGCATAGTAATTCCATTGGTGAAAAAAAATGTCATGGCTATGTAAATAGTTATATTTATTGTGTTTATAATGATATTTGGCTAAAAAAATTGGCTATCATCAGGCTTGTTCTGTCATCGAATTATATGGCATACTGGATCCAGTTACTAGAGATTGGACTGACGGCTTATATTCCAAGATATTTAGAGAGATGAACAGGTAAGTTCTTTTTAAAACTATACTCTTATTTCCTCTACAATTTAATTCTGGTTAAGTAAGTATCATAAGTTGCACATTTATTAAAGTTATGAGAATCTCATTTATCCTATTCCTATTACTAATAGATCTCCTTGTACTCTGTTTGTTGAGGCGTTATCGCTAACATCATTACAGCTAACTAATCAACATTTGACTCTCTCATTAATGATATAAAAAGCAGACGGAACAATAACGTTACCTCTACAGCAAAATTTTTAACCTTAGAATCAAACACAAATGAATTCAATTTCTCATAAACTCAAACCTCTTTTTAATGCCTGTTATATTAAACAGACCCGCGGCCGGTGCGATACGGCTGGACTGGCCCTTCTTATCGATGCGTTGCTTGGCAAAGACAAGCATATCGCACCGGTGTCCAATAAAACAACAACCGTTAACAAGAAGCCCAAGTTTGTTAGAAAGCTGACATCCTCCGCGTCTTAATTCTTATAGCGCAATTACACTTGGTTGTTAGCCCGAATACGATTGCCTCTTCCAGCCCGTGTTCGACTAAAAACAATATAAATTTTGCATCGGGTGCCCTGATTCGATTAATGTCTTTCGTGCACCCGAATACGGGCAACGACCAAGTGTAAATGCGCCTTAAGGCTAATGCTTAGAATGCATGAATGGATGACCTCCGTGGCCGAGTGGTTTTTACGCCGGGTTTCATGGTGTCGCTAACTCGAGAGAGTTCCCCCGGGTTTGAATCCCGGTGGGGGCAGATGTTAACCCGTATAATGCGGATATATACTTATATATGTATTCTATCCGTTACCCTAGTATCCCATAACACAAACCTTACAGTGTGTGCCTTTTGAAATATTTATTTAATACGATTCAATAACTACACATTATTTTAGACCTGCTGATAAAGACGAACGCCGCTATTCGCTATTCGATGGTGACGTAGACGCCCTCTGGATAGAGAATATGAACTCTGTGATGGACGACAACAGACTGTTGACTCTTGCGAACGGCGAACGAATTCGCCTCGCGCCGTACTGCTCGCTCCTGTTCGAGGTTGGTGACCTCAACTACGCGTCGCCGGCGACGGTCTCCCGCGCCGGGATGGTGTTTGTTGATCCTAAAAACCTGGGATACCAACCTTACTGGGAGAAGTATGTATACACATTCATACACGCAATCATAATTTATGCATTGCAACATTTGCAACCTTAGATTAAAACAAAAAGGGAAGATGCGGTACGTTCATACTATAGTCGTATTTTTAATTAGACGAAGTCAACTGACGTTTACTGTGTTGTCAGTTTTTGATGAAATAAAAATAGTGTTGTAACAAAGTGAATGATTGAAAAAACTCCTGAATCAATGAAATTGCCTCGATTGTCTAGTGAAAAGTTAGTATGCCGAACTGCCGATATCGGGTACGGGGTTCGAATTTTAGTCGTGCTTTGTATATACCAACGAGTTTTCGATGACTATGGTTTCTATAGTATTTACCTATACTGAATACCGAGTGTTTTAAACATTAAGGAAAACATTGCGAGGAAACTTGTAAGACTGTCCCATTTTCAACACATCATGTAGTTGAGATGTATATAATATAACAATTTTAGGTAGGTAATGAAAATAAAAAAACATCGCTTTTTACATAATTTGTTTTTATTCATCATCAGAAAAAAAATCATCACTATCGCTTTCGGTAACATTAATTATAAATCTGTCTGAAACATTGTCGATCATGAGGTCGAGACCATACATTTTCTCTTCTTCTTTAATTATGTGAGACACGCAGCTACTCCATTTTTCAGGTGTGATATGTTGAAGTCCTTCTTCAAAAAGTTTTTTTACTTCTGTCATTTTGAAGGTTTTGTTATGTCTTGCAACATATCCTTTAGCCTGCGCCCATACCAACTCAATAGGATTAAGCTCACAATGGTATGGGGGCAGACGTAAAACATCCCATGCTGCGCTGCCATCTCGTCCACAATGTACTTATCGTAATGTTCTTGTTTGTGCTGCAGTACAATGTCTATAAGAGTAGCTTTAACCATTGTTGCTTCGAATGAAATATCTTTGCTCGTTAGCCACTCTTGTATTCTAAATTTAGTCCAAGACATTTTAGGCAGCGATTCAAGTTTCCTGGAGTGGTAGGGGGCATTATCCATCACTACTACGGAATTTGGTTTTAGTTTTGGCAAGACCCCGCTAAACCACTTCTCAAAGGAATCGGCATTCATCTCTTGATGATAATCTTCAGATTTTTTTTTGGCTTCAAATATCAATAAACTGTCTTCGAACGAATCCTTCTTCCCCGCCTATATGGCCGATAATTAATAGTTTGCCCTTTCCTGAAGGCTGTTTTAAGCCAGTGGTCAAGCCATCTAGGAAGGCCTGGCGGGACGATAACACTGTCTGGTCAATCCATGCCTTCTTCAGTGCATGACCTTCAAGATAGTTAAAAATATCAATTAATTATTGAAAGTACAATTTAATATAAAGAAAACAGAAAATTGTAATTACCTTCGTTGATCCAGGTTTCATCTTGGTAATAAATATACCTTCCTTCCCTTCGATACTCTTTAATTTTTCGAAGGTATCGCTGGCGCCATAAAATAATGTCCTGTCTGTCAATTAAAATGCTTTTTCTTGATTTTGTGACATATTTGAAATTTAAATGTTTCATAACATTTCTTAATGTACTCCAAGAAAAATTGGGTAAGTCTGGGTCTTCATTGACAACCTTAAGAATCTGTAAAGTTATAAAAAAAAGTTTTGATTAAGGAAGTCTACGCAATCTAATACTTTGATTTTACAAAGAATATTATGGTGGACACATAATACAATGCAGTAGAAGGAATAAAGTTTAAGTTACCTTTATAATGGTGGGTGACTCATTTGCATAAAAAAAATTATGTACTTTTCGTCTTATGGCGGTGAAAGTAAAATCGTCAAATTTATCTTTGAAACTGTGTTTCGGTCCACGTTTTTCGGGAGACTTAAATTGTTCATTTTCTTTGTATTCTTTTAATACACTGTAAACTGAGATCACTCCAATTCCCAAAATGTCAGCTGTTTTTGAAACACATTCTTTTTTTTCGGGAGCCTCAATAGGTAATAGTGAAGCAGCTTTCTCCTCAAATACGTGTTTGTAGACGTTTTGTATCATTAGTTTTTCGGTAACGCATAAAGCAATCCGTGGTCTCTTCTTTCTTGGAGACAAGCTTTGGCTTGACGTGCTTGGTTGAGGATCCATATCGTTTGTACGATACAATATAGCAACAAATAAACACAACAATTACCACAAACACAACGTAACAAAAAACTTAACAAAAACAATAACTAAACAGCGTGAGCGCAGAAAAAATATACGTGCTATCAGACCAGAGGTTAGAAGCCGAATAACAAACAAAATGGCGACCGACGCGCGTGGCGTTTAACGGTGTTGGCACTAGTCGCCGCGTCGCGCTTTGTAATAAGCCGTCAAAAAACTGATTGTAGTTACATACTACCAGTAGCTTATATCAGATCACTCTTATACAATTTGATTGTAAAATATAAATAATATTCTTTTATAGTTTGAAATGATTAACTATTCACACTCATTGTTCATTAATCTGATTCAACGAGAACTGAACGCGTCACTATTACTTTAAATATGGCAACATTATTTTACAAAGTGACATTAGCTACTGTCAGTTGGCTTCGTCTAATTAAAAATACGACTATAGAATCAAATAAAATCCGACCTAACTACATAAGCAACTCTCACACACGCACACTTCTGTAAATATACATTCAATCGAGCGAGCGAGACAGAATTGTACGCTTCAACGCAGCGCGAGCGAAACGGTGCGAGTCCGCGTCGCTTTGCAGCCTATAATTTAAGCGGATTACTTTTGAGCCGTGAGTGCCGTATCTTCCCTTTTTGTTTAATCTAAGTTAGCTACTCATCTGATTACAATTTTATTTATCGGAAAACAGCTTTTGGATAAAGGTTCAGCACTACAGAAACGCAGGGCGCTGGGTTTTCTAGATTTCCACTAACCCTTATAATCGCTACCCGATTACTATTACTCCACTATTTTAATTTATAATAGCACAAAATCAGTGGACTTCTTATGGAAGGTAATTTGAAATTTTAGTTTCCACGCAATCTTAACGGGTAGTTTTTAAAATTGACCATACAGTGACGTATACTACAGCAAACTATATTCGACTTATATAGAAAGTTCTGCGCACTTTTGTTCAAGATGAACGCGATCGTCGTCCCGCTGTAATAATATTTTTCACTGCAAGCACTATCATCCTGGGTCATGACCCAATCTCCCTATTCCATGCATAGGGAAGGCCTGTAATCCAGCAGTGTGAATTACTTATATCCTACTGGTTCATGGCCCAATCTCCCAATTCCATCCATACAATGAAACATTTAGATGGGTAAGGCTTGTGACACAGCAATGGGGACATTAAAAGGCTGATGATGATGGAACGTTTAGATGGCTTCGAGGGCGTAGTAATGAAGAAGAGCGTGAGCAATTAGCTGGGCTGTTTGAGCACTACGTGGCCGGAGCCATCAACTACATCGTGTTTGGAATGTTCGGGTTGCAACAACAAACTCCACTCAAAACCATCGTGCCGCAAACTCCACTCAACTTGGTATGTTCCATGCATAACGAAAATCTTTATTAGGTAGGGGTGAGAACAGATAATCAGATGATAAATTCCACACAATTTAAGAGTTATAGGGCATAGAGGAGTTAGTACGTTCGATCATTGGGTATGAAAGTAAAGTAACTTTCTCAATGGCCGGTCATAATATGGGTGACCTAAATAGTTATTTATTATACAAGAGTGGAAAGTTCCTTTTTAACCGCGTGCTCGATTTGGATGACCGAGCAAGCGAAGGATTCTAAAGTTGAATCACGAGCGCAGCGAGTGATTCTAAATTAGAATCCTGAGCGTCAGCGAGGGAAACAAACGAGCACAAGGTGAAAAATCTTTCCACTCGAGTGCAATACGTAACTTTTCATCCCACCTCAGCGAGGAAATGACAAAATGAAAAAGAAAACAATTTATAATGACAAAATATTTAAGCAATAAAACGTGAAAAACTAGAATGGCGCGAAGCACGCAAATAAAACAAAGAAACCAAGAAGGTTCCAAATTTAAATTTTTTCACAATTTAAAAAGTTCTAATCATAAATTTGGCACCATAGAGGTTACATTAAATAGGTTTAATGACGTTTTGAATTTACAATTATATTGAGTACTCATTATATGTGATGTTCTAAATTCAAATCTACTTTGCCGCTCAAGCGAATAAAATAGAATTTTCCAGCCAGATTTCGAAGCGCAAAATTACACTTTCCGAGGTGGTGGGATGAAAAAAATATTACCGTGCAATGCTTGGACCTTCCGTTGGGCCGTCGGTGACGGGCCGGTACTCTCGGCTGCAATTGCAGGCGCTAGCACCCGCCAATACGTACTGAACTCGTGTTGTGAGTCATGGACAATGCTCCCTATTCAATCCATAAAGAAAGCATGTGCCCCACCAGCGGAGACAACAATAGACTGATAACAATGATAATGAGGGCTTAGCGGCATTTTCGGTTGCATTGGAGCGCCCGACTGTAGAAGTAGACCTTCCTTGCCAACCCTTCAAAAGACACAGTGAAGTAAAACTACCTTTTGTTTGGGTATAACGGCTCCAAGAGTTAGAGAATGGGGTCAATGGGAATCGCACGGGCATGCTCTCGTATCACCTTCCGTTGAGCCGTTGGTTACGGGCCGCTACTCTTGGCTACATCTGCATTCGCTAGCACCTACCAATACGTACTGAGCTCGTGTCGTGAGTCTTGGACAATGCTCCCTATTCAATCCATAAAGAAAGCATGTGCCCCACCAGCGGAGGCAACAATAGACTGATAACAATGATAATGAGGGCTTAGCGGCATTTTCGGTTGCACTGGAGCGCCCATCTGGAGAAGTATACCTTCCTTGCCAAACCTTCAAAAGGTACAGTGAAGTACAACTACCTTTTGTTTAGGTATAAGGGCTCCAATAGGGAACGGGGTGAGTGGGAATCGCACGGGCATACATATAAGTGGGCGTTATACATGTATACCATTATTTATGTATTATTGACTTCATTTCTATCATGCGTCAGGTGGTGCAACTGTGTTACATGATAAGTGGGTTATTGCCAAACAACGAGAACAGCAATGAAGAAGTCGACAAGACAGTCGTCGAGTGCGTTTTCATGACTGTAAGTACGAACAGACAGACATAAGGCTAGGTCCCTTTTAAAGAGACACAATAGAAAAGTAGCTTAAGCGCTAAACTGCTATTTTTTTAGATTTCGAAATCTAAAGAAAAAGGTACTAGATGTCGGATTAATCCTGTCTATTATACTACTTTTTTAGTTATAATTTAAAGTGAAAATTTTCTTCAAATTTAGTAAAAGAAATGGCTGAGAAGTTTAGCGAGTATGAAAAGAAAATTAACTTCATTTATTGCTATTCATACCACTCAATTGCGAACACTGCACTAATAACAATAATAAATTCTTCACAATAAAATAAATCGATCCTTTACCGTTCACAATCTTACGAATGCTTATACAAGTGTGGTAGGGTAATTACAATTAGGGCCTATAGTTCACTTATCTGATGACGTGAATACGATTACAATTTCGAAAGTGAACTGGTTTATATATTGCGCAGTCTTAAAAGTAAGTACATACTATTCAAGAATAAATTTCATCGGGGGCGTAGCTCAGATGGTAGAGCGCTCGCTTAGCATGCGAGAGGTACCGGGATCGATACCCGGCGCCTCCAAGGATTATTTTTGCACAGGCACTAACTACAATTCGGGATCTGCCTAAGGTTGAATGTAGGATAGAAAATAGTTTACTTTGAGTAAATTTTTGATTTCAATACATTGGTTTGCTATGTCAATGCAATATCCACAGGGACAACCTGCCCCTCTAACATGACCACCGAAACGGTATATGATAAAGCGATATATCGGCATTAACTGTCAGACTACTGTCAAACTCCACTGTAGTCTGACAGTTATTGCCGATATATCGCTTTATCATATCCCGTTTCGGTGGTCATGCTACAGGGACTGGGGGCCTACCGCCCATCGGGAGTGCTTTTACTATTGCTATAGCTTTTGATTTATTTTGATATTTTTGACCACCGAAGGTAGGCGCAGTTGATGCGCCAGCCTTTCGAAACTGAGGAGCAACATGTAATTTTTAACTTTTTGGAAATAAAATCGACTTACTATCTCCCTAACCAGCAGTAAACCTTTCTTTCTGTTGAGATTATTTTGGTATTAGATAATAATCTACATGTGCAATTTTCGATAAAGATATCAATAAAACATATTAATGTGTTTATATGCCCTTGGATTGTCAATATAATGTAATTGTTCGACACTACCTTAATACTCATATTAAAATAATAAATAACCCTTAATCAGGGAGGATAATATTCAAGTGTCAACAAAATTGAAAAGATTTTCTATATTCAAGCGTAAGTATGAAAATATTCTTAGAGTTCATTAACTGAGGCGTCCACTGCGTTAAGCAGATGCCCGTGCGAGATGCCAAATACAGGCGCCCGTAGCAGAATCCATTGCGGCTTCTGTACAATGGGATCATAATATATCGTTGAGTTGCGGAAAATGATGCTAATTAAAAAATAGGTTCTTGGCTTGTATTTCGTTACGTTTTTTATAATGAATAATTATTTTAATACCTAAAGCTGGAGAGGAACAACTTACTCCGACTTGTCGCAAGGTATTAACAATAAGAGCTAACTAGTTACAAGACTTACCAAACGGATAATTAGTGAAAAATAAATAATGAATGATTACTTTCTTTTACACCGTAATATAAATTGCAATGAATTCAGATAAATCTAAATCTAGAGTACAAACGGCAGCCTTATCGCTGAAATTGGTTAATGAGAAGAAGGCTAAATGCGCGTTAAAAAAAAAATTCGGAACAGCTGAATCCGCGAACTTCCCACTCATTATCAAGCTAAACGGTGTCATTACATATTGCTAATTACCGCGTACTGTACAAATGTCGTGTCCAACGGAGCGGTGCCCGCATAAAGTAGTAATGTCCTTTGATGTCCTAGAAACAGACCCAACGCAGCGGACGTCCTAAAATTGCGAAAGTAAACTGGTTTAAACTGCGCACTGTTTTAACTAGTGACATTATTCAAATATCACTTTCATCGGGGGCGTAGCTCAGATGGTAGAGCGCTCGCTTAGCATGCGAGAGGTACCGGGATCGATACCCGGCGCCTCCAAATATTATTTTTGAACATGTTGTTATATCGTTCAAGATGACGCGATAACTAGAAAATGGATACACACCTTGTAATATTATAACAATTCATTCTAATATTTGAAAGATTACCTATATAAGGCGTATCATTTCTATCATAAATATAAAATTAACGCCTTGCGGCGGAGTAGGGGCTTGGGTCAGTCAGGGCGGGCAACGGTGCGAGTGATTTTTTTGGCATTGCAAGCGTCCATAGATTTTATGGTGGCCGCTTACCATTAGGCGGACCATTTGTTAGTTTCGATCCTTTTTGCATAAAAATCTCATACAAAATTATTAACAATATCCCTGGATCCGGAATATTTATAATTTATATTGAAAAATATTTGCTCCTTTAATGCGTAAGCCTTCTTTGTTGGAATCGGTGTGCTATTTTCACCTACAAAAAATATCGCATATTTTTTTACTTTTGTATCTAGAACTTACTTAAACTGCTCACTCTTCATTTATCGCCTTCCAACAGTCGATGTACAACAGCCTCGGCGCCGCTATAGTTGACGACGGCCGCTTTGACTTCGACAATTACATCAAGAAAGCTTGTCCGATGATGCTCGTTGAAGACACCCAAGAGAAGAAAGCTACTACAAGTATGGAAAATTAAGCCTTATAACAATCACGATGAAAATACAATTAAAACTGAAGCGCAGGCCACGTTGGAAGCGAAGCGAACTTTGTTTCGTTCATGTCACTACCACCTTTTTTATACTCACAACAAACGATTGCTTCTCTCACTAAAACTGTCGCTTAAGTATTAAAATGATATTGCACAATGCAGCTTGCGTTTCAAGATCGAACCATATGTCAAAATGTAATTGTTGCCATGTGAGCAGGTGATATAACTAAATGCAGCCATTCGCGTAGCTAGGGGTAGGCAAGGGTAGACAATGCCATAGAAAGCTCTCTGCCCACCTTAAAAAAATCGAGTATTGATAATAATTGTCTATACATTTTAAAAGATAATTTGAGGAGCTGGCGAACAAAACGGTATAATTACGCATCTAGTCAAACTACTTTTTTTTTACAGTTCGGAGATTTCGGGCCCGTTGAATTTAAATCTCAAATAATTTTCAATCAAAACCGCCTAAAACAGTGTTATTATTACATATCTATTATACAGAACGAATGTTACTTGAACTGAACGCCTTACGCCGTTTTAAAAATTCGATTTAAATCATTCAGAACACTTCCCGATGGGCTTTCCGAGTTTGTACGATTACTGTTTGGAACTGACGACGAAGACATGGGAGGCTTGGGTGTGGCTAGTGCCGGAGTATGAGCACGACCGCAATATGAAGTTCCCTTCAATTCTGGTGCCGACTGTTGACACCCTCAGACTCACGTGGCTCATCAAGATTATGGAGAGCGTAAGTATACAGTGCTATCATAAACAGGGCTATAGTATAGCTTAACGACCTCCGTGGCCGAGTGGTATGTACGCCGGGTTTCATGGTGTTGCCAACTCGAGAGATCCCGGGTTCGATTTCAGGTTTGGGCAGATGTTTGTGTGATGAATACGAGTATTTGTACTCCAGTCATGGATGTTTAATATGTATGTTCTATATAAATTTACTTATATATGTATTATTATATGTATCATGGCCCAATCCTCCTATTCCATCCATAGGGATGGCCTGTGCCCAAGCAGTGGGGACATTAATAGGCTGATGATGATGATATGTATTCTATCCGTTACCCTAGTATCCCATAACAAGTTTACAGTGCTTACTTTGGGACTAGGCTCATTGGTGTGAGTGTTGGAAATATTTATTTATTTATAGACATAGTATTTCCTATTTGTGTTCCGAACATCGGTTATTGTTTCCGAAGTTTTTGTGATTGTGAGGGTAGCTACACACATAAACGGCCCAGCATAGTCGGTTCGGCAGTATTTGTGTAACAACAAAGCCGACCCGTAGTAATTACATACAGATGCAGAACATTCATCTGCACATATTCGATTTTACCGATTGCTGTACCGATTAATGCCAGCCCGATTACGTGTGTAGCTACCCTAAAGATACGTTTTTGAGTCGAGCTACGCACGCTTATGAAGATTCCTGACCCCAAAACAACTGTGTCGTAACGTAATTCAGGTACATAAATAATGGAGAAACATAAAATAAATCTAATAGCACGTTTCCGAAGACACATTAAGCCGTTGGCTGTATGTGCAGTCGTTAGTACCTATCAAACCGTCCGGTCTCCTTATTCCATGTGCCCCAGTAATATGTGCATTATAAGGCTGATGGTGACGATGATGTGATTGAAATGCATTGCTTTGCTTCCAAATACGTATTTTCACTTAGTCATAACCGCAGCTTGGTATAATTTATATTTTTTAAGCATTGTGGGTTACCTGCAATGCGAAGAGATGGCGCTGCCTAGCAACTTAAGAAAGGCTAGAAAGAATTCAAGACGGCTTTCAGGGCCGCGGGCAGGGCATTATGCTATAATTGCAATCGCCCGGATAGCAAAGGGTGCGGGTTCGAGTCCCGTTGAATTTTTTATAGTATTATTTTCTTTAGATTCAAACGCAGCTTGGTATGTTTACATTTTTATTCGCCATACAAATATTCATCCCTTACATAAATAAAGCCCTCTCAACTTATTTTCTCTCTTTCAAAGTCAAATCTATCTCAATGCCAAAATTCCTTAAAATCGATTTAGCAATATAAGCGTGCATGAGAATGGTTTAATTCAATATTTATATAATTTTTCGCTAAATATTTTACATATTTTAGGTGGAAAGGCCAGTGCTGCTAGTTGGAGACACGGGGACGTCAAAAACAGCAATAATTACAAATTATCTACGTGGATTACCTGCCGATAAATATGTGAGTGATTGTCCACTATTTAAGTACTTTTATCTTTTTACTTGTAGTGGAATCTGGTAATAAAATACATATTCACTTTCAATGTATACTTTCGGACACATCTCACGGCACACCAAGTATTTTAAGTTTTGAAGTACCTATATATAATAGGTATTTAATATAAATTTATGATGCATGAAAAGAAAAATAAACAAATTTGAATATCGTAACATCCTAAACGTACCCTAAAAAGCTGCCTATAAGTTTGTTTATGATTGAAAGCAACCACGCAACACTAAATCCCGTTTTATATATTTTTTGTTTAACACACATTTAGCTGGTTTTTGTTATCAATTATTTGTTAAAACGATTTTTTGCTTTGACTTTCTCAAATACTAACTACACTTAAGTATTATTGCTGTTTGATATATTATCATACGTTATCTTAATTATAATATAAAATGATTTGGTTGTTGCCTCACAAACTATATAGGGCTTAGGTGTCTCTAAGCAATTATCCCTACCTATTTAACGTTTAGTGAAGACCAAACACGAATGTGACAAAAAAGTGTTCCGCTCCCGTACCAACCTGAACCTAATACCCTACCTCGTGGAACCCTGGAACCTTACACATCAATAGAAACACGATAAAATCTGTTGACATTTTGAGTTATTGTACTGTAATCTTCTACTTGAGGCTACTTTCCCAGGCGTTTGCTCCATATAAATTCATTATTAATAACATAATATGTAAGACGTGAGACAGTACACACATGTAATGTACCTACTAACTTATCATGTCCCTTAAAATAAAATGAAACATTTATGAATTTATTAGTTTATTATCGCAATCCTAACAAACGCTTGTTGTTACGATTGCGATGAGAAATTGCGTATTGAGTACTTACTCGTTTCGTAATATTACATAAATAGATTATTCACGTAACCTCCTTACGGGTATTTCGGAACATAACCGGTCTTAAAAATATCAGATCAGCGATAAAGTCTGCTTAGTGATTTGAACGCTATTTTCATCACTCATATCATGGGGGGCGTAGCTCAGATGGTAGAGCGCTCGCTTAGCATGCGAGAGGTACCGGGATCGATACCCGGCGCCTCCAAAATTATCCTTTTTTTTACTATGCCATTTTTTACATTGTTATTGGTGTGGTATAGATCTCTTGTTATAAATTGACAAGATTCCATGTCTTCCTGAAGTCTTATTTTAGAAATGACTTCCAAATTTAAACCTACTACATTTGAACCTAACTTTACGAAGAGATTGTATCCTAGTCCGTTTCGTATTGCATACTCGACGTGATTGAATTATAAATAAAGGTAATTTCGTAATTCTGAGTACTTTACTGAGAAACGAGATATTTTAGTGCAAATAGAAGGTAAGAACCTTCTCCACAATAGGGGTGATGACGGGGTACAGTAAACGAAACGTGACGTCATGCGACTTTTCAAATCAATATATCTCTGCAATGTTTATATTATGTGAAAAAAGAAAAAATACGTGTCCAACACTTTTTGATAATCTACCTGATAAACGAAGAAAAAAAAATTAGTCATCATCCCTATTACCTAGGGAAGACAATTACCATGAGAAAGGATTAAAATTTTATATGATTTGATATAAATAGGCCAATACTATTTAGGATGCGACTAAAAGAAGAAGATTGTAGAGATTATGCGATAGTTGCTAAAGTCACTAATTGGACGGGTGCTCATAATTATGTGCTAAAAAATAGCTCTGACTGTGCCTGTTATCGCTAGCACCTACGGATTCACAATACCCTCTTTCATCCCTTACCTGATTCTTTTCATATCCCATACTTCTGCAGCAACAGCTGTAGGTTTATTAATTTCCTATTTTTCAGATAATCCAACAAATGAACTTCTCATCGCGCACGTCATCGATGGATGTGCAACGGAACCTGGAATCTGTGGTGGAGAAACGCACCAAGGACACATTCGGCCCGCCCGTCGGCAAACGCATGCTCGTCTTCATAGATGATATGAACATGCCCATTGTGAGTGAATGAAACTATTGTAGGAAAATAGTGGTAAAATCTAAATATATTTTAGTAATCTTTTTTTTTATTTGGCTCACAAAACTGGTTACAAAGAGTATCCATGTAAATATATGCATACAAAGAAAACATCAGCTACTTTGCAATCTACTAGATGCAAGCACAACATGCATTTCTAATACCACCTAACTACTAAAGATTAATATACAGTGCCTACTTATAGGTTAAACTCAATACCTAAAAAAGTTAAAGTTAAGACTAAAAACTAATAGAACTTAATCAAAGAATATTGATTTTAAACATTTTCTGGTTAAGCCTTTAAATTTAGAAACCTTAAATATGTCGAAATCATTCTCTAATATGTATCTTCGTAACTAATCGTCCATTTCAAAATTTCTTTTATCAATATTTGATTATATTATTTGAGCGATATAATATGTCAAATTTTATCTCAAAGATGAAGAAGATATTTACATTTCTTATTTCATCTGTGGCATATGAAAATCTCTCATATCACTGAAGAATATTTTCCTCGACTGTGAATGTTAATTCGAAATTTTCATATTTTTTTGTCTTACACTAACTATATTAATAAAACTTTATGGCACATATTTTACTTACTTTTTTTTTGCATAGGTCGATACATATGGTACTCAACAACCAATAGCCCTCCTGAAACTACTATTTGAGCGCAAAGGCTTCTACGACAGAGGAAAGGATCTCAATTGGAAAAACTTGAAAGACATCGGATTCTTGGCTGCTATGGGCAAGGCTGGTGGTGGTAGGAACGATGTGAGTGATTCAAACAATCTTTTTAAATAATTAACATTGAAATGCTCTTTTATTACCCGTTAAATATAGCTCTAGAGTAAATAGTATACAAAATTCAATTATTATTATTATTAAAAAAAAATTGCTTATGTGGTCGAAAATCTATATATATAAAAATCAATTGCTGTTCGTTAGTCTCGCTAAAACTCGAGAACGGCTGAACGGATTTATCTTATCTTAGTTTTGAAATGTTCGTGGAAAAGGTTAAAAAGGTGAGAAAAAATCTAGAAATTGCCGGGAAAACCCTAAAAACAGCGAGCAAAGCCGCGGGCAAAAGCTAGTCTGCAATATTATAATCTGATAATGATACCTTTGCAGGTTGACCCTCGCTTCATCTCAATGTTCTCCGTGTACAATCTACAGTTCCCTTCGGAGAATACGCTGCGTCATATTTATGTGTCAATATTGAGTGGTCACTTTTCAATTTTCCCGGAAGAAATTCAGGAAACTGTCGATAAAATCGTGCAGATGACCCTGGACTTGTACAAGGTAAAAACTGAACATAAACATAAAAACATAGGGGAAACCACCCAATCATTGGCACTCGTCCTATTATTTGGCACTTTTGGGTTTAATTCGAAAAAACAAGGAGATAATAGATTATTCAAGGTCGTTGCATATTAAAAAGAAAAACCTAGTATGGTTTCGAAATTAGAAAATTGGCAGAATTATTCCTACAATCTATTGTTTCCTGGTTTTTTCGAAATAAACTCAAAAGTGCCAATAATAGGAAGAGTGCCAATGATTGGGTAGTTTCCCCTAATTGGTTTTGTTTGTACTTGTACACCTATGTCATCGATAAATTGATTGATAGTTAATATTTTACTAATGGCCGGTTCAATAACCTGTTCTCAGTAAGATTTAAGAGCACAGTTGATATTTTTGTTAATTAGTTCAAAATATCTACAGCTCCATTGCTTAAGAACATAGATTACCAGAACAAGCTTATCTTTTACTGGATATTGCTATATCGTATTTAATATTTACTGCCGTAATACATACAGATTGACATTAAATCTAAACTAGGATTCCGCTATTTCAACTAATTCCTATATGTCTTAATGAAATCTTATTAAACTTTTCCATCCTATTCCATGGAATAATTTGAGAATAGTCTTGAATTTAAACTCTGATTCCTCATATTCCAACAATATGAATTATTCCTTGGAAGTATTCCTTCAATCAACTGTATCGCATCATTTTCAATAGGTTATAATCGTTGAGTTACCACCGACTCCAGCTAAGTTCCACTACATATTTAACTTGAGGGATCTGTCGCGTATAGCGGCAGGCATGTGTTTGATGCACCCGAACTTCTTTAGCGAGAAGAAAACAGTAGTACGGTGTTGGAGGAACGAATTCACACGCGTCATATGCGATCGACTCATCAATGTGCAGGTAAACAAATGGATCGAAAAGGTGCAGTCACAGATTTTAAATAATAATAATAGTAATTTATTGGTACCATAAAAATTGTACACAATATTTTATAAAATCTTACAATAATAAAACAATCATCCAACTGCATAAAAATACATATGCACCTGAACTAGGAGACCTGTATCTCAGGTGCAGAATGTATCTACTTATAAAGTAAAAATCGTTTAAGCTTCATCTCATTTGGTCAAGATGGTTTATTTAATGAGTGGTGTGCGTGAAAACCTAAGAAACAAATATCATTTTCAAATGTAAGCGATTATAGATATTAGTAAGCAGACTTGATTCACATTTTTATTTGTTTTTAGGGTTCCGTACATCGAAAGGAATAAACGGAACTGTTATAAAATCACTTTATTGTCCGTCCGTCCGTCCGTCTGTCAAGACCCTTTTTCTCTGGAACGCGTGGAGGTATCAAGCTGAAATTTATATCAAATATACTGTCCCTTAGACCTGTAAAAATATTAACCTTCTAAGCCAACGTGTTTTTTTTCTTTAACAACAAGTTATTTCAAACCACTTTCGAATAGGTATTTTTGTACAGAAACCTTTAAATTTTTCTTCACCTTCATCATCAATAGCCTACCTTAGTCCACTGCTGGACATAGGCCTCTCCAATTGCACGCCACTGAGGTCGATCTTGGGCTAATCGCATCCAGCTCCTGCCAGTCAATTTTTCTTGACTGAATTGAAAAATGTAACCGGGTTATGTGCACATAAAAGTGTACATCTTAGTACGAAAGATTACCGCAAGCATTAATTAACATTATTGCGATACATTTTATTTACTCAATACACAGGATAACGAGTTGATGCGTAACCATGTCCAAGAGCACATTGTCAAGTTCTTCCCAGAAGAAGAGCCGGTGGTGCTCGAAGAGATCGTAGTTACTGAAGAAGACGTTAAGATTGCTGACGAGGAAGTAGAAGATGGTCAGTTGATGATTCAATTCAATTTATTATATTCAGATATATTAGGTTGGAGAAAAAGATTTTTAATAAAGTTTATTTACATTTAACTAAAGTATGTAGGTGCCATTTTGTTCGATAACTTTTTGCCATCTCGTAGAGAGACATGATTCTATTGCCATAGAAATTTTGGGGCTTCTGATCAAAAAACCACGACAAGTGGTTTTGGCAGTCCTCTCGTGATGTTAACCTGACACTGCGTAAAGAATTCTGAAGAGATCGAAACAGGTGGAAATCTGAAGGTGCAAATTAAGATTATACGGCTGATGCATTAACACTTCCCAGTCAAACTGTCTTAATGTTTGCTGAGTAGTTAAAGATGTGTGAGGTATAGCGTTAGCATGATGAAAAACCACACCCCTTCTATTGATTAATTCCGGCCGCTTTGTCTCAATTTCTTTCTTAAATCTCATCAGTTGTGAGTTCAGAATCGATGGTCCTGCCTGGCGGTAACAGCTCACAATGAATAATGCCCTTCCAATATCACCATACACAGCATCATATTGTTGCGAGTTAACCCGGATTCCAACATAGTAAAGCCTGACCGACCACGACCATATTCGCACGTTCCTGCCGTACTTTATCCACTTTTCATCACCAGTTATCAGCTTTTTCAAAAATGGTTTTGTTTCCTTACGTCGTAATAAAGAATCACAAATAAGAACACGGTTCATTAGGTTTCTTTCGTCGAGCTCGTGAGGCACCCAAATATCGACCTTCTTTGTGTATCCATGTTTTTTCAGGTCTTCAGCTACATCGTAACTACTGAAATGCCGATCTTGCTCCATTTTTTCAAAAATTGCATCAATTTTATCCGTAACATTCTTAGATTAACACAAAAAGGGTGGATACGGTACGCTCATACTTGCATCAAACAAAAACTGATCCCACGGCAGCGCGAACGTGACGGCGAGATCCGCGTCACTGCATTACCGACCCGAACGAAATAGCACAAGTTTCAACGGCAGCGCGAACGGGACGGCGAGATCCGCGTCACTGCACTACCGGCCAATCACGCGACGTCACTACCGAATAAGATTCAAAACAAACAGCAATTTTTATGAAAAAATATATTTTATAGTACTTACGAATGAAAAGTGATGCTGCGGATGTTATTTTTAGTTCTTGAGCAATTTGAGCACTTTTTAAAAACACACTTAGGCATTGTTTTATCATATAAACACAAAATATTAGCAATATTTCTTTTTGGCGTTCACATGTACGTCGTTTGCATGTCAAGTTGTGACTAAAGCGATTAGGGTCGTGGACCACAATTCATGAGGAGCACTTTTGTGAGGCTAGTGCCGTATCTACCCTTTTTGTTTTAATCTAAGGTAACATTGCGACTAGAGCGACGTGCATCTTAAACATCAAAATTTCCGGATTGAAAATGCATAAACCAAATTTGTGCTACTCTCACAGACACTGCACTAGGTCCATAAATATCACTTTTTTTTTCGCGGCTTGGATTGCATGTTAGCTCTTTTTGTAGTACAATTTTAAAATGTATTCACTCATTATGCAGTAAGAAAAACAAATGAAAATCATACATTTTGCTAATTTGAATTTGGAATATAATCTTAAAATTTTAACTTTTTAATGATACTGATACCAGCCAGATACAAATGGTATAGCCAAAGAGATTTTATTTCAAGTTCATACATACTATAATGCGAAAAGACTTTTTCCCCAACCTAGTATGTATATTGTGTTGGTAACTATTTATTGTAACCGTAGAATTTCATTAAGATTGTGATTCATGAAGATGACTAATGGAGGTTTCAATCAGAGAACCTCTTCAAAGCTAAAGCACGTATATTAGCGCGTTCTCTCCTTTCTCTCTATAGGCCTGTGTCCCAACAGTTGGGCCATTGATATGCTGGTAATGATACCTATGTTTAAGGTATCATTACCAGCCTATCCTTTACCCTACACTCAAGAATAGGAGTGATGACGGGGTAAAGTAGACGCAATTCTTTTGAGTCCATCAGTTGCATTATTATAATAGACACGTATTTTTATTTTGACAATCAACCAACACATTGCAAAGATTAAGCACATCCAAGTTTGGTAGTAGGGGCTCGTGACGTCAGTTGTAAGTAATAATTTTACGAACACGTAACGTCATGCGACATTTCAAATCAATATACTCGTATCTCTGTAATGTTTTGATGTTGTAAAAAATGAAAAAAATGAGAAATTCGGTGAAGGGTAAAGAAAAAAAGTTAGTCATCATCCCTATATATTGTACAACACTCTTTCATAAAGAATATGCTGAAAAAGAAGCTGTAGAACCTGAAGCCGTCACAGAAGCTGTGGCAGAAGAGGCAGAAGAAGAAGAGGTCGAGGCTGAAAAGGAACTAACGGTAGGAGACTTTTTAATTAGAATTATTAATATTATTTCTTTTAACACTGTTCATAATATTTTACAGAAGACTTAGTTAATTTCATTTGATCATATAATTATTTGGGTAACTTCTGTGCCCGAAGTAGGTTTAAGAAAAAGCATATCTCAGGCTCTAGTGCTGCTCCCATTTAACATTTATTCCTTTTTAACTGTGGTTTGCTAGCATAAATTAACAACATCATTTTATAATTACGGATAAGCTTTCTAGAATAATAGTAAAAGGAAATTCAACTAAAATCTAATAGTAAAATGTTAAGTGTGAGTAAGAGTTCTTCTTGGTATGTAGTGCGAGTGTATATGCCTGTGTGAGTATGAGAGTAGTAGTTGATAATATTAAAGTCATTATAATTATTTAATTAATAAGAAGATAATTTATTTGCATGTATGTAGGACATAATCCAAAAAGAGATAGCATTGGTCACTTATAAAATATCGAAAAATATTACTTAAATCCATTGACGTATAAAAACAAGCACACTCACAATCGCGCTCAAAAATTGTCGAAGCAAAATAACGCCCATTCGTCTATTGTGCGTAATTTTCAAACAGAATGACATTGAACCTTACTGCCTCGACATAACGTAGTGATTTGAACAAATGTGTTCATTTTACGTTGACTGGAACGCCGCTCGAACTTTTTCTTATGCACTTTTGTTAGGCGATTGGGAGTCCACTTATTTTTATATGTCAGTACATAAATCGTAATACTTTTGAATTCAATACTCAGCTTTCTTATCCTCAATATAAACGTTACACACTCTCGTATACCTCATTGCAGCTTGAAGAGTACGTCCTCCGAGATCCCCTATTGTTTGGAGATTACAGAAATGCTTTGGATGAAGAAGAAATTCGATACTACGAAGATTTGTTGGATTACGAAGCAGTGTACTTTTTATTCCAAGAGGTACCTAAAGTTCAATAATAATACCTTACACTGTCTTTCTTTTAGTCAGGCGAGCGTTCCCCTCATAAAACGTTCATTAAGGGCTGACTTTAGTACAAATAAAGCGAAAATGTGCCTTTTTCGACAGCATTGGAATCAAAGCTGTTACTCATTAACCGACCGAAAACGGAGGTTTTCAAGTCGACATTTGATTTTTTTTAAAATGCATGCATAAATTTTTACAGAGTAGTCCGATTTGTATAGTTCTTTTTTATTGGAAAGGGTACCAAGAAGTTTGCCCTATATAAATTTGGAAAAAAATCAACCCTAAGGCACGATAATATTATCTATACAGTATTGTGACTCAGCCCTGTCCTTGAAATAACTGCCTACGGCTGAGCGGGGCCTATCCACGCGGTAGGGCTGCCCGCCTACAGTCTTTTAATTTCATCTACATAATTGAGTTTCTTTCTAGCTTTGTGATGGTAAATATTTTATTTCTTATAAAAAAAATGTTGTGAATGAATTAGGAAGCGTTACATAAAATACTTGTTATTTGAAGTGTAATATTTAATAAAAAAAATATACAGATTTGAGACAGAAAAATATTTACGCCTCGACTGAGATGTACGAAAAGCTTTATTATTAAATTTAATAGTATAATAAATACGCATTCCTATAAACAGTTTAATTATTGAAGACTTCAAGCAACCAAAAAACAGCACAATATCGACTATTGCTCTTTGCCATATTAAATTATGTATGTATCTACTTAATTCAATCAAATATTCACAATACAAACGTTTAAGTACGGCTAACTGCTTAAAAAACAGTTCACACCGTTCGATCGTTGCTGCGGCGCATTCGCGATTGGATGCCCACCGGGTGCCGCACGAACTCGAGTGGCGTAGGTATGAAACGCTTTCCGAACGTTTGTATGAAGATAGAATATTGTATAGATAATATTACTGTGCCTACCCCTATTACCAGGTATGAAAACAGGGTTTGATTGATTGTTCATTCACTGATTGTTATGTATGACCACACAACTTTTTACAGAGTAGTCTGATTTTGATATTTTTTTTATTTATTGGAAAGGTATACCCCGAAGTTGGTTCCTTATGAATTTGAAAAAAACAAACTCTAAGGGTACCTACGTATGAAAACAGGGGATGATTGACTGGTCACTCACAGATTTTGATGCCGAGTTGTATATTATAAAAGTTATAGTCACAAAAATTGTAAAATAAAATATTATAATTTTTATTATTTTTAAAGCATGTAACTGCTTGATGTTTAAATCTAAAGAAAATATAACTAGAAAAAATTCCACGCGGACCAGGCAGCAGACGGGACTCGAACCCGCACCCTTCGCAATCCGGGCGAATGCACTGACCAATTATGCTACCGCGGCCCTCACGGACCGCGTCGAAATTCTTTCTAGCTATTCTTAAGCTGCAAGGCAGCGCCATCTCTTCGCATTATAGGTAAACCCACAATGTCAAATGAATACTTTTACAAGTATTAAACATTTGAAAGAAGAAATAGCAATTATAGTTATAATTTTTATTATTTTTAAAGCATGTAACTGCTTGATGTTTAAATCTAAAGAAAATCGTGAGGGCCGCGGTAGCATAATTGGTCAGTGCATTCGCCCGGATTGCGAAGGGTGCGGTTCGAGTCCCGTCTGCTGCCTGGTCCGCGTGGAATTTTTTCTAGTTATATTTTCTTTAAATAAAATATTTTTAACAAACGAAATTAACCGCCGAAATGTAATAAATAATCAACCTTTTTTATCCTTAGTGAAGTTAATATTTGGATTCGGTGTCATGCAGATCTGATAGATCTGAGTTTACTACTTGGGTTAGCCTGGCACTAGCACCGACTCCGAATATTAATTTGACTCAAGATAAAAAGGTTATTATTTTATACTTTTCAGCGGTTTTTTTTTTGTTTTGTGTTAAGCATGTTGAAGAAGGACAGCTTTACTTTTATTTGCTTAAATTTTAGCTGAGCCAAATCTACACGACAAACTTGCCATGATAAAATTAAATAAAATTGTATTAAAAACCGTGCATCATATGCATTGTGCAGCTGCGGCATATCGCAGCGCTCGGAATCGTTTTCATAGAGATTCATAGAAACTAGTAGTGTCGCCTGCAGTCTGCAGCTGCGACCTGTGGTCTGCGGTTCAGTTCAGACTTGTACCTTAATAATCTTCTAATTCTAATTCTGTCAATTTCTTTAATTATTCACGATATTTCTTACATCTTACCATCACAAGGAATAGTATTAACTTTCGCTAATCTTTCTTGACTTGACCGTCTACCTTAATTATTGTTTTAATTACGCTGCTATATTATATAGTTGCCACATAAGCTTATATTACGTATTTTGCCGCCGCAATTTTTGTCTCTTGAAAAATTACTTCTAATAGTGTGCTTTAAAACTAAAAGACCTTTCTTTCACTTTTGGTTGATTCAACTGAAAATGAACTTTTTCTGACAGATATTGGACGAATACAACGAGCGTATAGGCAAAATGTCCGTGGTACTGTTCGAGGATTGTCTGGAACACTTGACTCGCACTCACCGCATCCTGCGCATGGACCGCGGCAACGCGATGATCATCGGCGTCGGGGGCTCCGGCAAGAAATCCATATGCCGACTGGCTTCTTTCGCCGCCGGTAATAAAGTCATTCGTAGTAATCATAATCAAAATCATTTATTCAGTTTAGGCTGTTACAAGCACTCATAAATGTCTAGAAGCTACGCCATCGGTTCGTTAATATGACGGGAGACCTTGTACTGAGAAGAACCGGCAAGAAACTCAGCAAGGGCTGTTTTTTCCCTGTTTTATTATAAATAAATAATAAAAATTTCCAACACTCACACCAATTAGCCTAGCCCCAAAGTAAGCACTGTAAGGCTTGTGTGTTATGGGATATTAGGGTAACGGATAGAATACATATGCGGGTGATTCTCAGTTAAGAGGTATGTTTGATGGCTAAGCCAAAAAAATCATTATATTTGGAAATGATGGTCTAAAATCTTAATAATTTCATTTAACTTAATGTGTTCTAAATTGTCACTTAAAATTATATTCTAAATGTGCATAATTTACTTACAATAACAGCACAAAGAGGAAAAACTTCTCTCCCCTGGGTTGTCCCCTTACCGTTTTTTTTTGTTAATCAGTAATTTTGAGTCCATTGAAATTTAATTATTACTTTTCTATCGGTAATAACATGAACCTTGATAACTAAGTTACAGTATGTAACCATTAAATTCATTTATATTTGCACTTTTTATAAAAAATATTAATCGCAAACTGTGTCCTCCGAGATTCGTGTCTCGCCCCCTGGCCTTAGGTTTAGTTTGAAAATCGTATTTGTTTACCATAGTCTGTGGTAGTTTTGATCTTAAAGACACCGAGTGTCACGTGAAGTTAGCAGCAAGCGCTGCACAAGCCATCCACGCGGCAATTTTTATGGGCATTTGCGCAACGGTGCTCGATGAGTGCAGCCGTGTTGAGTAATCGAAGTATTTACCCTGGTAATTTTTTTTTCGTATTTATGTGTTTAAATACAACAATATCTATATACATTTATTTTAAATAGTGCTGCAAACCTTTTATTTATTTGTAATCTTTGTAAAATTAGTAGTTTTACGGCAATTTTAGATTTTTAACGAAAATGTCTCTCCCCTGCCATATTTCCCCTGGCTGTTATGGTGCCAGGCTACTAACAAAACTATAAAAACGATGCAATAGCTCAATAACAGTAATGATAATTTATTAGAGAATGTACAATTGCATATAATTTTAGATAATTGTTTAGCTTTATATCGTTATTCCACTAAAATCTGATTGCACGGATATGTACTTTACATCCTAATATGCGCTCTAAGCGTATTGCAATAAAGTTCATCTTGTCTCTACCCTGTACTCAGTATCTCCCCTGGTGTCTCGTAAAACGAGAAGAAATTAAAAAAATGACTGATCATCTTAAAATCATATTAAAATCATCTGTCTTGATAAAAGTAGTGGTATAGTTACATAAATATCGACACTTTTTGCTGTGCCACTGCTTCCATACAACTAATTACCTCTTAACTGAGAATCACCCATACAGTACATATATAAGTATATTTATATAGAAATACACATTAAACATCCATGACTGGAATACAAATGCTCGTATTCATCACATAAACATCTGTCCCCACCGGGATTCGAACCTCTCGAGTCGGCGACACCATGAAACCCGGCGTACAAACCACTCGGCCACGGAGGTTGTCAGAAGGTCGTCTGTATTATTAATAGTCGTCAAATTGAAAAATGACTTCAGAGATGTGAAGTCACCTTTCATTACATAATGATTAAATATCGTGTATCAGAGACGCCCTCTAGTTGAACCGACCCCTCAGGTTTGAGTGGTCTTGAGGCTTCAGACGGAGAGGAGACTCCCTTAGTGGGGAGATGCCATCCGCCTGGAATACCTCTAGAGGTACTCGCCAATTCTCGGCTTGAGGTCCCCTTAGAATCTCGCCGTCCCCAAAGCCGGTGACGCTGTAAAGGTCATCTGCGACCAACAGCCTCCTCATTAAAAAAAATGTTTGAAACACTTGCCTCGCACCCACCGCATCTTGCGCATGACGTCGAAGCCTCCGGCTAGGAATCCATATGCTGTCTGGGTTCCTTCGCCGCGGGTAATTAACTGGCTAGTCGAGTATATAATATATCATCCAGCAAGCTGCTTGTTAATTAGTCGCGTAAAATAAATCCTAGAGTGAACTACTTGCTAGTTATCCAGGAAATAGATTAGCCAACTGGCTTCCTTCGCCGCCGGTGATAAACTGGCTAGTCGAGTTAAATAAACCATCCGGCTAGTTATTCTTGCTAGTTAGTCCAGTGATATAGATCAAACAGCGAGCCACTTGCTAGTTATTCGATGTAATTAAATCTATCAAGTCAACTAACAAAGCTTCAGTAAGGTAAGAAGCAAAATAGATGTTTCGCTCGAATTGCGCACGTCCGAAGAAGTTAGAGGTATAAGAATAGAGGAAAGGCGGCTCTAAAGTGTCCGTCTAGTAGAAAGAGAAAGAAGATGAGAGACCGCTAGCTGTCTCGCTCTCTTGTGACGCATGACATCCAATGGCATCACATCGAAATAGTAAGATGCTTACGGTTGCCAATGCGCATGCGCGATTAGAGTGAGAAAGCTAGCGGTCTCTGATCTTCTTTCTCTTCTATTAGAGAGTCACTTCCACTTGCAGTAGAGTTTATATCTCCCCTAAACTATTCTTATACTTCTATGGTTATAATGCTTAAATAAGATTCAGAATCTATTGAGAAAATTTGACAGTTTGTGGCTTTATTAGGAATCTGTCGTCTCCTGATAATTTATTGGTCTAATTTTTTTTATAATAGGTTGCGAAGTGTTTGAAATAACAATAACCCGCAACTACAACGAGAACACTTTCAAAGATGACATGAAACGACTTTACAATCAACTGGGAGTGGATGGCAAAAAAACTGTATTCCTGTTTACCGCTTCGCAGGTGAGACAGTTGTTTTTATCTAAAGAAAGGTTTACTAGACAAAAAATCCACGCCGACCAGGCAGCGGACGGGACGGGTGCATATTTTTCTAGTAAACATTTCTCCAGACTTAAACATCTAGCAGTTAAATACTTAATAATTAAAAATATATAACAGTTGTTTTTGTTTATTTTTTTCACACACATATAAATCTACGTTATTGATTTTCATTTTGAACTATCTTCCATTAGTTAGCGATATTAATTCGATCGCACATGAACACTTCAGTCACATTAATATTATATTTACACGACCAACATTTGTGAGCTTACCGGTTCACTGTGAAAGACCACTCAAAAATTTCTTTCTATCCTGTCATTATATCCTGTTTTTGCTCTTATCTCTATATCTGCATGGAATAATAAGTTTCACATACAAACTTATAGTCCCTATTTCACCCATTACAAATTTTATTTATTGCGTCCATAAATGCCTATGTCCTTAACGCAAGTTTCCTTCATAGCCTACGAAAAAAGAGACTCGGGCGAGAAATTGTCACACACAGACAGATAGTGACTGTCGCATTCAAAACTCAAGTATTCATATTTGTTTCTTAGGTTTTCACGCGCACCACTTATTAAATGAAACAAGTTTCAACGGTATAGATGCACTGATCAATGTCCAAATCTATCTTCGCGACTGGACTCCTCTTACTAGGTAATGACATCGTTACCGTGAATCGATGCAGATAGCATTGCACGGTGCGTTGACATAAGGTGCAAACCTATCCCCGTAACATGAGCACCATAATTTAAAGTATATCACGTCACGTTTTTAACGCAGCTGTCAAATTCCATAGTAATTTGACAATTGAGCGTGATAAAAACGAGATGTATCATATCGCGGTGCTCATGCTAGGGGACAAAATCGCACGTTATGTCAATGCACCGTGCAACTTTTTCGCAGCGTCCCTCGTTGAAAATATCGTAACGTTAAGATGTGGACACATGAACAAGCCCTAACATCACTTGGGTGGGGTAATATGTTGCGCCTCGTATAAAAAATATTATAATTAACCTTCGCTTCTTCACCTACGAACAGATTTTGGAAGAGGGTTTCTTGGAGTTCATCAACAACATACTGATGATCGGCATGATCCCTGCGCTATTCGGTGATGACGAAAAGGACGCCATCATCAACGCCGTACGCAACGAGAGCAACGAGGCTGGACACGGCGTGGCCAAGTAACAATACCTATCATCTAAACAAAATTTTACTTAAACTTTCACACGGTCCTTTACAGTAAGTAATTCTGTAAAATGAAATCCCACTCCTAAGTTCGCCGTCGGCTTAAATTTTGGACATTAAATTACTCACGAACAAGACAAAATGTAAATTTTATTTTTTTATTTATAAAATAAGATCGTAAGTTCCATTTTATCTTTCAGACTCGCATTCTGGTATCATTCAGAACCGAAACCAAGTACAATTATTTCTAGTAAAATTTTCTTTCGATTTATAAAGTCTGTCAGTTTAATGCTTTTAATATTATTATTATTGGTAATATATAATAACCTATCATCATCACACATACCACCTAAACTAGGGCCCGCATAACTCATATTTTGTTTGATATCAAAATCGACAAACTTATAGGCGTGCGGGGAGGGGTAATCCGCAAGTGACATCCTGATCCTAGCAAAATCCTATTTCATTGTGGATTCCCGATTCATACTCACTATAAGACTACAACCTAAGAATATCTTCACGCATACCTTTCAAAATCAACTGTGATTAACTTCTGTATATATAAAAGGCAACTGTTACTGACTGGTCTATCAAAGTAAGCTTAAATCGCTGAACAGATTGCGCTGAAATTTATTTATTTACAACACATTACAGGTTACAGTGTACAGGACATTACAGAAAATTTAAACATAACAGACCTAACACTTATGTGTCTGCATCCAGGGCTAACAACATGTTTATACCTTAAAATTAGCAAACATCAAATGATAAGTAGACAAAAAACCATAGACATTTTGGGTTACATTCATTAGCATTAAGTTGGTACAATTATACGGCAAACACTTTCCAATTGACTGGGATTGCGGCTGAAATAATTTATATTTAAAAATATACAAGACACACATTCACATATGATTTGGCACACATATAGCTATTATGATGTAGGCGTGCGCTAAGGAAAGTTTTTCAAAACTTGGTGTAAGGTTTGAAAATCGAAAGGGGTAAAACAGAGGTTCAAAGTTTGTACTGAGCATTAAGATGGCGAGGTTAATCCTTTAACTAAATAACATTCTTTCACGAAGATGAAGTCGCGGGCACTCAGTAGGTATTGTTAGATAAGACTTTAATGAAGGATATCCAAGAGACTTTTCATTACGGACTAATTCTTTATCAATAAAATAAAGTACCTGCTTACTGTAACAATTATTTTCGGACAGAGACGCTGTGTGGAATTACTTCTGCAACAAATGTGCTGACAACCTTCATGTTGTATTATCGATGTCGCCAAGTGGAGATATACTAAGAAACAGGTGAGAGTTTCAAAAAAATCTTATACCAAACTGTAAACTTGATACCAGTCTGTCCTTTTCACTCCTCATAAAGCGTGATAAGGACAGACTGTTGTCAAGTTTACAAATAGCAAATACAAATAGCCTGTGATGTGCCGACAATTAAACAAACAGCAACCGAACTGAAGCCGTAACACAAACAAATTCGAAATATATAAATAAATATTTCCAACACTCACACCAATTAGCCTAGCCCCAAAGTAAGCACTGTAGGATTGTGTTATGCGAAAACAATTGAAAACTTCGAGGAAAATGGATATTTGGTAAGGACATTAATAATATTGCTTTCGCCTGTTTTGTTATTAAAAAAACAAAAAAAGTAAGTAACTGATTTGTCCTTATGGCAAATAACTTCCTCTTGCATTCGCTTTCTGTATAAAGTCGTTCATAGAAAGGCAGCTATATAACATTTGTTCTATTTAAAGGTGCCGAAGTTTCCCGGGCCTTGTGAACAATACGACCATAGATTGGCAGTTTCCGTGGCCCAAGCAAGCATTGTTAGCTGTAGCCAATGTGTTCTTGGCTGATGTGAGTTTCATTATATAGCTTATATTCGCACCCATAGACGTAAATTAATATAATGCTTGTGACGTATTAACTTTTTTTTATTGTTATGGCAAAATACAGTGACAGTTTCGAACTGTATTGTTTTAAACTTTCATGATCATGGAATAATTTTTAGCGAACTCGCTAAAATCAAGCCACATGGTAGCCATCCCGCTTATAACATTATTTATTATAAAGTTATCTAGCTTTAGTTTCATTAAAAAATTATGTCATACCTAATGTTTAGCAATTTCCATTATAATTCCATCTGAATCTTACTGGTAACCATGTCCATAGAATCCAACTAACTAGGTATAAAACTGTTAGGTTGAGAAGATTCCCGAAGAATTCCGGCCGATCATAGTGGAGCACGTAGTCCACGTGCACATGTCCGTAGCGCGCTACTCGGCCGAGTTCCTTCTGCGACTGCGTCGCAACAACTACGTCACGCCCAAACATTACATGGACTTCCTCACCAACTACCTGCTCCTGTTGAATGAAAAGGACGCTTTCATCGTAGCACAGGTAATAATATCAAGTCTAGGAGAAAGCTAACGTAGCGTCGAGTCGTACAGAGGGGTCAAAGGGCTGGCGGAGGACAGAGGGAGATGGCAGGAGATCCATAGACGGCACTGACAAGAGCGTTGCTCTTAAATTCAGACAGAGTTAGTATAAAAGTCACTTTCATAGAAAGTTTTGATAAGAGGTCGCTTGCAAGTACGACTGCGTGAAATGAATGTAAGTATAGATAAAAAGGCAATATAATCTTCACCGCCTGTTGCACACCATTCTACTACCATTTGTCTGGAAAAGAACTTGTTCTCGAGGTCCCCCTTTGTTTGCCGTAATAGGGATGATGACTTATTTTTTTTTCTTCGTTTATCAGATAGATTATCAAAAAGTATTGGACACGTATTTTTTCTTTTTTCACATAATATAAACATTGCAGAGATATATTGATTTGAAAAGTCGCATGACGTCACGTTTGAGTACACTTATAAGTGAAAATTCACTCAAAAGTGACGTCACGAGCCCCTACTCCCAAACTTTGACGCGCTATAACTTTGTAATTTTTTGGTTGATTGCCCAAAGAAAAAATACGTGTACATTAATTTTTGATCATCTGACGGACTAAATAGAATTTCGTTTACTGTACCCCGTCATCACCCCTATTCCGGCCGATCATAGTGGAGCACGTAGTCCACGTGCACATGTCTGTAGCGCGCTACTCGGCCGAGTTCCTTCTGCGGCTGCGTCGCAACAACTACGTCACGCCCAAACATTACATGGGCTTCTCACCAACTATCTGCTGCTACTCAACGAAAAGGGCGCTTTTTTGTAGCACTGGTAACAACTTAGTATATATGGGTTGCAATTTACTATATAGGGTGATTGAAATTTTATGGTCCTCGTTAAGTTAGCAACAAGCGCAACTATGTGCAGTTTTCAGTTCAGTGACATCTCTCCCGCCTGAATTACATACACTTTCTTATCAACTATCCGCTGCCACTAAATTAGAAGAACACTTTCATCGTAGCACAGGTAACAATTTAATATAATGTTATTCAAAAAATTATAGCGCTCGTGAAGTTAGCAGCGAACGCAACTAACTAAACTCAGGTTTCAGTTCAGTGAAATCCCGCCCCCGAATATTACATGGACTTCCCCACCTACTATCCGCTGCTACTCAGTGAGAAGGACGCTTGCATCGTATCACAGGTAACAAATTAGTAGGTAGTTGGAATTACAGCAACCATAATTTTTCACACCATATTATAGATATACCCGAATGTGGCTAATCACATCATTGTGAGATAAGAAAAAACTACTTAATTAGTATAAAAGTTACATTCATAGCCAAAGCGATAGGCTAGGCTTTCAATGTTTTGATTAAAAATTAAAGTACTTACTGGAGATCGCCCGCATTTCACCTGCTATGTTTCACTACCTGTTACACCCCCTCCAACTTTTATTTTCTACTCTTCCAAGACCTACTTTATCTTCTCAATAAAATGTATCAAAACCTTTCAGTGTGTCAGTTATGCCGACGGACTGAAAGGCGGAGTTACGTTCGTATTTATGATATAGGTTAATTCCTATAAAACACTATTTTGATTAAATAAAATATAAGAAATAATACATTTGAAACTTATTATTCAAACTCAGATCGAATGTTGGGTTCATTTTTTTTATAAAAAAAGTCCTTTTTAGTGCGAGCGTCTCAAAGGTGGATTAGCTAAAATCGAAGAAGCGAACGTTCAATTGGAGGATCTGAACGCGAAGTTGGCGGTGCAGAAAGTAATTGTTGCTGAACAGACCAAGGAGTGTGAGATACTTCTCAAAGAAATAACTACTGGTAATTTAAAGTTTCTTTTATATTTTCATATTTCATAATCATCAGCCTATTAATTTTCCCACTGCTGGTGCACAGGTTTCCCTATGGATGGAATCGGGAGATTGGGCCATGACTATAGATGTAAGGCCGGTTTAAAACGAAAAAAACCGTTTAAAACCGAAATAAACCATTTTTTTCAATTTAAAACGGTTGGTGTTGATGACTATGTTTTTCTTAATAATAATTAATAACTACATTGTCTTGATTTTACCAAGGTAGCAATATAACGGAGTACCTATACACTGCATAAAGCTTTTTTAAATGTGTGATATACTTACTGATATTGATATACTAAGCGAGTTTAGTTCTAGTTGGTCTATCCGCGACCAAGCATAGGTATTACCTACCTAAGTTATAAAAACTCTTATATTAAGTCAAAAACTCTGTGTTGGTAAATAAAAGAAACATTGTTTTTAATCGATATAAATCAATTCAATCAATTTGATTCGGTTTAAAATCAAACTCACACTCTCGCACTCTCGTTGACGTCACTCGTCGTTACTCGACGCAAACGTTGCCAGCTCGCCTACCCTACACACACATGCACGTACCTATTGAAGTTTTCGTGGTACTTTCTATTGATTTTCTTTATACCTACTAAGTAAAACGAAACATGACCTCAGGTGACCAAAAATTGACCATAATAAAGTGTAAAAAACATAGTTCTTTTATTTTTGTATGCCAGTTTTCAACCGTTTAAAACGATTTTTTGGGGTTTAAAACGGCAACATTTTGTTTAAAACGTTTTAAATCGGTTGTTTTACATCTATAGCCATGACCCATCACGCGAGCCCATTGCGGATGTGTTGAATGCTAACGACTGTAAAAGCAGCCGGGGCCAACGCCTTAACGTGCTTTTCGAAACAAGGACTATATTATAAATTTTTCGTCACCCATCATTGCAAAATCTGCTTAAGTTCTAAAGTAAAGTCTAAACTCTTACCGCCTTATTCTAAAATCCGGCCTAGAGTTAGTCTTGGTTTAAACCTAATATTGTCCGCCTTCTTTTTAGCAACTAAAGTGATAGTATCAGTTGAAGTCCATGTTTAACTTTAAACTATGTTTGGTAATAAGACCGTTAAGGCACATTTTTTTTAATCAAATAGATTAATACAATCATATTATTCTTGTATAGCGACGGGAGCGGCAGTGGCTAAGCAAAACGTCGCCGCTATAAAGTCTGCAGAGATCACCGAACAGAGTGCGGTCATAGCGGTGGAGAAGGAAGAGGCGGAGGAAGCGCTTTCTGCCGCCCTGCCCGCGCTAGAAGCCGCTAGATTAGCGCTCGCTGACTTGGACAAGAACGATATCACTGAGATTAGGTCTTTTGCGACTCCACCTGAAGCAGTGCAGGTAAGTTTTTATTTTATATCCTGAGAATGAACTGTAACTGTCAAATTTACAAAAGGAACTTCCCACTCTCTACCCTCAGTACTCGGTGGTATCCTAGACACCTTACATATTTCAAAAATAGAACACGTAGGATGGTTATGGTATAGTTAGTGATATAAAGAATACAAGAAACATCTGCGCATGTTATTTAATAGGGGATATGCATGTAATTTTCTTTTCGAGCAAGTAATTAATGATATGAAAGTGCGATAAACTTGTGGGAAATTCAAATATCAAAAACGCGACGAGAGCGGTTGTGCCGTAAAAATATATACCTAAGAACAAACTTTTTTTTTACCCAATTTGGGAAATCAAAAGGTACATACAGCCAATTTACAACACATACGTGATGTTCACAGTATATGCCAACGTCAACGAGATTATAGTACGAGTGCGTAGATAACAAAACCGCGTTGCACCCAGACACCGAGTGCAAATTTTCACTATGAAATTTAAATTTTTATTAAAAATGTATGAAACATAATGTCTATTTGATTGACGTAGGTTCCAACTTCCATCCGCAGTGATGGTATGGATGTGAGTATTTTGTAATTTTGAAGGTTTAAGTTATCGTTACGTTACATCCAAGCGTTCCAAAATAGCGCGCGTTTAAACCGTCCGTGCAAAGAGGCTATAAAATAGCCTATATCATTTTTTGTGACACTATTCTATTTTTTGACGTAGATTTTTTGTATACTGTTTAAAATGGCATGTAAACTACTAAATAAAAATATATAAAAAAACATGCATATTCCCTATTATCAAGTAATCCTGCTTTCTGAAGCTGGATCTCTCACCAGAAGGAGATCTTGACAGTCACATAAGGACGTGGCGCATATTTCCACATCAGGAAAATCCTCTATGCGTGGTATTCTTCTCATTAATACAAATAGCAGATACTCCGCGATTTGGTCTTATATTTGGTGATGTTTGGTCATCATCATAACCATCCATAATCTAAAGTAAGATATTTTTTTTATGCTGCTGCTGTCTATTTTTTTCTTGGACGCATTCTGCTATAAAACAAAATGCAGAATAAAACTCCACCCACAGGTGGTTTGCGAATGCGTTGTCATAATCCGCGGCATCAAAGACGTCAGCTGGAAGGGGGCCAAGGGCATGATGGCGGACCCCAACTTCCTACGGAACCTTCAGGAGATGAACTGCGACCTCATCACCCAGGCGCAGGTGAAGGCAGTCAAAGCACACATGAAGAAGAGCAAGAAGCTTGAAACTATGCAGCAGATCAGTAAAGCTGGGTGAGGAAAGTGGTTTGGGTTCTTCATTCATTAAAGAAAATTATATTCTCTTTCGCAGCTTCATACCTTTTAATTGCTTACCATCAGATGGGTCATACGCTTGTTTGCCACCCTTTTGACATAAAAATAATCATTTCAGATTTGCTGTATAATCGATTTACTTTTATTTTCTGAGCTGGGAAATAAATTGCTATCACAAATACTTCACTTGTTAAATTATACTATTTTAAGTGCACAAGGGTGTTAAAAATATAAGCCACTCTTAATGTGGCTGTAGCTATGTGGGTCTAATATTAAGCTAAATATTATGTACTTAACTTTATCCCGAACCTCTTCAAAGTGAGGCGACCTTTTCTACTGCAACATTTATAGTTTTCTATAACACTTCCTACCATTTTACAGTTACGGACTGCTGAAATTTGTGATTGCCGTTCTTGGCTACTGCGCTGTGTACAAGGAAGTCAAACCCAAGAAAGACAAAGTCGAAGCCCTTGAAGCAGAATACACTGCAGCAGTCAACTATCTAGCTTCTCTTAACCGCGAAATTGATCGACTCCAACGCACTCTAGACGGCCTCAACAACAGATATGAAACGGCCATGTTAAGAAGGCAGGAACTGCAAGAAGAAACGGATATAATGATGCGACGTTTGATCGCGGCGGATAAACTCATGTCGGGCTTATCGAGCGAACAGAAACGTTGGACCGAAGACCTGGCAGCGTTGTATATCGAACAGTCGCGGCTTATCGGCAACTGTTTGCTATCAGCCTCGTTTCTTAGTTACTCTGGACCTTTTTCGTTCTCGTTTAGACAGACGATGATCTATGAAGATTGGTTGGGTGACGTCACAGAGAAAGGTATCCCGTTGACGGAGCCGTTCACTATTCAAAGAAACCTCACAAACGAAGTAGAAATAAGTGGGTACGTCATATATCATATATTTTTTAGCTTGACTGGTATGATTAATTTAAGCGTAACCACGTTAGGCATGCAGTTCTTGAGATTTAAGCAACTTTTGTAATGCTTTATGAAGTTGGCAATCAAATTGATTATCTATAGTTTTTCAGAGTTTTCGTTAGCATCCATTAAACTTCACACTAGATTAATGGCTTGATGGCTTTTTTGCTGTCCTATACAACACATAAAATGGCGCTGATTGGATGATGGTATTTTATATGGAATGGGTTTTCTTTATAGTTGGAATTCGGAAGGTTTGCCCCCTGATGAGCTATCGGTACAAAACGGTATTCTCACTACAAGAGCATCAAGATTCCCGCTGTGCATAGACCCACAAACGCAGGCACTCTCTTGGATCAAGAAGAAAGAAGCTAAAAATAATCTGAAGGTATGTTTATTTATTTGTCACTCATGTTTTGTTTTGTAAAGAGATTTCTGGTTGCCCGATTACCGCTTTCAATTTTTTCCCTTATTATAAAAGATATTTGGTAAACTGTTTGCTTATATACACGTCTAGATACTAGATAGTACCTGCATGGAAGCGCTGCATAAAATATCTACTAAATGTGGTAGATACGCTCGTCGCTACACACACACACACATTGACCGCTTTAACCTAATCTTACATTAGAGTCTCTCACACATTGAGAGTAACATGAGCCGTTTTCGTTCCGTGGTTTATTTGGATCGCTCTATTTGGGCGTGTATATAATCAGAAGGTAAACAGTTCCTGACTAGCTAATCGGCGTAAACAAACATACATCTACATTAAATGCTTAAAAGTCTTTTTGTTTAGAGTAAATTCTTAATAGCGTCTGCAGTTAACCTTTCTCAAGTATCTGTTAGATTTCCCATCACTCTACGTAATTACGACCTGTCTGACAAGAGTGAAACAGGTTATAAAGAAGAAAAAGAAAATGTTATACATTATTTCAATATACTACTACCCTTCACAGGTGTTGTCATTCAATGACCCGCAGTTCCTGCGACAGTTGGAAATGGCTATCAAGTACGGAATGCCAGTGTTGTTCCAAGACGTCAACGAGTACATTGATCCCGTGGTTGACAACGTGCTGGAGAAAAATATAAAAGGCAATATTATTTGTATTGTACCATTATTCCATCCTTACAGGGTTGGCATTTCTCCACTGCGTACCTCACTATTCGCATTCTCCTTCATCATGCGAACCACTACGGAATATAATTCCCTTCCTGCGTCTTTATTAATAGGCAAGAGTAAATAGGCATTATTTGAGTCTGCATGCTCCAGCTTAGACATATCGTTGCTTAACATCTGGTGCGATTGTGGTTCCCACAGAACACACTCAAATATTTTATAAATAAATAAATTTGCTGGTATTAATAAGCTTATTAATGTTTTAAAACTTATATTTTTCATTTATTTGTAATAGAATATTGTATTGTAAAATATTGATTGTAAGGTTCTATCAGTGTACTTGCTTTAAGGTTGACCAAAAATTTTAGACGTGTCACACATTTTCAAACTTTTATTAAAAACTTTTTATATTGATCTCCAAGCTCTATTTACAGCACTGCAAAGCAAACTAAGACCTATAAGCAGTTTTTTCATTAGTGAATTATTCCATTCTTCCATTAGTACCATTACGCTATCGCAAGGCTTTTTTTTCTTTAGATTTAAACATCTAGTAATTAAATGCTTAAAAAAATATAATATAAGTATCCCTTGTCTCAATTCAGGACGTAAACTAAATGCGTACTAAATTTCATCCAAATCTGTTCAGCAGGTTTTTCATGAATGAGTAACATGAAAGAAAGTTTGAATATTTGTAAATATACAAACTTTCACATTTATAATATTAGAGTAGGATTAGTAGGATAACATTCATTACCCATAGATGTTGGAGGTTTAATGTAGTAACCTGTTTAATCAATGTGCAGTTGAAAGCGGTCGCACATTCGTGATGCTAGGCAGCTCTGAAGTGGATTACGATCCGAACTTCCGAATGTACCTCACCACTAAGCTGTCCAACCCGCAGTTTAACCCGGCCGCGTATGCAAAAGCAGTAGTTATTAATTACACCGTCACCGTGCAGGTAATATTGTCTTAACACAATCTTTCTTCTCATGGTTTTAGAAGCTATCTTGTCATTTAAAGGCTCTATTTTCGATAGTAAGCAGAGACCCAAGAACGAATTTTGACAGCTCCGTAATCGTATATTATCGTCAAATTTTGTATGGATGGTGGCTCCGTCCTCCGTCTGTTCGGTAGGGCCGCTGATTAGATTTCAAAGAAACTTTGACGATGCGATACGATTACGGAGCTGTCAAATTTTGTGCTTAGGCCTTCAGGAGCTCGATGTGGCAATAGTAAGCGATTGAGAAGTTTATGTAACATCCAGTGACTAGATGGGTGATCAAAAATCATCTCGAGTACTTTCGTAGTTTGGAAGGTGCGTTATGTTAATATTCCTGACAAAATGGGCCTGGATGATGATTTATGGTTCAATTACTAAGTTTTCTACACATGGGGAGGGTCAATACCCTAATAGTGGGAACTTTAAAAAGATGATATGAGCTTAGTTTTTGTTTGGAGAAGTTTATGGATCCGAACATTCCGAACCCAGGACCTTTAACGCAGCAGAAAATATCGAACGTATCGTTGCAACAATGGGCCGTCGAATAACTAATATGATAAAGATGCTCTTACTTAAATTGTACAACTTTTCAAAGCGTTATAACAAAACACCAATGACAGGATGCCCTTACTCGTTTTATTCACAGGGCTTAGAAGACCAACTGCTCAGCGTAGTTGTACGCGCAGAACGATCCGACTTAGAGGAACAACGCGAGAGTCTTATTATAGAAACCAGCGCCAACAAGAGTTTGTTGTCAGGACTCGAAGACTCATTGTTACGAGAACTTGCTACCTCTACGGGCAATATGCTGGATAATGTTGAACTCGTCGATACGCTTGAGAACACCAAGTCTAAGGCCGCTGAGGTAAGTCTAACGTGAGAATCTTATCATAGTAAATAGAGCCAACAAAAGTTCGGTGTCAGGACTTGAAAATTCTTTGTCGCGGGAACTCGCTACTCCTACTGGCAGTATGCTGGATAGTGTCCAACTCGTCAATACGCTTGAGAACACTGTTTAAGGCCGCTGAGGTAAGTGTAATGTCAGAATCTTATCATAGAAACCAGCGTGAACAAGAGCTTGTTGTCAGAACTCGAAGATTTATTGTTGCCAGAACACGCTACCTCTACTAGCAATTTACTGGATAATGTCGAAATCATCAATACGCTTTTTTTAAACTATCATTTTTTATATCTATTCGTTCTTAACCTTAGGTGATGGAAAAACTGGCGTTAGCAGAAGCTACTACCAAAGATATTGAGATCCTTCGCGATGGTTACCGACCGGTAGCGAAACGTGGCTCCATATTATTCTTCGTCCTCTCCGATATGGCAGGGGTCAACACCATGTACCAATACTCTTTGTCCTCGTACCTCGATGTAAGTACCTGCACCCAGTGCGTAAACTAACACTGGATCAAATAGGAATAGCAATAAATAGATAACTGTAAAAATATGCTAAGACCTATTTAGAATGTCTCTTAGGATGTCTTATATATTTTAAATTTGACAAACTCAGAATTGTCTCTCAGTATGCCTTAGCTATATCTTAAAATTTAGTGAAAACCCGAATCCAAAAACAATTATGTCTATTTTTCTCTAGATTGTGACAGACAAAAGTTACTAAATATATTTTAAACCTATGTACAGTATAAAGACAAAATATTCGAAAATATTTATATGTACTTTGCAGGTTTTCTCGTTTTCTCTTCGAAAGGCCATGCCTAATGTAATACTTGCCAAACGCCTAAAGAATATCACGGATATGCTTACCAAGAACGTGTATGATTACGGGTGCACTGGTAAGAAAAGTTTTACCTACTTATTACTCTTATGCAATTGTAATTCATCACAAATTGCAGTTATGTTCTCTTCTATATCTATATTTTTGCAGTTGATTTTAAACTTAATGCCAAATATTAAATTCTACAGACGAAATAGCAATTGAAAGAAATGGGTTCAAAACCTGTAATGTTACTTTTTTTTAAATATAGTTATTAAATGAAATATACTTTGGGATAAATGAATCGTGACATATATGATAGTTTGCTATAATTAACCAAACCAACTACTTTTAGGTATATTCGAGCGGCATAAGCTGCTGTTCTCCTTTCAAATGGACATAAAATTAGAGCAGAGCGAAGGTCACGTCACACAGATGCAGCTGGATTTCTTCATCAAAGGAAACGTATCCTTGGAGAAGTCACCACGCGCCTGCTCAGCATCCTGGATACCTGGACAGGTAGGAATATATTTTTTTTTAAACTTACACCAATTAGCCTAGCCTCAAAGTAAACGGATGGAATACATATACTGATACATATATTATAGAGAGAGTATAAAAACAGGGGCTGATTGATTGTTCACTCACAGATTTTGATACCAAGTTTTATATTACAAAAATAATACCCACAAAAAATAGTAAAATAAAATCTTTTTAACAAAAAAGATTACCGCCGATAAGTAAAAAATAATTAACCCTTTTTTATCTTTAGTCAAATTATTATTTGCATTCGGTGCTATGCAGGTCTGATAGATCAGAACCCCTAGCACGAACCAATATCGAATTCGTATTGTTTACTCGAGTCCGAATGTCAAATGTGTACTGATTTTTTAGTTCTCATTATAGACCGGGAGATGATGACACAAAATACTTGGTCATTTGTACCAGTATGGCGGTTCTTCAGGGGTCTAATTACGTAAAGGCAAAAAGGAAAATGATGGTCATAGCGCTCGCACCGGCGGCCCAATCGCGTGGGCGTTAATCGAACATGTCGGATAAATAACGAGTGTCGAACGATTTGTTCCACAAAAATGCTTATATTTTCAGATAGTCGAAAAAAAGAAGTAGGCGGTAGCGTAATGCCATACTTTTCGGGTGTGACTTACAGCCCGCCATACCGACGCGAATACATTAATTTAAATAAAACAATTCAACCATTTGTACCAAGCTAATTTTTGCACAGCTAATCATCGTCGAGTAGCCATTCACGAAAATCACCTTGCCATACTTTTCCGACAGTTCCCAATGGCCGCCATACCGCTGCAAAGGAGTAATTTTTTTTTTTCGCCAAACGATTTGTACCACCCTGAAACTATTTTTAACAGTTCCCCGTATGATCATAAATAAAAGTCTGATAATGCCATACCTGTGGGAGGTGGCGAATGTGAACAATATTTTTTCAAAGTCCCAAGATTTTATTCGTAATTCGAACGATTTGTACCAGTATGGCACTAATTTTTCCTGTAAGTTTGAGGTTTAACGAATATAAATACAAAGTTTCAAACACCTAAGTGGCGGCAATCTTGTCTTATAAGCAGATTTTATGTTGTATAATATTCTGCGGTTCCCACCGCTCGAAAGATTTCTCGAATTGTAGTCTTGGCTCATCGTGTTGGTAAGACACACGGAGGAAAAACAAAGAGGAGGTGTGGTGATTAAATTTCCTCAAGAAACGACGCGTGATAATTTGCGGGATGCGGAAGATGAAGAAGAGAAAGATGAAGAAGAGAAAGATGAAGACGAAGGTAAAAATTGAGGAAAATAATTTTATGTTGACAATTTCCCATCGTGTATTGCGCTTGTGTGAATAAATAAAATAATTTACAGATACTGATGCAGTAAGCAGTGACGAAGACGAAGAAAACGAATTCGAAGATGCCGAGGATTCCGGTTCCGATTACATTTGAATTCCATGCATTTTTGTAAATCTTTCGGATTAAACTGCATTAATATTGATATTGCATATAATTTTTTTCACATGTACCCTTCACGATATTACAGGTGGACTATTTCGAAAAAAGGTTTCAAGATTGTATTAGTTGTCGGCATATCAGAGCGAGTGTGGCAGCTCCAGCCACCCTGGTCACGGTATAGGCTTATTTTTTAACACAAAAAAAAAATTACGAAAATTATTTTTTCAAGTATGGCATCACTTTGGCACTTATCCATAAGTACTGTGTAATTTTCCCAAAACTTAGTTGTTTTTATCAAGTTTGGAAATGATTTAAAATGCCATATTTTTACAATTCGTTCCAATTTTTTTTTTCATATCTTGCTCGAGTGTGACAGTCTTCCGCCCTATAGTTATAGTATGGGATTATTTTTTTTAGGTTGAATTTTATCCAAATAAACCGAATACAATGATGCCATACTGTAACAAATGATTTTATGTCTTGTACCTTGAAAACGTGTCGAAAATCAGGTTTTTCAAGTATGGCGCCACTTTTTCCCTCTACTACAAGTATGGCAAATATAATAATGGTCACATTGTATCGTATAATTTCCAAAAATCCAAATGCCATACTGGTACAAATCGTCAAATTTTTTTTTTCTTTTTCACCTTTTAGCTCAAGTCCGACAGTCATCCGCCCCATGTTTACAATCTGTAATAATTTTTTTTACGTACAATTGCATCCAAATGACGAGAATACAATGATGTCATGATGTAAAAAATGATTTTACGTATTTTGCAGTCGTATTTTTAAAACGTGTCAAATAAATAAGTATTTCAAATATGGCAGCACTTTTTCCCCCTACTAGAAGTATGGGAAAAATAATAACGGTCACATTTTGCCAAATACTTTCCAAAAATTCAAATGCAATACTGGTACAAATCGTTTGGCGAAAAAAAAAATTACTCCTTTGCAGCGGTATGGCGGCCATTGGGAACTGTCGGAAAAGTATGGCAAGGTGATTTTCGTAAATGGCTACTCGACGATGATTAGCTGTGCAAAAATTAGCTTGGTACAAATGGTTGAATTGTTTTATTTAAATTAATGTATTCGCGTCGGTATGGCGGGCTGTAAGTCACACCCGAAAAGTATGGCATTACGCTACCGCCTACTTCTTTTTTTCGACTATCTGAAAATACACACATCAAAAGTGTCTAGGGATCAAGCATTTTTATGCGGATTTCTTGAGATTGAGATGTGGCTTATTCAGCTAACATCAATGTCCTGCCCTGGCCTGCTCAGTCGCCAGACTTGAACCCGATTGAGCATGCATGGGATATGCTACAGAGAAGAGCTCTGCCGAATATGGAGGGTATTCAGTCGCAAGAAGACCTTTTTTTGTTGTTGCAACGAACATGGGCGGCCATTCCACAGCGTGATTTGGATGAACTCATTTTGAGTATGCCAAACCGATGTTCTTGTGTTGTTAGTGTTCGCGGTAGAAATACGGATTATTAATTGTTTAAGTTACCCAATAAAATTTTAGAGAAAACTGTTATTTCAGTCTTTTTTTCGAACTTTTGTGTTAGTGGTTCAAATGTCAAAAATCCCTTTATTAGGAAAATGGCAAATTTCTTTATTAATGCAAAGGTGACTTGGTTTATCGTTACTGTGACAAACGAAAACACTTTATTTGATGAATCCTTAAAGAAAATTTTAATTAATATCAATCAGGAGAAAAGTTATTGCAAAAATATATGTTGATCCCTAGACACTTTTGATGTGTGTATAAGCATTTTTGTGGAACAAATCGTTCGACACTCGTTATTTATCCGACGCGTTCGATTAACGCCCACGCGATTGGGCCGCCGGTGCGAGCGCTATGACCATCATTTTCCTTTTTGCCTTTACGTAATTAGACCCCTGAAGAACCGCCATACTGGTACAAATGACCAAGTATTTTGTGTCATCATCTCCCGGTCTATTACGTACTTTTTGCCGCTGCTGTTCAAGTTTCAATTCAAAATTTGACATTGACTTTTCGGTTTGCAAACTATTCGAATTCGATAATGGTTCGTGCTAGGGGTACTGAGTTCCCATTTACTATAGTAGTGGCACGCTACGATGGTAGTTTTGACGTTTGTGCGTCCAGAAAGTTTCATATTCTAAATTTAATAATTCTAAATAGAGACGCGTGCATTTAGTCATAAAAAATATTAAATCGTTATTCTTAGGGCATAGAATTACAATTTTGCAAAACTATATTATTTTATGATCTAACTTATATTGTGGTTACGAAAACTTTTTTAAGTTTACAACAATGAAATATGTCATTTCATTTTTAACTAAAAAACAGAGGCAATTTGACAGAATCGTTAAAGTATTAAATAAATAAAACAAGATTCAACGGTATAGATGCACTGATTTATTTATTTACATTGATTCAGACGACGCATCCTGAAAAGGATGCAAACCGTCAATAAATAAATAAAACAGTGCATCTATACCTATGAAACTTTTTTTATTTAATGAGTGGTGTGCAAAACCTAAGAAACAAATATAGTATTTAATAAATTTTACTTATTAATTGTTATTATCATCAGAAACTGTTATATTATATCATACAAATAATAATATAAATATATTCGCCCACATAACACGGCATTTGTATTTTTCGAAAGGAGATTGCTCAGCTTCCATACATGTTTGGCCTAAAGACCAATAATCATGAAAAATTGTTTCCTAAATTCTAAATTATATATAAATTACTGTAGAAACGAATATTATTGACGGACACCCCTGAGAACTTCTATAAACCATATACACTGAATGATTTTGAGGTTGTTTGCAAATAGGTATATAGGTATTAAAATAATAAAAAACAAATATGTATTAGATTAGATTCAGGTATATAAAGCATGAAGATTAATAGTTAGTTGCCTGTTTTTAAAGTTAATGCATAAGAGTAACTTTTACAATCAGGTATCATCTATGCATTTCCGGTTATAATAAGGTACTTTGTGACAGAAAATGTGTGTTATTTGTGAATAAGCCACAGATTAGAGAGAATTTTTAAACTCTCGTTAACTAAAGAAAGCTTATTATTTTTGTTATGTTTATATTATAACCATATTTTAGATTTTTTGTGTATCACACCTTATAATGTGTTTATGGAGGTGTTTGACGAAAAATGAATGGCAATAGACTTTATGATGTCGCCTACCATCTATAATATCTGTCTTAGCACATTTGCATGTAGTAAAAATGATAATATACTTGTGGATATTAATACCACAGTGTAATAAAAAAAATGTTTTAATTTATCGATCTTTACATAATAGATTTCTTTTGATGTTATATATACAACTTCGATCACTCTTTGGCTGAATGTTACTACACCCATAGCCATTAAAAATGATTCGTATGTTTTCCAAACTGGTAAATATATGTCCTTTTTAAAATGAATATATTATACAAAGGTGTCCGTTAAAATCTAATGACTGTAAAATAAAGTATAAATTACGCCAAGAATTACCGTATATGTCAATATTTTTTGTACATTTGGGCCAATTTGAGCAATCTCCTTTAAAATGTAAAAACAAGAAATTAATAAGATCGCTACATAAGGTTTTCTTTCTGAGCGTGAGTAAACATTTATTTTTTATAATCGGCAACTTTAAAAAACTAATCTGTAACAAATTGGATTTTCACTTCACTATTACAATGTGCCAAAACGGTGATCATAGCGTGCCGCGACTATACTTGGGATAGCCTGGCACTGGCACTGACTCCAAATTTTAATTTGACTAAAGATAAAAAATGTTCATTATTTTTTACTCTCCGGTTTACATTTTTATTAAACGTTTTCTATACCGTCATCATCAGACGGTTACCACCCCATTTCATATTTTTCAGGAATAATCCAATTAGTAGTTTAAGTACTTTTAAAAACCTTTAAACGCCAATATATATCTTAGTTTCATTAATGTGAACGTAATTTATTATTTGTTGTTATATTTTTATTAACCAGAGTTGGCAAGACATTATGAAACTAAGCACAGACTTCGAGGCATTCTCGAGCCTACCGGACGATATAACCAGGAGTATTCATGCGTGGCAAGAAGTGAGTACACGACTCTGACTTTATATTATGTAAAGATATTCATCCAAAAATAAGAGAAAAATTAAAAAAAATATGTTTTAGACTGATTTTATCATTCAAATATGTAATATTTTTACAGTTACAGTCTTCCGGATTGGCTTTTTTCTTAGATTTTTATATATTTATAAGTATATGATGTTTCATAAGTAAATAATTCGTGGGAAATTATACCAAGTCAATTGCGGCGTCAATTGCGTTCGTGCGTCGCGTTCATGTTCCTTAGACATTAACCCCATTATTAATAAACGAAGACTAAGTTTGGATTTGTTACTCTATGTTTTGTCTCTGTTCATTGAATGACAAATGTCACTTGAGTGATATGAACAAAACACGGCGTAGCTAGACTAAGCTTATTCTTCGTTTATTAATAAGGGGGTAAATTTCCAGGGATGATCATTAATTTTATGATGTGTGTATCAACATCTACGCAACAAAGGTCTAGGAAGGTTATCGGTTCAAGAAAGTAGAAGGAACTGCTGTCACTGTTTTCATTAGCAAGCAAATTTACAGCCGAAATCGGTTATAACGACATTGAAGAGACCAGTTACGAACTTCGGACGTTATGTCCGATAGTTGTTATAAGCAATATAGTTAACAAGTAGTCATATTCATTGTCATATGTAGTATGAGTATAGGTAATGTATGAACTTGTTTTCAAATAAAATTTCTCAAAAAGTAGTAAAAAAGTTTTAAGCTATATGTCGCTATATCCGATGTTGTTAAAGGCGGTTTGTTTACTTAATGGTTTGTATAAGGTTTCTACCAAGATCTTGCCAATGGTTATAATAATCGACCCGTCGTTATATTCGTTTTTCACTTTAGAACTGCCATCATTATAATCGCAAACCTGCGGTCAAGAATCAGTTTAAGATTTGTGATTCGATCTACAGTGGTTCGACAGTGATACACCCGAATCCAACGAGATCCCTAATAACTACCGGGACAAAGTGACCCCATTTGAACTGCTGATGTTACTACGTTGCTTCCGAGTGGACCGCATATACCGGGCACTCACTGACTACATCACCGTCACTATGGGCGAGGAATACATCACGCCCCCTGTCATCAGGTGTGTTACTTGACTATGAACTCTATATCATCCAGATCTCTTATAACTACCGGAACTATTGATGTTACTTCCGAGTGGACCGCATATATCGGGCACTCACTGACTACATCACCAGCACTATGGGCGAGGAATACTTCACGCTGCCTGTCATCAGGTGTGTTACTCGACTATGAACTCTATATCTCTTATAACTACCGGAATTATTGGTGTTCCTACGTTGCTTCCGAGTGGACCGCATATACCAGGCACTCACTGACTACATCACCGTCACTATGGGCGAAGAATACATCACGCCGCCTGTCATCAGGTGTGTCACTCGACTATGAACTACATACTATTTTATACTATTTTTATTACTATTTCATCGAGAACTACCGGAACTATTGATGTTACTACGTTGCTTTACTTTATCCATAGACATAGAGAGAATGAACTGAACATTCCTTAGCTAGCTGTAAGATAAATAAACGCCTACTACTGCTCGATCGCCTCTCGTCTCTTTCACACTTTGCTGATCGCTTGTCAAACGATATCGCTCTCTAGAGAGATGATGATGATGATATACTTCATGCAGGTATTGCTGAGTCCATAGTCTTTAATCATCATCATCATCAGCCTATTGATGGTCCCACTGTTGTCGCACAAATCTTTGCTATGGATGGAATAGGGAGACTGGGCCGTGACCCACCACGCGGGCCCAGTGCCGATAGATAGGTGTTAACGACTGCAGATGCAGCCGGGGCCACGGCTAAACGCGCCTTCCGAAGAACGAAGGAGCTTATATATTGAACGGCGAACTAATAAGATAACAAGTTTTTGGTCATCCATCCAATGATCGACCATTGCGAAAGTAACTTAACCTTCACGATCGCAGGCCGAATGTGCTAACCACCTGTACTCTCAATATATCTGTAACAAAAAATAAAATGTTAAACACCGTATTCCAGTTTGGACATGATAGTGGAACAAACTACCCCATTCACTCCGGTTGTGTTCATACTGAGCCCCGGCTCGGACCCCACGGCCGATCTCATGAAGCTGGCCGACCGCTGCGGCTTTGGTGGCGGCAAGTTCAAGTATCTCTCTCTAGGACAGGGGCAGGAAGGGGTAAATAATCTATGTAATAATCATAACCAAGAATAACACTGCAATTACATAAATAAACATATACACTTCTACAAAGTCATTGTGCGATAAATAATTAATATATATTTTTAGCGTTCTCTACCCAAAGGGTAAAAATGGAACTCATTTTGTTGAAAATTCAATGAAATTATTTTTAATGGGGGGTGCAATGAAAATATTTTTTTCATTTTTACCCCAGCATGTGACACATCATTGTCTAGAGCTCGTTGAGAAGGATTCAAATATTATTTTTATTTTCAATAACTTTGAAATGGAGGGGGGGGGCGTCAAAGTTGTAATTTTTTTAGGTTAATTAATGTTTTTTCTATGATTCTAATATTCAAATGAAATCACAATAAAATTATGACGTTTACATTAGATATGTCATTACCACCATTAGAAAGAGATATTTTTTTCTGGAGTTATTCACATCACCTATTTACTTTTATTGCCTTTGGCAATTACAATAATGGGCAACTTTTTCCCCGGCGGAAAATGTTAGATTCCTGTGGAACTCTAAAAACACTATGATAACGCAGATGAAGTCTCAGGCGGAAGCTAGTTAATTTTTGTTTATGAGGATAAAAAATCCACTTTCCAACTTTCAGGCAGCGCTAGCGTTGCTAGAAGGTGCGATTTCGCACGGGCAATGGCTGATACTGCAAAACTGCCATCTTCTCGTCTCATTCCTACGTGAATTGGAGAAGCAGCTGGAAATGATGGAGAAACCACACCCGGAGTACCGTCTGTGGCTCACCACAGATCCTACACCAACATTCCCTATCGGCATACTGCAGAGATCTCTCAAAGGTAGGATTAGGTTTGATTTTGTATATTTATAAGAGACATCTAAGCAGCATGATAAAATTCCATGGAACCCCTATTCTCCCTATAGAGATACTGCAGACATCTCATAAAGGTTACTTGGTACATTTCTTCATTACCAATAAAATGTCCAGCTAAAACGCAGTTCATTAATTGAGAGCGAAGCTAACCGAACTTAGTTTTGCATCCGTCGTCGTCCAAATAGATACTGAAACTAAATAGCGTGTAGCAAGTACTGCGAGTACGAAAATATACCAAAATTTTCCGCACTTTATGTACTTTAGTGTTAACTTAAACGAAGGCACAAAATCTTATTTGATATACGAGTAAGACTGTCTGTAGCTTGTTTTATGTGACTCTACTGCTGCAATTGCCATGATCACAAAATAAGCTACTAAACCATGAAAGTTTAAAGATATAGGACATAAACGGCCACTTTTTAAATTCAACTATCAGTAAAACGTCAGGATATAATCTGGTTACGTTCTTAGCAACAGTTATTATTATAATTATTAACCAAAGACGCTGACACATAGGATGACATATTTTTTTCAAAAGTGGCTCTGCCAGTGGTCTAGTGTAGCTTTCACCTCAACATTTAAAAGACCTCATTTCCGTCTCAGTCGGAAAAAAGGCGGTGGCATTCGCCCTAGCTGTTGGCTCGACCTTTCGCTGTATAGCATCCAAAATTAGTAGACACCACATTTTACCGATAATTTCAGCTGAATTCCAACCATTTCAGCTTGTTTTTATCGTCAAGGGTGGCTGTGAAGCAGCTGTTCACGCTCTTCTCACCTATATGTCGCTTGACACAGCGGAGGTGTGCTGAAGGTGGATGTCAAGAATGCCTTCAACTCTTTAGATAGAGGTGCCTTGCTTTCAGCGATTCAGCAAAAAAAGCCCAATATTTATAATTATCTTTAGCTATGTTACACCAAACGAACAAAACTGAATTTCAAAAATAACCTGTTGTATGTATTCATTATGTTGGCTGTCAGCAACGCGATCCTCACGGGCCCGTTATTTTTTGTTTAGCTGTACAACCTATTATTGATTCATTAAATTCAAAAATTAATGTGTGCTACTTTGATGACGGAAATATCGCTGGCGATATTTCATCTTGTCTCAGATTTTCACGTCATTATTGATGAGTTTAGAAGTATTGGCGTTGACTTATATTATTCAAACTGCGAGCTGTCCTTTTCCAGAATCAAAATTCTCACCCGAACTCTTACAACACATTATTACCCATTTTTCGGGTTCAGCTCCTTATATAAGAATTGTTGATACTAAATCACTCCGTCTCCTAGGTTCCCCGATTTTCGATGATGCATGATCCTATTTTTATTAATGAATAAATTGCAAAATTTCAGCAGTCCTCCGAAATATTAATAAAAGTTAACCCACATGGCTTTATATTTATTTCGCTTTTGCGCTTTCGACCCAAAATTCATATATATTTTTACCCTACTCATTTTTGGCTTTTTCCAGGGCAACTATCAATAATTCTCGCTAAAACACGCTCAGGGAGACACTATCCAAAATTTTAAATTGCTCTTTCTCTGATAATTCCTAGAAGCAGGCCTCTCTCCCTGCTCGTTTCGGAGATCTAGGTAATCGCCATATTTCCCTCATTGCCCTTCCCGCTTATGTCTTCTGCATATACACACACGGTACAGCTGAACTCTTTAATACAATATTATGCCTATCATTAGGCGTAGTGGATTCGGCTCACCTTGCAGAGGCCAGGAATGCTTGGTGTGGGGCATGCCCGGGAGTAGATCCACCATCCTCCTTATTCTCACAGAAGCAATGGGACGAGCCGCTTTGTTTGCGTCTTCAGAGTGATCTTTTATCATTCTCTGAAAGCGCCACTGAGCGTGCTCGCCTTCTTGCGGTCTTTCAGACTACTTATTTTACTTACTTTCAGTCTGGTTACTGGCTGCAAGCTCTACCTTCAGCTAATATCGGGACTTTGCTTGACAAGAGCACTCTGTCTCTCGCGATATTGCTTAGACTTGGCGTCAAGATAAATCATCCCCATCGCTGTCGTTGCGGTACTCGCGTCGGTGAGTTGGGACATCATGGCCTCTTACGAGTATGTCAATTGAGCGCTGGCCGTGTATCCCGCCACGCCTGCATCAAAGACATCATCTGCAGAGCTCTTGTCGCTGTCAATGTACCAGGGGCCCTTGAGCCTAATGGCATCTTTCGTGACGATGGCAAGAGACCTGACGGTATAGAGCTCATTCCTTGGAAGCAGGCAGGGTCGTCCTCTTGCATGAGATGCAACTTGCGTGGATACGCTTGCTCCGTGCTACACAGGTAGTACCTCCCTAGCTACAGAAGCGGCGGCGGCCTCTGCCGAGTGCTCCAAGCGGCGCAAATATTCAGCTCAATGAGAACTACATATTTGTGCCGTTTGGTATTGAGACTATGGGCCCATGTATGCCAAGCGCTCGTCCCCTTGTTAAGAAACTGTCAAAGAGGCTCACTGAGGTAACTGGTGATCAAAAGGCTGGCAGCTATCTTGGTCAATACCGTCATTAGTCACTATTCCTGACAGCCGGCGCTGGCAAAAAAAACTAATTTTTCTATTTTTATTGTGTTAATAATAAAAATTTCTAAGCAACACAGTTGAATTACAACTGTTGCTTAGGCAAAGGAACAGATTATACTTACGAAAAGCTAAAGGTAAAAACTAGAGGTAGAATATTGAAACTACTATGCAATGATAGTAATTTTTAGTTAAATTCTTTTTTTATATTTTAGAATAACAAATCGCATATTATATTATACCTTGTTACAAGTTAATATTGTATGTACAGTGGTAACAGAGCCCCCTAACGGTTTGAAGTTGAACCTTCGCAACACATATTTCAAAATGCGCGCGCACGCATTAGAAGAGTGCCCGCACGGGGCTTTCAGGAAACTGGTGTACGTGCTAGCTTTCTTCCACGCCGTCGTACAGGTAATTGTATTCGCCTCACTAAAGATAAAACACACGGCTTAGTATCGACTTCAAATCTATCATTTGGTAAATCTTATTTTTTCATGGTTATAATTAGCATGTAACTGCTCGATGTTAAATCTAAAGAAAATATAAATAGAAAACATTCCATGCGGACCAGGCAGCAGACGGGACTCGAACCCGTACCCTCCGCTATCCGAGCGAATGCACTGATCATTATGCTACCACGGCCCTGATGGCCCTGTCGATTCTTTCTAGCCTTGAATGATTTCGCACTCGCAAACTATTCTAATTCGAAATTGGTTCGTGCTAAGGGCACAATAGTTTTTAAGATAATCGCAGACAAACATACATACATACAGTTCAAACTGAGAACATCATTTTTTTCAAGTCTGTTAAAAAACCCATCAATACTCAGTACACAAATTCTTCGTCTGTTGAATTTGATTTAACAATATTGATGCAAACTGGTCCTTCGTAAGTGATTTTTAAGTATAAATGAAATTATCTTTGAGTTTAGTCTCTTTAGTGAGTAAATTACACGATCGAGATAATCAATTTCTACTCTCGTTTCATGCCAGGAGCGGCGCAAATACGACAAGATAGGCTGGAACATCTCTTACGACTTCAGCGAGTCCGACTTCGTTGTATCCATGCAAATACTGAACTGCTACCTGGAGAGATGTCACGCCGTTAAGGGGCCCATACCCTGGGCCACGTTAAAATATCTCTTCGGAGAGGTGAGATTTACCTTACTCAAAAAACTTGGCCAACAGGCTTAAAGTAGAAATGCATGCAAATACTGAACTGCTACCTGGAACTATGTCACGCTGTCAAGTGCCCATACCCTGGGCCACGTTGAAATATCTCTTAGGGAAGTAAGGTTTACCATTGCCAAAAAATCGGCTTTAAAAAACAAAAGAAAAGATAATTAGAAAAAAATCCACGCGGACCAGGCAGCAGACGGGACTGGAACCCGCACCCTTCGCAATCCGGGCGAATGCACTGACCAATTATGCTACCGCGGCCCTCACGGACCGCGTCGAAATTCTTCTAGCTATTCTTATGCTGCAAGGCAGCGCCATTTCTTCGCATTGTAGGTAACCCACAATGTCAAATGAATACTTTTACAAGTATTAAACATTTGAAAGAAGAAATAGCAATTATAGTTACAATTTTAATTTTTTTAATCATGTAACTGCTTGATGTTTAAATCTAAAGAAAATATAATTAGAAAAAAATCCACGCGGACCAGGCAGCAGACGGGACCCGAACCCATACCCTTCGCAATCCGGGCGAATGCACTGACCAATTATGCTACCGCGGCCCTCACGGACCGCGTCGAAATTCTTCTAGCTATTCTTATGCTGCAAGGCAGCGCCATTTCTTCGTATTGTAGGTAACCCACAATGTCAAATGAATACTTTTACAAGTATTAAACATTTGAAAGAAGAAATAGCAATTATAGTTATAATTTTAATTTTTTTAATCATGTAACTGCTTGATGTTTAAATCTAAAGAAAATATAATTAGAAAAAATTCCACGCGGACCAGGCAGCAGACGGGACTCGAACCCGCACCCTTCGCAATCCGGGCGAATGCACTGACCAATTATGCTACCGCGGCCCTCACGGACCGCGTCGAAATTCTTCTAGCTATTCTTATGCTGCAAGGCAGCGCCATTTCTTCGCATTGTAGGTAACCCACAATGTCAAATGAATACTTTTACAAGTATTAAACATTTGAAAGAAGAAATAGCAATTATAGTTATAATTTTGCTTTTTTTAATCATGTAACTGCTTGATGTTTAAATCTAAAGAAAATATAATTAGAAAAAAATCCACGCGGACCAGGCAGCAGACGGGACCCGAACCCATACCCTTCGCAATCCGGGCGAATGCACTGACCAATTATGCTACCGCGGCCCTCACGGACCGCGTCGAAATTCTTCTAGCTATTCTTATGCTGCAAGGCAGCGCCATTTCTTCGCATTGTAGGTAACCCACAATGTCAAATGAATACTTTTACAAGTATTAAACATTTGAAAGAAGAAATAGCAATTATAGTTATAATTTTAATTTTTTAAGCATGTAACTGCTTGATGTTTAAATCTAAAGAAAATATAATTAGAAAAAATTCCACGCGGACCAGGCAGCAGACTGCCTTGCAGCATAAGAATAGCTAGAAGAATTTCGACGCGGTCCGTGAGGGCCGCGGTAGCATAATTGGTCAGTGCATTCGCCCGGATTGCGAAGGGTGCGGGTTCGAGTCCCGTCTGCTGCCTGGTCCGCGTGGAATTTTTTCTAATTATATTTTCTTTACATTTAAACATCAAGCAGTTACATGCTTAAAAAATTAAAATTATAACTTTAAAAAACAAGCTTAGGGTAAAAATAATAAATATGAATGCAAATATTGAACTGCTAACAGTCAAGGGACCGATACCTTGGGCCATTTTGAAATATCACTTTGGGGAGATGAGGTTTCTGCAGTTAATTAATTCCAGCTGCTGCTTTGCGCCATCGTACAAAGCGACAAAAATTATTCCCAGCATCTTGATGCGCAGCTATCCACAACTGTGCGATTTGGTCGAAATTTATTACCACGTACGACAAAACTGTGGAATATATGGTCGCCAGCAGTGTGTTCAGACCAATACGACCAAGAAACATTCAAAACATAGCGTACTTCTTCCTCAAAATTAAGATAGGACATCGGCTAGTTTCGCAGCTGCACTTGGCTTACAATTGGTAAAATAATCATAATTTGTTCAAGTAACAATAACAGCTTATTTCGTTATTAACATTTTTATTTTAACCTACACTTAAAGCAGTCTTAACAATGTGCTTGAAATCGATAAAGCCGTTCTTGGTTTTGGCGCGACCAAGGGAACTAAAGTTTTATAATGTGTAATTTAATGGAAGGCGACTTCAAGAATCATCCCATAATGAAGTATTTTTTTAATATGTTGACTCTATATAATACTACAGATCAAAAAACAGCCCTTGCTGAGTTACTTGCCCTGTTCATGGAGCTCGATGGAGCAAATCATTAGCGCTTTTGGCTGCGATCGTTGAAGTTAAGCTACCTCTCGCAATGGTCGGTCATTGGATGGGTGACCAAAAAATTACTATCTCGAGCTCCTCCGTGCTTTGGAAATCACGTTAGTTCTCAGCTGCCTCTGCAGTCGCTAGCACCCACCACTCCGCACTTGACCCGAGTGGTGGGTCACGCCCCATTCTTCCTTTTCCATCTTTAGGAAAGGCCTGTGCCCAACAGTTGGGACAGTAATAGGTTGATAATGATGATATGTATTTACAGATTTATATTTATCGTCATAGGTGATGTATGGAGGTCGTGTGATAGACGACTTCGATCGTCGGGTAGTGCGCACCTACATGGAGGAATACATGGGGGAGTTCCTGTTCGACAAATTCCAGCCGTTCCACTTCTACAGCGACGCCACATTCGACTACGTTATCCCGCCGGACGGAGAGAGGGATCAGTACATTGGTATACAGCTAACCTTTCTTTTAATGTTGACAAAATGCGTGACGCATACCCCGCCCCTATGTGAGAGACGAGGTTATGTGGGACCTAAGCCCACAAACACTCGCTCATCTGTCGCTATCCAGCATTGCTTTAACATCGCTGAGCAGAGAAAGACCCTGTGCTATCGCCTCGACACTGTAACAATAGCTTAGTACTGGACGCAGTTCTTCTAGGACCCGTATGCGTGCAACTCCAGCTCCTGTGCCCGTTCCTGAAGGACGAACTTTTGAACTTGTCGCCAGTGGGTAAGAACTTCGCTCCCCTCTTACCCGCCTACTGCTCTGAACCAGTAGAGATATGAGAAGGCCTTCGCTTCTAGCTTCCACGGGGAGGGAAACAGTTGTTGCACAAGATGTCGCAAAGGACGTACTATAGTCATAGAGGTATAAAGAATAGGAGATATAGACTACTACAAGTGGAAGTGTCCCTCTAATAGAAAGAGAAAGAAGATGAGACTCCGCTAGCTTTCTCTCTCTAATCGCGCATGCGCATTGGCAACCGTAAGCATCTTACTATTTCGTTGTGATGCCGTTGGATGCCATGCGTTGCAAAAGAGAGAGAGATAGCTAGCGGTCTCTCATCTTCTTTCTCTTTCTACTAGACGGACACTTTTAGCTCCACCTTTTAGCCACCAATGCTCGGCAGTAAACGCTTTGGGGTACAGAATTTAATGTTAACTAAAAGTTCAGGGGTATCAATATTGCTTCTTGCAAACAGAAAGATCATATCCGATAGTATCCTACGCTCTTTGTCCATTTTTATGGCAATTATTTTCGACAAGTTCCCATGGCGACAAGTTCCCATGTAATTGAGGTATCTCATAAAACGGCGTTGTATTCCCTCGATTCTACTTACGTGCGATTTGTAGAAAGGAGACCATATATTACTACAATATTCTAGCACACTTCCTACATAGGCAAAGTAGACCACTTTTAAAATAATCACATCCTTAAAAGGTGCACAAGTACGTATAACGAATCCTATTGTATTGTTTTCTTTTTTGTATTTGTAACAGAAGCACTTCATTTCAAAATTGATTTAGTAAATATATGTAATTTAGTGAATTTGTATTTCAAATAAACACCTGCTACACAAAAGTCTTTTGTGATGGAAGTGTTCAGAAGACAGCAATTTCTGATAAAACTTTAAAATTGTGAATAACTTGTAAAACTTTGATGCACGGTTTGTTTTTGGAATCAAAGTAATTTTATAGCGACATTAAACACAACATTTTGCGAAAGAAAAAAATCCTACCTTTAATAACATTCTATATCCCTTAACTCAAACAGAGTTTTCAAAATAAAAAAAGAACATGTTTAAGGCACAGCGGCTTAGCAACAATGGTGTCGATTCTGGCATGATTACCTAAACTTAAATTTGACTTAAACATCAAAACATCTATCTTGGTCATTCTCTATACAAAATAAAAAAGAGAGATTGATGTTATAGAGAATCACGGTAGAATCGACACCATTATGTACCACACAGGAGATTGCATAGCTGCGGTTAAATACGCTATGTCCTAGTGCCATAATAAATAAGGTTTATTGTATTTTTTTCAGAATTCATAGATACATTACCACTCGCGAACACTCCCGAAGTGTTTGGCTTGCATCCAAACGCAGAGATCGGCTACTTCAGTCAAGCTGTACGCATGATGTGGGGTCATCTCATAGAACTACAACCTCAGACTAGTACGTCATTCTTATTAAAATAGACATAGATTTAAGTAGGTAGATAAAGTATGTACTTCAATTTGTATGAAAACTGAACGTGTCTTATTTAGCATTAGATGGCGGAAAAGCTGTCTGTTTTAGTTCTATCGTTTTTACAGCTTAGGAGCGGATGCGAGCTGAGGGACATTTGAGAAATAGGTATTAGAAAAAACTATTGCTGTCGCATATTGGCAAATACCGTGCGATAGGGATTACTGAAACATGTTTGCAATGCCCTTGCAGGGCTCATGTTGTGATATTAAATATTTATTTTTAAGAACCCATGTACCAACACAAAGCATTAAAGATTCTCGACATTTTCCTCCTAGAAAATTAGATAAACATATTATGTTAAAGTAATTTTATCCATAGAATAATAAGTATTTATACTAGTTGGTTTTTTTGTAAATGCTTATTAAATCTCCACACTAGACGTCTTCAGCGGTGATAAAAAATAGTTTATTTAAACTGTAATTCTGACGCCCATAAGGAACTGACACAACTTGTCGGGATCGCATTCTTTCGCTTGCCGCACTCCTTATTACAAAACGCGGACTAAAATTCATCTTGGTTTTCATTGAACGTAATGCTGTGTCCGTCTTGATTTTAGCAAACAAACTAAAACAGTCAGACTAAAGTGATAGCATAATTCGCACCCCCAGTGGAAAAAAGGTGTAAGTGATTTTACTTTGAATCATCGATTTTATCATATTTGTAAAGTACGTTTGACGATACATATGCTCAATTTTTTTCATAGTTTTCTTGTTAAATTTGACGAATTAATAGAAGAAATTAATTTTGAGATTTTTTATTATATCACATTTTTTCTTAAGGATTAATAGATTATGTGGTATAACGCAAACAATAAATTGAGAAATATGACGTATTACTTATTATTACGTTTATCGCTAAAATTTTATGTAGAAAATAAATAGTAACAAATATTACGATTAAAATGCGTTTGTTTTTTTTACATCGCTAGTCTTGTATACACGATTATCTTTTTATTCGTTATATTAACTACGTAAGGAAATTGTCTTAAATGCACTTACTTAACCAAGAAGACAAACTTAAAAAATAATAACACCAGTATGACTGTTTACTGCTTATAAACTTTAAATAAATTAGAATAAGAACAATTACTGCTTTCTTCCACTAGAATATTTTCATAGCACCGAGACGTAAGATTGGATACAGCGGCGCGGGAGTAGACACCGGGACGATGCATGCATCGCAATGCATCGTTTGTACAAAGATTGGACGTCAGAATATGAAAACTTTCGTAATACTAAAGTGGCAAGCGAGTATCAATATAACCAAATATTTAATACACATTTTAACCTTTTTTTTACGACCGAAAAAGGATTTGTGCGATTTATGTAGCAAATATGACAATTCAACTGAAAGAGGTAAATTACAACTGAAAGAGGATTATGACAGTTATATAAAATATAAGAACCTCATACAAAATATAAAAGATAGTGAAAAAGAATCAGCAGATCCTAATGTGAAAACTGTAGCTGTTTTTGACTTGAAAAATGTTCTTAGTCTACCGCAATCTAATGTGGGTATTTTCCATTATAAATGGAAATGCCTTGCATATAATTTTACTGTGTACAATTTAATATCCTGTCAAGGGTTTTGTATCTATGACATGCACAAATTGCAAAAAGGGGTGCAAATGAAATCGTTAGTTGCTTATTACATTTCATATTAACAGGGGTATAAAGTCAATTTCACTGTATTCAGATAATTTTTCATAAATAAACTATTTCATTTAAAACAGTTTGGTTTCACTAGAGGCAAAAGTACTACTGATGCTGGAACTGTACTTCTCAAACACATTTATGATTATAATTTTTATTATTTTTAAAGCATGTAACTGCTTGATGTTTAAATCTAAAGAAAATATAACTAGAAAAAATTCCACGCGGACCAGGCAGCAGACGGGACTCGAACCCGCACCCTTCGCAATCCGGGCGAATGCACTGACCAATTATGCTACCGCGGCCCTCACGGACCGCGTCGAAATTCTTTCTAGCTATTCTTAAGCTGCAAGGCAGCGCCATCTCTTCGCATTATAGGTAAACCCACAATGTCAAATGAATACTTTTACAAGTATTAAACATTTGAAAGAAGAAATAGCAATTATAGTTATAATTTTTATTATTTTTAAAGCATGTAACTGCTTGATGTTTAAATCTAAAGAAAATATAACTAGAAAAAATTCCACGCGGACCAGGCAGCAGACGGGACTCGAACCCGCACCCTTCGCAATCCGGGCGAATGCACTGACCAATTATGCTACCGCGGCCCTCACGGACCGCGTCGAAATTCTTTCTAGCTATTCTTAAGCTGCAAGGCAGCGCCATCTCTTCGCATTATAGGTAAACCCACAATGTCAAATGAATACTTTTACAAGTATTAAACATTTGAAAGAAGAAATAGCAATTATAGTTATAATTTTTATTATTTTTAAAGCATGTAACTGCTTGATGTTTAAATCTAAAGAAAATATAACTAGAAAAAATTCCACGCGGACCAGGCAGCAGACGGGACTCGAACCCGCATCCTTCGCAATCCGGGCGAATGCACTGACCAATTATGCTACCGCGGCCCTCACGGACCGCGTCGAAATTCTTTCTAGCTATTCTTAAGCTGCAAGGCAGCGCCATCTCTTCGCATTATAGGTAAACCCACAATGTCAAATGAATACTTTTACAAGTATTAAACATTTGAAAGAAGAAATAGCAATTATAGTTATAATTTTTATTATTTTTAAAGCATGTAACTGCTTGATGTTTAAATCTAAAGAAAATATAACTAGAAAAAATTCCACGCGGACCAGGCAGCAGACGGGACTCGAACCCGCACCCTTCGCAATCCGGGCGAATGCACTGACCAATTATGCTACCGCGGCCCTCACGGACCGCGTCGAAATTCTTTCTAGCTATTCTTAAGCTGCAAGGCAGCGCCATCTCTTCGCATTATAGGTAAACCCACAATGTCAAATGAATACTTTTACAAGTATTAAACATTTGAAAGAAGAAATAGCAATTATAGTTATAATTTTTATTATTTTTAAAGCATGTAACTGCTTGATGTTTAAATCTAAAGAAAATATAACTAGAAAAAATTCCACGCGGACCAGGCAGCAGACGGGACTCGAACCCGCACCCTTCGCAATCCGGGCGAATGCACTGACCAATTATGCTACCGCGGCCCTCACGGACCGCGTCGAAATTCTTTCTAGCTATTCTTAAGCTGCAAGGCAGCGCCATCTCTTCGCATTATAGGTAAACCCACAATGTCAAATGAATACTTTTACTAGTTATATTTTCTAGTTATATTTTCTTTAGATTTAAACATCAAGCAGTTACATGCTTTAAAAATAATAAAAATTATAACTATAATTGCTATTTCTTCTTTCAAATGTTAATACTTGTAAAAGTATTCATTTGACATTGTGGGTTTACCTATAATGCGAAGAGATGGCGCTGCCTTGCAGCTTAAGAATAGCTAGAAAGAATTTCGACGCGGTCCGTGAGGGCCGCGGTAGCATAATTGGTCAGTGCATTCGCCCGGATTGCGAAGGGTGCGGGTTCGAGTCCCGTCTGCTGCCTGGTCCGCGTGGAATTTTTTCTAGTTATATTTTCTTTAGATTTAAACATCAAGCAGTTACATGCTTTAAAAATAATAAAAATTATAACTATAATTGCTATTTCTTCTTTCAAATGTTTAATACTTGTAAAAGTATTCATTTGACATTGTGGGTTTACCTATAATGCGAAGAGATGGCGCTGCCTTGCAACTTAAGAATAGCTAGAAAGAATTTCGACGCGGTCCGTGAGGGCCGCGGTAGCATAATTGGTCAGTGCATTCGCCCGGATTGCGAAGGGTGCGGGTTCGAGTCCCGTCTGCTGCCTGGTCCGCGTGGAATTTTTTCTAGTTATATTTTCTTTAGATTTAAACATCAAGCAGTTACATGCTTTAAAAATAATAAAAATTATAACTATAATTGCTATTTCTTCTTTCAAATGTTTAATACTTGTAAAAGTATTCATTTGACATTGTGGGTTTACCTATAATGCGAAGAGATGGCGCTGCCTTGCAGCTTAAGAATAGCTAGAAAGAATTTCGACGCGGTCCGTGAGGGCCGCGGTAGCATAATTGGTCAGTGCATTCGCCCGGATTGCGAAGGGTGCGGGTTCGAGTCCCGTCTGCTGCCTGGTCCGCGTGGAATTTTTTCTAGTTATATTTTCTTTAGATTTAAACATCAAGCAGTTACATGCTTTAAAAATAATAAAAATTATAACTATAATTGCTATTTCTTCTTTCAAATGTTTAATACTTGTAAAAGTATTCATTTGACATTGTGGGTTTACCTATAATGCGAAGAGATGGCGCTGCCTTGCAGCTTAAGAATAGCTAGAAAGAATTTCGACGCGGTCCGTGAGGGCCGCGGTAGCATAATTGGTCAGTGCATTCGCCCGGATTGCGAAGGGTGCGGGTTCGAGTCCCGTCTGCTGCCTGGTCCGCGTGGAATTTTTTCTAGTTATATTTTCTTTAGATTTAAACATCAAGCAGTTACATGCTTTAAAAATAATAAAAATTATAACTATAATTGCTATTTCTTCTTTCAAATGTTTAATACTTGTAAAAGTATTCATTTGACATTGTGGGTTTACCTATAATGCGAAGAGATGGCGCTGCCTTGCAGCTTAAGAATAGCTAGAAAGAATTTCGACGCGGTCCGTGAGGGCCGCGGTAGCATAATTGGTCAGTGCATTCGCCCGGATTGCGAAGGGTGCGGGTTCGAGTCCCGTCTGCTGCCTGGTCCGCGTGGAATTTTTTCTAGTTATATTTTCTTTAGATTTAAACATCAAGCAGTTACATGCTTTAAAAATAATAAAAATTATAACTATAATTGCTATTTCTTCTTTCAAATGTTTAATACTTGTAAAAGTATTCATTTGACA